CTTGGCTGCTTTGGTTACTTTCGACATAACGCGGAAGATACGCGGAAGATACGGAAGGGGGAGAGGCGGTGAAAAGAGCGTGCTTACTCGACGATGGTCATTGGTGCTATCATTGGTCTATAAATGACCTGTTATACGATATGTCAATTATCGATACTGGAGCGATACTACTGAAGAAAACAAATATGGATCCTAATTAGTCCTAACGACTCGACTGTCCGTTCCCAGCTCTGTTCGCCTTTCCTATTATATTTTTTATTGTGTAGACCTATTTATAATATTTATCAACAACATAGTGCCGACGGCAAAACGTTTAACACGTATTGGAGTGGTACGTCATCTTTGATTCATTTGCGGACATTTTGGCTTGCAATATGAGATGCATAATTATTGTTAGAGCGTTCTGTTCATAATTCCCATCCTGGTCCTCCTGGAGTTTGAATGAGTCACTAGAGTCTAGTTTTTCACAGTTCGTGATCAGCGCGGACGTACAGCTGTGTATTGGAGCCTCCGAGGAGCACATTTTGGATACGTAATACTACTAGACATTTCGGGCAGAAAGGCTTTTCTTTGTGAAAGTGGAATGAATGCAGCTAATTTGGTGGACCTAGACCGAAAATTTCTGTCTTTTTCGTTCGTTATATTATTTGGGTAGGATCGGCTCTCTCTTTACAGAAGCCGACAACAAGCACAACAAGGTCTCCTGTGCAAACTTTGCACAAAATACTCATTGAAGACGTCATATCCTTCAAGCGCAGTAGTAACATTGAACATAGACAGAAATAACCATCTGATATGATACATGCGTCGTTTCTTTAATAAAACTGACATTTGTTGACATTCCCCAATAGAGGCGGTCAGATCGAGGAGCGAGACCCAAGACGAAAATCCAATTGAATCCCCATTGAAATACCATATATCAACTGACAATTATTTGGAGTAGAAGGTCCAGGCTACATGGAAAGTGAAACAATGCTGGGTACCTATTGAAACCAATAATTGGCAATATTGGTGCCCATTGAATCCAAGTAGCAATTGGTTTTAATAATGGGGACCAATTGCCAATTGGTTTCTATAGACGAGACATGATGAGCACTACATACACAAACCTACAGGTGCAATGGCATTAGTAGGCCTTAAACAAAAAAGTTGTATTGCCAAAACCTGGGTTGGTCGGTCGGGAGATCTTTTTTTTTTTGGACTTTTTTTTCTGTCCCTCTTTGGGATGATGTTTTCAGATCAGTTTTTTATGCATTTAACATTTTTTTCTAAAAACTGGTTAATTTTTTTTTTAAAGCCGCGACCGTAGATTTGAAGATTTTGAGATCGGTCGCAAATTAAGGGCAATAGTCAATACAACATCTTTTTTTGTTTAGGCCTTATCGTCATCCGTTTTGTCATCCCAATAGTATCACAACTTCCAACATTATTAAATAATCGCCCTCATCACGGCCATCATCACCAATATACATGTAATCATTACCACATCTTTATCAACATCATCATCAGCCAGTGACATCACTACACTTTAGGCCTACTACGAACAAAGAAGAACTCTTCTGGAAATTGCATTTTAAATAAATGAATTTAATTAATGAAATTCTTGATTTTTGTTTTATATCTAAAAAAGGCAATTCAACAATTTTCAGCTTCATACACGATCATGAATACGACACATCTCTCTTTGGAAATATAAATTTTGTCCATCTAAAAGAAATAGGTACACTTTGTTGCACACACGGGCGTGTAGGCCTAAGTTTGGTCCAAACTTTTAAGCTTTTTTTCTCATATTTACATTCAAGTTTATTTGAATATATATAGCAATCATTTTCAGGAGACATTTCTTTGGTGATATTTTTCCAAACAGACATGAAATGAACTTGAAAGCTCACAATCGATTGACCTTTCCTATTTTTTTTGCAAAAAGCTATTTAAAGCACAAATAAAATGCATTTATACAGTAGTACATACATGTATATATATATATATATATATATATATATATATATATTTGTTTGTAAATACCCAATTGTACTTAATGTGCTCATAGAGCAGTTTAGTCAAGTACCTAAATATAAGTACTTTTATTTCATATTATCCAACAAAGTCTGCCATTAAAAATTAAGAAATCGCTAAGGTGTAACCTAATTGTCAAAGAAATTTCTTCTTTAGTTGAATTATGTAGGATTCTTTTTTATGCAAATGTTATATTTAATGTACAAGAGATACATAAGAGAAACAACTTTTTTTAAATTTGTTTACCGGTACACGGTATGTTGACAATTTATGTATCACTATATGTTCAGTATGTTCACAAAAGTACGTATTGACCAGTATAATATACTAATGAACGAGAAAAGAAAAGTTTGTTACAAAATAATAACAATAACAATAATAATAGTGTAAACTTATAGAGCGCACACACCGTCCAGGGACGCTCATGAAAGCTCAGCAACAGTTCTCTTTTATACAAGGAAATGATATGACCAATAAAATCACTAAATAGAGTTATTTAATACTTAATGCAGAAGAATATATACAGATAGTTCCTGCACTTAATAAATTAATATATCGAAATGAAATCTTTATAAAGTTTTATTCCTAAATCCCTATACATTTTACACACAATATATACCGCAGTGTACTTGAGTCCAATCACGGAGGCAGTCTAGAATACAATTAGGTTTGGACTCCACAGTATTGTAAAGCAGGGCTTGACTTTAAAAGTAATTCAAAGTTTTGGTATGGGGTCATGAATTTCGTTCAAATGAACATATTGGAAGCATATATGCAATCCTACAATATTCAGTGATCGTTGTCGCGGTTGAAATCGAGTCTAAAGTTATGAATTTGTCAATAATAAACTCTTTATGTTGTTTAGCTCCCTCTCAAGGTCAAGATATTGATTCAGCCATAAAACAATGTTTCTTGACTAAAATCGGCCGAATAGCCATTCCCGTTTTGAAATTATATATCTCAACTACATATTCTGATATTTTCATGGTCGCAGCTACCATTGTACGGCCATACGCGATATTTGAATTTCTTACCAGGAGCACCAGTAAATTGTTATATTCAAATTTTCTCGAAAACAGACGTGTTTTAGGGGCTAAATTTGCCAGTGCTTGTAATACATCCACAGGGGCATCCAAATATATCGCAATTGTATAGAATCACTATCCACCCAATTTTCAAAATTTCCCAAAACTTTGTATTACCTTTAACAGGCGCCTGGGAAACAGGGCGTCCTAAATCCAAATTTTTAAAACATTTTGGTGCACACAGTTGCCATTCATACTTACAAGTTAAAAACTGCGGCAAATTTGTGTGCGGTGGCATCATATATGAACAAGCCTTTAAGTTTCAAACAATTCTTTTTAATGCCATGGGAGATTGAAAACTGCACGTTAAAGGGATAGTTTAGTTCTGTTGCAGAGGGCGCTACACAAAAAAAAATTGTGAGATAATGAAAAACCGAGTGTCAAATTTTAAAGAACATACAATTTAAATGACAATATCATCTTTGTTTGAACAAAATCGGTTCAGAGACGGCTGAAATATCCATGAATATAAAGGTTTCTAATTCTAATACTTGTGAACCACTAAAAATATTAGATAATTTGAAAAAAAAGTTTTAAAAAAGCACCTTTTACCTCGTATTTCAGCCAATGCCGATGTTGCCTTTTTTGTTGGTATTTTCGTGTTGGTTATAAATAATATGCACAACCAGCCGGCCCATGTATTGTTATTTTTAATTAAATAATTAATTAACGGTCACCATATTTTTTTTAAAGTGGAGCTGAATTGGTATGATCGTATTGGCTAAATTTCACACATTTTGGGGTCAAAATTACCTTCATAGCAACTTTAGGTTCTAAAAGGGCACTAGAAGTGTCATAGATGAGAATATAAGAGCAACAACCATGCACTTTGAAGGCATTTGCGGTCTGAAAACAGAACTCGACTATCCCTTTAATAAAAATATAGTCAGCTTTGAGTTTGAATCCACTATATTTTTATGTACATGATTATTTTCACATTATTTATGTGGCATTTTGAATACTTGGTTTACCGCATCGTATCTGAACATGCCTATAAGTTTCAAACAATTCAAGCAAATATATACAAATTATAAAACGTCAGTGTGAGTTGTTTTATGGTCTATGGTATGTGAATTGTAAATGTATTATAATTGTACCTTGTAACAGAGGCAATGGAAAAATAATTTCTATGTATCACTATGTATCACCATGGATCAATAAAGATGAAATGAACGAAATCAAATACTTTTAGATGTAAGCTTTAGTGTGTCACATTATCCAGAAACATAAATTGGGAAAAATACATTTTTTGATATACTTACAAAATTAAAAACTTGGTAAGGGTATGAATAATTTAGATGTTAAATTATATATGCATACATTTTAGTTTTCAATCATAAAATAGCACTTAAATTTGCTTGATTGATCCTTATTTTGAACAAAAAGAAACTTCAAATTTCACATTCTTCATAATTACAACCATGCAACATTTCTATACACATCTTTCTTCAGACATATAAATGCATAAAATTTGGAATATAATTTCATTTCAATTGAAAATATTGACAGTATAGTGAAAATAGGCAGCTGATAGAAATGGATTGCCATAATGTTTTAGGAAGGAAATAATATCTTCTTGATAAAAACTTCTGGGCACTATTTCATAAAAACTTGTTATCATTAATATATGCTACATTTCTGTGACAAATTTGCTCTCGGCCTATCAAATGCAATAATTTTAGTAGCTGATAATAGTTATTGTAACCTGTGATTTATAACAAGCTTTATGAAAACGGACCCTGACAGTACATGTGCAATGAAGAAATTGAGCAGTAGACATGTAATAAATACCAAGCCTTTCCGTAAGCATGCGCCGGATGATTTTTACCAAACGGTCTCCGACTTTTGGCGCCCGAAGAGACAGAAAAAATGAGTCTCAGGTGCCGGTCTTTTTTCTTCTTTTTTTTTAGCCCTGTCTGGGAGAATTAACATTTCCTGTTTCAGAAACTTTCACATGGCAGGCACTATTATGTTCACAAATCTGACAAAAACTTACTTAAAAATACAATGAGAACCCTAAAATCCTTTTGTGATTGTATACATATCCCACATAATTCATTTCATGCACTTTAGTTTTGCATGTTGTTTTTGTCTCTGTCTGTGGTTTGTTTATACATCTCAAACTGCTACCACTGCTGTGCAGTGTGTACTTTATAGTGTGCTGACAGACTAATGAATAAATAAAAGATGACGGTTGACAATCTAGAAGATTATATATTTTCACTAATTTTGGAAATGGGTCCTGGTCCTGGACTTTGAGATATTTGGCTCCTGGTCTGCTTTGACTTATGGAAAGGCTTGTGTAATACATTACCTAAAGGAATAACCTCCAATAAAAGTGAATGACAGGAATACAGGCAAGCTGGCATAAGAATTCTGAGAATGAAACCACACAGTATCTGAAATTGGTAGGAATTACAGTGACCCGAATAAGGATTCTACTGACTAGCTAGCTCTCACTATTTTCTCGACCTTTTGGACAACTGATGCATTTGACACTTTTCAAGGATACCAATAGATTGCTATTCTGTCGTTGAAAATCTCCTGATTTATAGCGCCATTTTATAGCCGTTTAAATCAGCAAGTTTTGTGAATCTGTTGTTAACATATATAGTCAACAAATTTAAAGGGATACCGTGCTGCTGCACCAGACACTGCACAGTGGGTTACAACCTGTTTACAAGTTGGCCATGAGATGATGCTGTGCAAGTTCACCAGTTCAGTCCCTTTCAAGTACAATTCTACTTTGTTCATTTTCCACCATCCTCCCAGACTGCCAAGGTCTTCTAACTCTTCTCTACTTCTTGTACAAGTACCAAATACTATAGAAACCCACAGGGATTGGTCATTAGTACTTGCTGAATCAAACGTTTTGAACGGAAAACATACATGTACAGTACATGTATCATCTGTTAACCCTTTGAAATCTTGCCTATTAAAACATAAGTTGTTCAAAACAACGGGGCGTTGGGGCATGCGCCTGTAATCCAGCTAACAATGGAAGTGACAAAACTGATTCAGCCGAGGACGCAGGTTAGAAACTGAGTCCCGTCTTTCGGACTGTAACGTTAAAGGTTGGTCCACAGATGTAAATAATCATATCTGATTGATACACATCTGTAAAACCCCAATTACACACACACAATTTCAATCATTTAACAATGTTTTTTATGTACATGAATGACCAGTGCATAGAGCATTTCGTACAATGGATAAATGGAACTTTATAAATGTTAATACCCTGTATTATTATTAGCGTTTCCCCCTCCTCAAATTTGGCCGAGGCTCAGTCAGGGCAGTAGAACGACCCCCATATGCCTCATTAACTATCCTGTTATGGAGCATGTTTCGATCATGCTGTACTGGGTTGTGGGCAAGTTGGTTCAAGGAAGCCCTACGCAGAACCTGTATTCCTATATAAGGTTGTGGTTGACGGCACTGACGTTGAGGTCTTTGATCTGAACTGTTTTGCAACGCAGGGCCACGGCCCTGATTTTGTCTAATTTCATTTCCATTTGAACCATTCTGACGTAGAGAAGTTCGAGCACCAGTGACTTCACCAGATGATCTCCTTACACTCCTTCCATGATCCTGTCTGTCTGGACTCACTTGTTGTTGACAGCTTTGACGTCGAGGTCGCTGATCTGACCCACCTTCCTGCTGCTGATGGTCACGGCTCTGATTTTGTCCCGCTTCATTTCCATTTGAACTGTTCCGACGTTGAGAAGTTCCAGCACTGGTGGCTTCACCAGATGGTCTCCTTTCTCTCCCACTATGCTCAATGGTTTCCGTTCTCTTTGAACTCTGGGGTTTTCGCTTGCCAACAGTATGACCTGCTATAACTTGACCCTTCTGCTGCCTGGGAAGCCTCTCATTGGCCCTCATTCCTGTAGCAATTTCACGTAAACTCTTCCCATCCTCTGTGTCAAGGCTGGCATCAAGACCCGAGCTATTCCTCCTCTGTCTTTGAGGAATCGGGGTACTACTGCTGCTGACAGATATGCCTGGGGCTGTACTTGCAATTGATGGACTGTGGCTCCTTAGGTTGTGATGACTTGTTGATGCTACGTTTCCGTCAGGCTTCTTCAGTATGCTTCGAGGTTGAGCAGAGTCTCTTGATGACGGAAAAGAATGTCTACGTCCACCAAATGACTTCACACTAGAGGACGCACCTTGGTCGTAGTTGCCTGACCTTGGGACCTTTGCTGCTCTCCCATGATCCTCTGTTCCTGTATCAAAGTGCACTCGCTTCTTGCCCCCGTTATTTATTCCAGCATAGCCAGATACATGTTTATGTCTTGAAGGTCTGTTCTCCTCCACCCTATTGCTCGAAGTTGACTCTCTTTGGCTCTGTGAGATATTTCTTGGAGCATAAGGCATGTGCTGTTCTTCTACGAAAATGGAGGCGTTGCCTTCGTTGCTAAGTGCCTGAGATGATCTGCTACCTGGGTCCACTCCTGGAGGTAAATAGTTGGCCCCTGCAGGCATCACAGCATCTGCCTCCATCGGATCCCGACCACTGCCATGTGCAGGATTATCCTGCGGCCATGGGTTGTGTCTGTGGCGGTAACTGTCCTCACTTCTCCTAGAATTTCCATCTTGTACCCCTCTCTGCTGTTGTCCAGGAGGAGTTCTTCCTTCAGACACATTTCTCAGAGGCATCTCTGGTCGACTACTAGATGCACTTGGCTTTGAAGGTATTGTTTCCTTTTGACAGTTCTTGGCATCTTGACTGTAGGAAGCTTGCGAAGTCCTAAAGACAAGCTGTCTGCCGGTAGCATCATCTACCAAGAATTTCCAGTTGTTGCTCATCTGCACAGAAATAATCATGGAAAGTTTGACAGGATTTGGGGCATTATGGGTAGCCTAGAGTTATGGTAATGGTGAAGAGTTGAAGAATGACTACACAATACACAATATTTCTAGTCATAGTTAAAGAAAGAGAACATTTTATGACTAATCCTTGTGATGGGCGGGACATATTGCACCTATGATATTCTTATGCATTGAAAGAAAAAGAATGGACAAAATGGACAGTGAGTGCCATAATCAGGGTGCCCTATTTATTCATTTGTCCTCTACAAAAAGGCTTACATTTGTGAAGACAAGGAATGCAGATAAACAATAATAAAGTTTGTACCTTCTGTAAACTCTTCATGTTGCCAACGATGATGAGGCTATACTTGGATCGAGTCAAAGCTAGATTTAAGACCTGTTTGTTCATCACAAATCTGATAGAATGGAAAGGAAAGAAATGAACATAAATGATGATGATGATGGCTACAATTAAGTTTATTTCTTGGATCTAAGCACTGAAGCACACATATATGCTGCAATTGATCTATTGTGGTGTCATTCTTCAAATTTTCTGGGGGGGGGGGTGGTAGGCGATTAGTACTCTTCAAGCAAATGGAGGTCTCAATGACTGTGTGACTCCCAACATTTTATTTGGGTTTGGTATATTGATTTTGTTGACCCGCTTTTTAAAACATTTAATCATGGGGGCGATTTGGCTCAGTCGGTAAATTGTCTGAGGGCTACAGCGATTTAGTTTGCTTTTTTCGCCTCCCATCATAGGCGACGCTGAATACTTAATAATAATTATAATAACTCATGATCTGACACCAGTGCATCAGTGCAAAGATGCCAACCCTATAGGATGGTTGTCAGTAACATTTACCTCATTTGTCCGTAACAAATGGGGGTCTTTCCGGAATGCAAGACAACGCAGCATTTTTTTCGCGCAAAACGTACACAAACACCCAATCACTCTCACTGCATTTCAAACCTACCATTTTTAAGTTCAAAATAAAGATGTGCATCAAAACGTTTAAAAAATCTGTTTGCATTCATAGGATCTCCTCCTCGGGTACTCGCTCTTTTTAGTGAATCCATGATAATATTCAGGAACAAAACACCTTGTTCAAGCGTCGAACGGCAAATTGGAATCCACAGTAAAAATGGCAGAACTCGTACCGTACACACTAATGCACACCACACGCCCACGGTGCCGCCAGTACCAGCCCAGGGCGCTAGGCCCGACATTCATGAACATCACGCACCGTACCTCACTTGCAATGCGCCTGCTGAGTCACCGCGCACACGATCATCCACCATCAAGCTCCCCCAAAACGCACAACCTCGCGTAGCATACCTATCAGAACAATAAAGGCAGCGGCCGTGTTGTTTCAGAATTAAACAAGATGGCGCCGGACGGACTGTGCGCAATTAGCGTGTAGAGGGCGAAAGTGCCCATCCAGTGTAGTCAAATTCAGTGAACTTTTGAGTAAATGCGTGCGCGACATGCAGCGCCGTGTACGCAGGCTATGTGTATATAGGCGGCATACGCAATAATCATGGACCTACTAATCCTATAATGTACTTATTTATCGTTTCACGTAACCTTTTGGTTGTTCACCGTAACGCCGTAACAAGAACAATAAAACCGGAACAAATACGGCGAAACCGTAACGTTTGGCATCCCTGTCGGTGAATTATTTGCATACTAACCCATTCTCATTAGGTGTCCTGGAGGTGCTGGTGCAACACAGAATGATGACATGTTTCTCCAAGCCGTAGAAATTTGTAGGGGTTCCAATAACCAGGCCAGGAATGTTCTTCCTGAAATGATACAAACATTTACAGTCAACTATAAAAATTATTTATACCCTTACCAAGTTTTGTAATTTTTGAGGTACGTCAAAACTATATTTGTCCCGATTTATGTTTCTTGAGGACGCGACACATAAAAGCTTACATCTTAAAGTATTTGACAAAGGCCCTAATCCATCTACCTTTCATTCTTGAGTTAAAAAAAGAAGAATGAAAAGGAAAGAAAAAAAAAGAAGAAAAAAAAATCAAAAAATCAAATCAAATTTATAAGGGGTATGGATGATTTAGTTGTTAACTGTACATGTATAACATCAATCATGCATGTACCGGTACTCTCCCAATTGCGTTGTGCAACACAATGGCTCTGCAAAATTACTCATTTCCCATCTTGATTAGTTACATGCCCGGCCCCCTCCCCATCCAGTGTTATTTAGGGTATGCATATGCATGTTCCCTCCTTTTGAAAACACCCCCCTATTAAAGTCCGGTGTGTAAAGTCAATGCGGGCCAATTTTTGTGTACCAAGAGCGGGACTTTGGTGCGTGAAAAGTACCCCTTTACCGGACATTTTGGGAAAACGCATGCGGTCCCTCCGACCCCGGAGTGGGGGAGGCGGGGTTACATGAAAACCGTTTTCACACTGGTGAATTAACGTTTGGTCTACACCCCGTCTAGTATCCACATGGTCTAATGATCATTTCGTCTATTTATCATTTGGTATAATCTCCAATTAGTCTACTACGCATTTGGTCTATTCAGGGGTGATAGTGAGAGTTAACTAGATATATAGATTTTAGTGAAAGTTTTTAAAAAATGGGTTTTAGAAATCTGAGCGAAGCGAGGTGCTGAGCACTTGCGCAAGGCGTTTAAGCAAGTCATAAAAAAGCCTGCACCTCACCCCCCCTAATTGATTTACATCAATCTCAGGGACTATACATTCGTTGTGAAAAAAAAATCATGATAAAAAAAAATGGGGGAAACCTATTTAACTCAAGAAATTATCAGGCCTATCTATTGTTCATTTAGTCTAATTCCCAGTTTGTCTTTTATCGATTACATGGTTATTAGACGACGTGCATAGATAAGTAGGCGGGCTGAGTGTAGACCATATGGGAATAGACCTATTGGTAAGTAGACGAACTAGTTGTAGACCAAACAGCAATAACCCTTCACACTGGTATAGATTGATCTTGCACTAGAAACAATCATGAGGAAAACTTGTTGATTAAAATTGAAACCCCCATTTGACTTTCACTACTCTTAGAGCTAGGCCTAAAGTAAACACTAGCGCTATACAATGTAATCCCCCTGCCGAGACCTTGACTGGGTGATAGAGAGGGAGAGAGAGATAAGCATGATAGAGGGAGAGAGGAAGGGAGAAAGAGTGCTCATTTTCATGATTAAAATTGTTGTTATATTGCCAATTCTGGATCATTTTGCCTTGTTTGAACTTTCATTATGGTCTTCATCTATTACTTTTGGACATGAAAATATCTTAAAACTAGTAAAATATATATTTCCTACTTCTCATTTCCTTTCATGCAGAGCCCCAGTAAGAGTTTGTTTACACTATTACGTAAGATGATGAAGAGTACAGCTGCAATCTCTCACGCAGAGCTGCAAGGCTCTGTCCAAGTTTTAACGAGAGAAACAAAAGCGGGGTCGCGATACCCCACCTGATTTACATTGGTGCCTGTGTTATAATGGTGGCTCTGTCAAAGTTTTAACGAGAGAAACGAAAGTGAGGTTGTGATACCCCACCTGATTTACATTGGTTCCTGTGTTATAGTGATGGGGTATAGTTTTAACGAGAGATATTCGTAATGGAACAAATCTTGAAGCCTTTGGTATATCTATCCCATGATACATACAATGTGGCACAGGAATTTATGTGGCATATAATAATAATTATAGAGTTAATGAAATATTTGTAATAAACCTCACCCTTGCAATCTTTCTAGAAGTTTTCCCTTTTGTCCTTCAGAGGGGGTGATTATACCTACGGTGAAGCTATCTTTTAGTTTAAGGAAGCCTGAAACCAGGACCTCGATGAATGAAACCTCAGAGGTGTTGACAACTGAACTGTACATGAGAAAAGATCAAAGAATGAGAATGTTTAGAGTATACGTACTGTAGATCGCAGGACACCTGTTGGTGACCTTTTTCTTTCATATGTCACTCAAGTTTCGTGACCAAGTTTGAAAAGTTTGTAGCACGGCTCTAAATCTCCTTATCATACGAAGGGCTAAAGTTGGAGAAAAAATCATTTGCATGTTTTTTGCACAATGATCAAAGAGCAAAAATGTTCTGTCAACAAGAAATATGAGGTAGTACTGTTACTACATCTCAATGTAGATATGTTAAATGAAGTAATCACCCTGTGAACTGTGACATTTAACATCACATACCCCATGTAGCGTATAACCAACCAATCGGACTGACTGCACTTCAATAAATAGCGATAATTTCAAGCATGTAGCGATACCGTTCACAAAAGGCGGTTCAACAACATTGGGCTTGTCTGGAATACTAAGTTATCGATTGCATGTCAGAAAGATGACTTTCCCAAAAAGAGAATCATGTGCAGCTAAATTGCTACGCCCCCACTCGGCAGACCAAAAATTCAACCAAAAAAACATCGCTTCTGACGTCATACTTTGATCGTCAACTGAAACAAAAAATGTCCTTTCAAAACAGAGATTAGTATCTTACAACCCATATCTATTCAGTTCATCCTTCCATGCTATCCTATATATGTGTGTGATGTTTATCCCAAGCTGTTTGATGGTTTGCAACTTAAACAGGAAGTCCACCCTGATATTTAGTTGGTCAGTGAAAGTTTGAGCAAAATTTGATTGAAAATAAAAAAAGTTATGAATTTTTTAAATTGTGATCTATCAAGACATAAATTGGTAACTCTGTGACATATCTTGCAAAGTGCCCTCCCATTTGTTCTGTACTATAAAGAAACTTTACAATCATAATACAGTAGCCATCTGGTTCCCGCAGGCAATGGATTAAAGTCATTTTATTTTTTTTGTGTAGCGTATAGAGATAGCAATATATATGTGCATAGTAGAAGCCAAACATGACCATTATCATTATACCAGATACTCACTCTCTCTGCAAAGATTCTTTCCCATCAGCCACGTCAAAGATGATATATGGATGAAGACAGAAGGGCGGGTGACTGCAGTAAAATAACAAATTAGTGGCTTATCACCCTCAGGATGATGTCTGATACAATAAATTGACCCATTGACCTCTGAAATAGGTGACCTCCCTACACACCAAACACAAGCAACTAACTCCCATATCCTATATCCTAACATAGAATATTATCCATAAAACTTCTGTAACCTAGATTCATAATTATATCATTATAATATGATTATTGCAATAATAATATACATAGCGTCATTTCCACAAGATACAGGGCGCTGTCCCTTAGTACAAGGACAAATTAAGAATTCGAGTGGTATGTTTTGAGATGGTTTTTTAAGAAGTCAAGTGAAGTAAAATTAATTGTATGAATACAATACTAAAGCATAAAACCTCACCAAAATTGTCTTGCAAGTACAACAGATGATAATTAAACACAAGAAAGCACACACACAAAGTAGTTGGGGTAAGGGTGAGGTAAAATTAGGATAAGAGTTGGGGAAAGGGTTAGGACAAGAGTTGGGTTAAGGTCAAAATAAGAGTTAGGATAAGAGTTGGGTAAAGGGTACTAAGGACAAAACACTCACTTAACCCGAGTCTTGAGTCTGTGTAAGTACATAACAGAGGATGGATATTTTGCAATTTCTTCCTTCATGCGGTATTGAACCTCCCATCTGTGGATACGTCTGTCCTCTATCTCAAAATTCTCAGCCAGCCTGTCTAGCATGGAATGACCGAAGTCAAGATCTTGGGCCCCCTAGGTGCATGTACAAGAGATAATGGTATTAGGTGAAACAATCAAGGGTGACAAGAAAAGTAGTCGGTCTTTAGACATTTCTTCTTTATGTACAGGTTCCATGAGTAGAGGTTTTTATGAAGAAAAAACGATTGTTAAAGATACTATGTCCCTTTTGTTACGATATGCGATATCCTAATATCCGGTATCCGTTGTAGTTGAATAAACAACATGTCTACCATAACAAACCAGTCTGCCTACTCTATATTATCCTGAGTTTTCTACCATTACTAAGACCCTCAAACTCATAATAATAATAATAATAATAGGCATTTCTATAGCGCCGTCTATCTAGATAATTCTATTCTGAGGCGCATTTATTATTGGTGGCAGTTGTGGGATATGAACCCACACCTTGAAATGACCTTTCGCAGCCAACATCAAACTCTGTACAACTTTGCAGGAATTATAAATGTGACAATTATGAATATGTCATATATGTCCTATCGAAACTACTATAACATGGCCCTCCATAATTAAGACAAAAATCTGAAGAGAGCTCTCAGGAAAAGAAAAAAAAGGTACACATATTTTTTTAACTGATCGTACTAGTACATACCTTTGAGCGAATGCTAACAATGCCCTGTTCTTGATCGCCTGCCAAGAAGACACGCTTAGTTTTACACTGCAGGGCAAGGAGAATTTCAGTTTCCAAACAATGGCTGGCCTAGAAAAAAGAAACAGAATCAGCTGCAAACATACTGTAAAACAAAGAAACAATGTGACCACTTCCACTTTTAAAGATTTCAGAAGTGGTCTAAAGTCCAGAGATTTTGTTCAACCTATTGCCTTTCGGAACTGGGCCCTGTTTCATAAAACTTTTCATCAATAACAAATCATTAACAAATACTAAATATATATGACAAATCTGCTCTCAGCCAATGGAATGCCAAGATTTCAGTAGCTTATTTGTTTTTTCTTTCGAAAATTAGAGGCATATTTTGAAGATGCAGGATTTAATTGTTAAATTGACTGCTTAGTGAGCTTTCTGAATACCGATTCGAAGCTCTATTAGTGCTCAATTAACTTGACGACTTAAAAGAAAAGTTAAAAGGAAAGTTAAGTGAATTTTCAGAAAATTTGCACTAAAGTTTCTAAAATTATTAATTTTAGGAACTTGTGCAAAATCAAGACTGCCTTCAGGCCTACCATATACATCATGTGCTTCATGTGGGAAGTTCTTTCCAATAAAACCAAACTAAAATATATGCTCACCCCCATCCCCCCCCCCCCTAATTTTTCCCAATTACCAGAACTGAAACTAATGTAGCTCAGTAAAGATCTACAAGTATATACTGTACTTACATCATCCACAAAGAGTGCAAACACATTTCCTGCCAAGCTGCTTCTTACGATCTACAAATCAAACAAACAAAAATAGTTAAATGTGACTGCATCTCTATTATGACAGGCTTGCCGAGACATTAAACAATGACTTGTCCGAAGTTGATTTATTATGACAACTAAAGTCATGTACTAGTATAAAAGATAACATTGTTTCAGAATTTCACCAGAATTTCACCAGATACATTCAGCGATAAAAAGAGGCAGGGTTGCATAATGCCAACTTTGCCATGAATAGTAACTTCCATGATGGAAACCTTGATGAGACTGGCTGTTGACTAGCTACTGCATTGTCAAAGTCCCATAGGCTTAATACAGGGACTACCAGGCAACGGGTTAAAATTGATGGACAGACCCTAGGGTTGACCTTAGTCTCCTTTGCTTTTGCACTTGATGTCAGGCGCGGATCCAGGATTTCTTAGGGGAGGGGGCCCAACTTTTTATTTTTTTTGCTCCCGAAAATTTGAAAATCGCGCCGGCCGAAATGTTGCTCAAGTGGGGGGGGGGGGGGGGGGGGGGGGGAGGGGGGGGGGGGGGTAGTGAGCACTTTTTTCTTTTTTTTCCTCAAAAAAATTTCAATTTGCACCCCCCCCCCCCTTGAGCGCCAGGGGGGGGGGCCCCAACCCCAAAAAAAGGTAAAAATCACGTGATTTTACATGATTTTTTTCTCAAGGGGGGGGGGCCCGGGCCCCCCGGGCCCCCCGGGCCCCCCCTGGATCCGCCACTGCTTGATGTTGACCACAGCAGCATTACAACGCAAGGCATACCATAACAAAACGACTATGATGATGATTATTGTTTTACCTGACTGCTAGGAAAGCATGTGCTTGTAAGTAAACAACCGGGGGACCGATGGCTTTAAGTCCTCTTCAAGGGACTTGGTAGTAAGGGTTAATTAATTAATGCCTTAACAAAGGACACAAGAGCATCCACTTGGTTTCGAACCGAGATCTCTTGGTTACGAGACCACAGCTCTACCACTGAGCCATCACGTCTCCTCAATTTTATTAAAGATACTCAAGTCAAGGAATTAGCTCTTGATGTGCCATTTCACATTATGTTTCCCATGATGAAGTTTTCCTAACAATCCATCCAAGTACATTTCTTAATTTTCAGTGTAAAGCTATAACATACAGGCGTTTATAAAGAATATGCAAAGCTTTTGTCATACACAGTGTGGGTTTTCTGTAAAATTGGTTTGTATTTTTGGTGCCAATGGGCTCTCAAAGCAAGTGAAAGGTTAATCACTTCACTAGAAATGTGAAGGTCCCTGGTTCAAGCCCCAGTACATCACTACCAATTTTCAAACATTTGATTTCAAGAATTTTGCTTGAGTAACAAAAAAGAAAGAGAAGCAGAACTGTTTACCTCTAATCCACAATCTTCAAGCGTGCACCCCACAATATCAGCTTCCTGCAGTAATCTAGTTTGAAGGTCATCTTCAGACAGCTGGTCATCTATATGAAATCCATCCATAAGAAATCCATGTAATCCAATCAATAATGTCTTTAAAATTGCACCTATCATTGTGGTAACACATTGCAGGACAATTTTCCACCACTCGCATGTAAATATAGGCCACTTAAACAAGAAAAGTCCACTTGAGACCCAAGTGAGACAATAAAAAGTCAATCAAATGATTTGGCATTTAGAATGATTTTCTTGTTATTAGTACAAATATATCAATATTGAGGAGTAAGAGTAATGGTGCGAAACAAATGATGCAAGGTAATAAAATTACTTTGTTTGCTTGGCTGTTAGTAAATTATAAGTACAGTGAAACCTGGGTATAAAGACCACCCATGGGAGACAAGAAAAGTGGTGTTTATAGGTAGGTGGTCTTCATATACAGGTAATTGGTAAAGCAGATTTACATTTGAAAATAGTAGAAACAAGAACCAGAAACTTACAGGGTGATCCTTGATTTCTCTTACTCGCCATTACAGTGGAGAGAAGAAACTGTGTGAGACGACGATCGGCTTCCTCAGCTTTATCAACACGTATGATTTTTACGCCATCTACGATGTGTTCTGAAGCATAAAGGTAGAACCAAAATATAGTTGAAAGTTGCAACACATCCATCAGGTCCGGGATTCGTTCCAAAATACTTCTTCTCACCTTCAAAGGCATCCATAATGCTCCACCTTCCCCCCTTCCCCCCACCCGGCCTCATTAGGGTTAATCTGCACTTGCCACACTCCACCCAAAAATGGGTACCTGTACCTGGTAGAATTATTACTTCAAATGCACCGTACGCTGATAATGGCTGCCGGAGCTAAAGCTAGGGTAATAATTTCCAAAGCTCTTTGCCTTTGGATGACCATAGGGATGTTTTATCATACTGTGTTATGTACTATACAAGAACGGGTAATTATTATTATTAAATTCCTAAATGAGAACCCATGTGTATCATCCAGCTCCCAGGGTAAATAACCGATTGGTGACAGATTCTCCATGAGAACCATCCATTAAACAAACACTGTATGGGTCTTTAAAACTGACAAAAAATAAATTACTCAATCACAGCATTTATATAAGACTTGACGGTTGTAATAGTTAAATCTACTTTTAAAGATAGGTAACACTTGTTATTGGGTCAATAGCTGGAGGATTACAAATTGCTCACGAGACTTTAAAACTGAAAAGAATTACTCACTCATCGCATCTCTTCCACTGCCTGTCGGTGCATTATCCATCTTCTTCATCAGAGCATCCCATATCTTCCTCAGCAAGACATCTAACGACTGGTTGGTTGGGGCACAGACCAGCAGTTTGTAAGGGTTTTTGAAAGTCTGCAAAAAAAATGGCAATACAGTCAACTCTGCTTACGTTGAATCTGTTGACAAGATTGTTGACAAAGGGCTGGTCAACAACAGCAGGGGGGTGTTTCACAAAGATCCTAAGTCAAACTTAACTTTAAGTTGGACTTAAAAATTATGGAGAGCCATTTGTAGCCTTAAAATAAAACATATTCAGAAGCAAACTAGATGGAATTCGACTGCGCGCAGTCAAAAATGATGCCTCCGTCATAGAGCAATTTTACAAACTGAAACGTAAGAAATTTTTCAAATTCAAGTTCAATTGTAATCCATTAACAGGTTCTCAGAATATCGTGATTACAAGCAATTTCTCATATACATATATGACCCTTTGATCTTTGACCTCATGACCCTAAAATCTACTCAGTTCATTGGTTCTGCAAGATGTCCTGAGTTAAATAGTAATCCATCTGTCAGTTCTAATGAGAATGCCTTCACAAGCCATTTTTGCATAAATAATGAGCCCATGACCTTTGATCTTATGAACCAAGAATCTACTCAGTTTATTGGCTCTGCAAGATACATAAATGATCTAAGTTTGGCAGGAAGCCATCAATCTGTTCTAATGATAATACGATCACAAGCTATTTTTGCATACATAATGTGCGCTGTGACCTTTGACCTCGTGACCCCAAAATCTTATCAGTTCATCGGCTCTGCAAGTAACATACATGACCTAAGTTTGGCAGGAATCCATCAATCGGTTCTTGAGATAACGCGATCACGAGCTGTTTTTGCATACATTATGAGCCCTGTGACCTGTGACCTTTGACCTCGTAACCCCAAAATCTAATCAGTTCATTGGCTCTGCAAGATACATACATGACCAAAGTTTGGCAGGAATCCATCAATCGGTTCTTCAGATAATGCGATCCAAGCTCTTTTTGCATACATAATGAGCCCTGTGACCTTTGACCTCGTGACCCCAAAATCTAATCAGTTCATTGGCTCTGCAAGATACATACATGACCAAAGTTTGGCAGGAATCCATCAATCGGTTCTTCAGATAACGCGATCACAAGCTGTTTTTGCATACATAATGAGCCCTGTAACCTTTGACCTTTGACCTCGTGACCCCAAAATCTAATCAGTTCATCGGCTCTGCAAGATACATACATGACCAAAGTTTGGCAGGAATCCATTAATCGGTTCTTCAGATAACGCGATCACGAGAACGGGACGTACGTACAGACGTACGTACGTACGTACGGACGAACGGACAACCCGAAAACATAATGCCTCCGGCTACTTCGTGACGGAGGCATAAAAATCAAGTATTTTAGAATTTTCATAAATTCAACATCAAAAACATGAAATCTCCCAAGATAATAGAAAATATGAATGATTTAAATCAATATTTCATGGCTTTTAAAATAATTTTTACTAATTATTTTCAATGATGCTAACGGCTTTCCATAATTGTTAAGTCCAACTTAGAGATAAGTTCAACTTAGGGTCTTTGTGAAACACCCCCAGGAGTGTTGATAAATTGAATCTTACCTTAGGAACCTCCTTATGTACTCTTGTGATCCGTTGAATGAGTCGACACAAGAATCCAGTTTTTCCCGTTCCCGCTGCCCCATCCATTAGTCGAATCACTTCTGATCGGGATGCGTGACTTGTAATGGATTCCATGTAGGAGTTTAGCAACTCATCGTCAGATACTCTTCCTTCCGTGCGTACCTGTGGTGCAAATCAAACATTCATTAGTCAAATCACTTTCGATCGTGATGCCCTACTTGTAATTGATTCTGTATAGGAATTTAGCAACTCCTTGTCAGATACTCTTCCCTCTGCGTTTTCCTGTGGTGCAAATCACATTCCGTCCAGATCTTTACGCTCTCAATAATCTTAATCTTCCTAAGCTTAAAATGGAAAGAACCTTTGCTCATGCTGTGGCATGCTCTCTTGCAAAAGATTTGTAATAACAGATCAGTTGAAGTATTCAAGAGATGAAGAATTGAGGTCTTCACGTAATGCTAGAAATATAGTCAAGTTAGAATTCATCAAATCATCTACAGTTAACAACTAAATTATTCATACCCCTTTAAAATTTGATGGGGAGTTTATTGTGTGTAATTTTCGTAACTTAAGGGTAAAAGGTGGACAGGTTGAATTGGGGCTTTTGTCAAATACTTTAAGGTGTAAGCTTTGATATGTCACATTTTCAAGAAACATTAAGAGGGACAAATCAATTTTTCACATACTTAAAGGGGAAGTCCACCCTAATATTAGGTTGGTTTTAATAGATGCAGAAAAATTAGAAGAAACAGGTCAGTAAAATTAAGAGCGACATCAAATTATGAATTTTTAAAGTTGCTATCAGTCAAACAGAAATTGGTAACTCGGTGACATATCTTGCAAGTTCCCCCTCCCATTTGCTCTGTACAGAAAATGCATGGAAATGTTCTATAGGGCAAAAATTTCAGATTTGAGGTAGAGCAAATTGGAAAGGAGCTCACAAGATATGTATATTTTCACATAATTGATACCTGTGTGTCCTTTGCAAACACGGGGGAGTCCTCTGGATTTATGATGTGCTTTGCGAGAGGATGGCTGTTAATAGACAGCAACGCTCTAATCTGATTCAGGTAATGACTGAGTGATGTTACAACCTGCATGGATGATAACAAAATAAAATTAGCAACATTTTTTACTATTTTTCATGCCGTTAAAACTATTACAACAAAAGGCAAGTAGGTAGAATAAGAACACAGAACTGAAAGTTCAATACAACAAAAGTTTCATGGAAAACAAATTTATTGAAATTTAAACAACTTGGATAGGATCTGATACCAGTAATAAACAAACTTTACAGACCCAAACAAAAATTGATATCAGGGTTAGTATTCAACCAGGTAATAGGTTGCTAATGTGAACATTTAGTAAGTATTCTTCCATTGTTTACTCTTGAATTCCTCCTACAATGCTCTCTCGATGATATGAATTTTTCTCCCATCAGATCTATCGAGGCTACAAAGAGCAGAACTGTTTGTATTAGATTTTTTATTGTCCATACAATTAACAACTAAATTATTCATACCATTTATCCAAGGCTTTAATTTTGAAGTACCGGTATGTGAAAAATTAGTATTTTTACTGATTGATGTTTCTTGAGAATATAACATATCAAAGCTTACTGTATTCAACAAAGGCCCTAGTTCAAACCTTCATCCCTGAGTTACGAAAACAAAAAGAAAAAACATCAGATTTTCAAGGGGTATGAATAATTAAGTTGTTAACTGCACATACCTTCAGTCTCGTTGAGCTGGGTACAATTATGCTCTTGTGAAGGGCTAGACATATGGTCCTATCTGACAATCCAATCTCACGGACTAGTCCGAAATTGAACTGTTTCTCTGAAGCAGTGTCAGTCGTCATGTCAACGAGGACCAGGTCTCCAACACTCAGGTCGTGAGGTTCTGTTGGATTATCAGCTGCTTCATATTGCACTACATGTGTAGGGAATGAAATACACAGTCAACTAAAACTGTACATAACAAATGAACAAATACAAAATATAAACACTAAGGTTCTGATATGACTTAAACTACCACAAAAAAGGGGGGAAATTGCTGTTTTCTCTTTTTTTAAACTTGTATATATGTAAATTAATTGAAAGTAGAAAACAAAATTCAAAAGATTTACATTCATAACTTATATCAATAAATAAGTAAAAATAGGTATCTAATTTGAATAACTATAACTAAGTGATATATAGTGAATTTCTTGTAACAAAAACTTATGCAGCAGAACATTTTATATGCATGTCAAAATCCTTGCAAAATTGGGCGTCGATTGGACCTTCCGTAGTTGAGAAATCTGACCCCCTCCCCCCACCCCCCACATCTTCCATTAAAAGTCTTTCCCAGAAAACCCAGTCAGAATACGATAAATGGTCTTCTACCTTCAACGATGTCCCCTGAGATATTGTTCACTCCAGAGCTCTGCCTCCATGTCCTATCACAATCTTTAGCCACAGAGCTCGAAACCTACAGGAGAGTAAATTGTGTTTTGATGGAAAAAGGGGTAGAATTTGAAGTAGATTGATTAGTAGAGGTATCTCAGTCTAGTGGTTAAACACTTAACTGGAGATGCAAAGGTTGTGGGTTCAATCCGTCCCCGGCAGATTAGTCCCTAAAGATGAAGTTGAGTTTTGGTCATGCGATTGCATTGTTAAAGAAGCGTTGTCGAATCGATCAGAAAAGGTTGATCATCTAGCATATAAGTATTGGTGTGTACTGCAAGGTTCTGGAATCATCAAAATGATAAGACATTTGGCCTAGTCTTGGTACTGTACACAGAAAGATGAATATGGGACTACAGGAACATATGGCGTAAAAATCCGTCCTGATTTATATGTTACATGCCATCATTAGAATATTAAGGCTTTTGAAGAACCATGCCTTTCAGGGAACATTTTTCATCTGATGTTCTTCCACACTTGCATAATACAATGATAACGCTCATAAATAATTGTTCACCTCTTCCCAGAACTCAACCTTTTCTTTAAGCAAGCCATTTTAACTCCATCGCTTCTCTCCACCAAGGTGTTACATGAAGGATGCAAAATTTGATGTGGTTGAATTGGCACATGTATGAATGTAAATTAGTGCCTGGTAGGTAGGAATACTCCCCAGGGAGCAGAGCATGTGTACTATCGTTAGAGGAATGACAACTGATTCCAATGATTTTGATCATGACGATTTGAGTGTGAAGGGCTTAGAAATGTGGTATAAAGCACTTGAAATATGTAAATATTTTTACTGTTATTATTAATTATGATGATATGAGATTTGTAAAATTTGCTTCTTACACTTTTTCTTTTTGTTCATATTGTTTGAATATTCTTTATATAGGTAAAATACATTGTAATACAAATCTCCATTGCTTACATAATGAAAAAGGTAGGAGGAAAAATGGTTGAGAGAGGGAGAGAAGTGATAAGAGAAAGAGAAAGGGGAAAAGTTGAGGATAAAATTACTCACGTTTGACCACATCTCCAGGAGTAAAAAGCAAAGAAATGCCTCTTGATAGCTCCTAATGTCTGGGTAGCATGCATGGTGTTTTGGTACTTCCTTACCCGTCAAGAAAGATTGCAAAATCTCTGCAGGATGTACTGAGTGGATTGATGCAAAATATTAAAAAACAAAACAAAGCAAGACAGATGTCACTGGTAAGCAAATTTGTAAAGAATTAAAACTAAAAGAAGATAATGCTTCCACAAATAGCTTCCAAAAATAGTTTGTATGTATATTCAAGATATGATCTAACCTTTTGATGCTACTTATGATATAAAGAATGATTGGGACACTAAATTTTTTTTTAAATACAAACATTTAAATAACAAGTTTATACAAAATTGGGCACAAAACAAGATATGAATTTTAAAAGTTGTAATCACTAAATTAATGGGTACTTCAAATTGACTGAATTAGTAATATCACTATGATGTTATGCCACAAAACTTAATCATTTGTTCCAACACCCAAATTGACTAAAATCGTTTTATTATTTTTTAATGACTCAGGAAGGTCTCTAATTTTCATAGGACCTACATGTATAATGATATACTATCCACGATACATTTAAAACAGAAATATACTTTAAGCATGACAAACTGGACAGTTGTCCATGGCGTCAAAATCCATCAGCAGAATTGCCAATTTGAGATTTGCATAGGTATAGTCATCTCATATTTCAAACATTCATAACTCTCGTTATTGATTTTTATCAAATTTTCATCCTTCTGTTTCTCTTGCTTTTCCGCTTTTCCGCACTTTAAAAAAAAATCCAAAGCCAATACCTTCTTTGTGCTTGTCAAACCAGTCAGCATTCCATGAGAGTACACACGATAAGACATCCTCTTGCTTGAATTCCTTGGTGATCTTTAGCAAAAATAGAATCACAAGTATGAAAGGACCATGTTAATTTAACCCTTGTTGAGCAACTTTAGAAAAGGTATCCAAAAACAGGATTTCTCAAAGTCTTGTTCACATATGGTACAGAAAAATCACAGTAATTTTATTTTTTGTAATGCTTCTCCAAAGGCCATTTGCTGCCCATTTTGGGCCAAAGGGGCAACGACGAGTACCTCTTTAGACCGAGAAAAGGCCTCCTTGACTTGACTTATCCCATAATCAAAATGTGATACAGAATTCTTTAAAACAATAATACATGCAAACAATAATTACAAAATAACTATACACATGAGAATGTTATGACTTCTGACACAAGTCTTCTGAAAGCCCCTCTGTACTACTTGTAGCTACTTGCTCCCTCTTTGTAGAAAACTTCCCCAATCAGTGCCTGTTGGTCCCCCATGGTCCTCTTTTTCTTATGTTAATTGATAGCTGAGTTGATGAGAAAGCCACTTGTCAGTGACCACGCTGTGTGGTCTAATCTCTTCTGGCCAAACTAGAGAACTACAGACGGCCTTTAAGATCAAGTTGAGTTATGACAGAGCCAAGACTAACATTTAAGCAAGAGAGAGACGTGGCTGACATTCCTACAGTTACTATAATACAAGTTGTGACATGCAATTCATTAACACTTTAAAACATCTACCAAAAACAACTGCCCCTTATGCCACCAGTAGTTGCAGATGAAGAGAGGGACTTACCTGATTAACCTTGGAAGGTTCTGTCCCTTGGTTTCCTGACGGAACACTTGATGTCTGCGAGTGGCGTCTCTTCTTTAGAGGTTTGCTCATGTCCGATGCCACCAATGATGGGTCTGGAGGGTCACTTGGACAAGCAGATCTATCATCTCCAGTAGGTTTTAACCTGTCTGGTTTGGTACTGGGTGTTTCAGAGGTGCCTGAAGAGGCAGAATGACCACCGTTAAGAGTCCTTGAGGATTCAGAGATGTTACTGGAGTACGAACTTGTTGAAGGAAAGGAAACACTTGGAATTGATGAATGACCATGTGACAAACTTCTTGAATCTGCAGGTAGTCTATCCTCCAAACCCATCTCATTTGAGTTCAAAGATGCAGGTTGCTGGAGGCAATCCTGCACGGAACGGATCATGGATGTAGAAGGGCTTTCTGAAGGTTCCTTGGAACTTAAGCTGAGTGTATTAGATGGAGTGTCAGGAATGTCCTGTAGAGAGTCGGTCCTCTTGGTATCATTCTTCTCCTTTTGTTGATCACTTTCTTTCATAGTTGTCAGTAATTTATCCGCTCTTGAGGGTCTTTGGAAGTTTTTATTCTTTTTAGGTATATGTTGTTCATTTGAAGTTGCAAGTAAGTAGCCAGGTGCTGCTGTAGATGTGCTTGGGGCCTCACCGGGAGAGGAAGGCGTAAATAGAGTTTCTTGCGAGAAAGAAGACACATGTCCTGAATCTCCCTCTTGTAGCAACAAGAATCTTTCTTGTGGATCCAACTCTGAGGGACACCATGCATTTCGTTGGCAAGGAAGAAGTTTCTTTCCAGAGTCCTTATCAAGGTTCTTTGAAGCTCCTCTGGTTGAGTGGGCTTTGGAAGGAATGGACATAGTGTCTTCATTCTCCAGGTTGATACTCAACTGAGAATCTGTGGGAAAATACTGTCCTTTGTCCTCGAGAGTGGTAAGTTCTTCAGTATCCACATCGTCGAGGCTAATACTTAACTGGGAATCTGTGGGGAAATACTGATCTTGAGAATCATCTTCAAGAGTGGTAAGTTCTTCAGTATCCTCAATGTCGAGACTAATACTTAACTGGGAATCTGTGGGAAAATATTGTCCAGGAGAGTCATCCTCTCTTTGCAAACTTGGCCGATTGACACCATTACTTCTGTGGCTTGAGGAAGGTTCTAAACCTGCGTCATCCCTTTGAGGTTGATGGATTTCTTCATCAGGGCTTTGACAGCTTACGTGAGAGTTAGGTTCTAGGTCAGCAGCTTCTCTACCATCATGTTCCTTATCCCCCAACAAGTATGATGGAGAATCTCTTGAAACGATCATCTCAGAGGTATGCAACTCTTCATCTGCATCACTTAATGAATCTTCAGTTTCGTTATGAAGAATAGGCGAGAAGGGCTGTGTATCAAAATACTCAGTTGTTGTATTATGGACTACCTCATCCACTGCATCGCTTGTCATATTTTCAGTGCGGCCAGGATCATCTCCATCATTACTGTCAATCATGGTTTCATCTGAGTTGGGGTGTTCTGACTTGATACCGCCAGCTTGACTGGACGATGGATCTAAGTCATCATCTTCAATACATGTTTCATCAGAGTCTGTCTCACTCTTGGACACCACTGGAACTTTTCTGATTACAAGGCGTCTTCTTAATTTATTCATATCTTCATCGCTGGCAGTATCCATAGGCTCTTCTTCTGTACTTCCATTCAACATGGGAGTTGGATTTGTAGGAGGCAACCTGTCCTTGTTTCCAGATTGCTCTGGACCCTGTCCTTGCTGCAAGCAATCCTCATTTGTTGAATCTTGATTAGATTCAGGATCCTGTAATGAACCAGCATTACTCAACGAACGACTTTTGCCACCCCTTGTCTTCTTGTGACCTCTCCTATCCCTGCATCTCTTTTTACCTTTCACCTTACGCTTTCTTCTGGCAGCAGACTGTTCACCACACTCTGCCTTCTTCTGTACATTGTCGCAGGATGTCTGGTTTTCTTCATCTGTGGATGATCTATCACTTCTACTGTGACGTTTTCTACTGCTTTTTCTGATGGCCGATTGGTTCTTCTTTGGCCTTTTATCCACAGGTTCTGGACAAGAATCCGACTTGATTTCATCTTCTTCATCTGTGGATGATCTATCATTTCTACTGTGAGGTTTTCTACGGCTTTTTCTGACGGCTGATTGGTTCTTCTCTGGCCTTTTATCCACAGGTTCTGAACAAGAATCCGACTTGATTTCATCTTCTTCATCTGTGGATGATCTATCACTTCTACTGTGAGGTTTTCTACGGCTTTTTCTGATGGCCGATTGGTTCTTCTTTGGCCTTTTATCCCCAGGTTCTGGAGAGGAATCCGACTTGATTTCATCTTCGATTTCATCTTCGCCATCATCTGACAAGCAGCCTGAAGAAAGAAAGGACAATGTTTCATTTTGTACCATCATTCTTTTACAGTCAAACCTGTCTATAGCGACCACCCAAGGGAAACACAAAAGTGGCCTTTGTAGACAGGTGGTCTTTGTAGACAGGTTCCTTTAGTACATGATTCAATGAGAAACCATTTTCAAGGGAAACAACAAATGTGGCCTTTGTAGACAGGTGGTCTTTGTAGACAGGTGGTCTTTGTAGACAGGTGGTCACTAAAGCAGGTTTGACTGTCTATACAAGTAGACTTCGATGTTAAACATTTTGAAATGATAATGAAAGGGTTAGAATATAACCTAACAGATTAAGGGTGCGTTCAATCGAATTTTCGAAGCTAGAATCACAAACATGAATCACAAATCAAAACGCCATTACAAAAAACAAGGTCACTGCGGTTAGCGTTCAAGCGATTTTTCATCAACGCTGATTCTAGCTCATTTCGAGCCCAGCCACTGCGGATCACACTTGCAGTTTGACCCAGGAAGTAAAGGTCAACTTCGGCGCGCGCTTTTTGGAATTGTTTACGGCCGACTGTCGACTGCTGTTTTTGAGCATAGATCGCAATAATAAAACAAAGAATGAGAAGGTGATGGAAGGAAGAAACAAAAAATAACATAAGGAAAGACAGAAAGCGAAAGTGATAGAATGATTGAAACAAAGAATAACATAAGAGAAAGTGATAGAATTATAAAAACAAAGAACAACATAAGAGAAGGTGATAGAAGGAAGGAACAAAGAATAACATAAGGAAAGACAGAAAGAGAAAGTGATAGAATGCTTAAAACAAAGAATTACATTAAAAATGCTGATAGAAGGGAAAAAACAAAGATTAACATAAGAATAGAAGGAAGAAACAAAGAATAACAAAAGAGAAAGTGATAGAATTATAAAAACAAAGAATAACATAAGAGAAAGTGATAGAAGGAAAAAACAAAGAATAACATAAGAATAAAAGGAAGAAACAAAGAATAAAACAATGAAAGACAAAAAGAGAATGTGATACAAGGAAGAAACAAAGAATAACATAAGGAAAGACAGAAAGAGAAAGTGATAGAATGATTGAAACAAAGAATAACATAAGAGAAAGTGATAGAATTATGAAAACAAAGAACAACATAAAGAGAAGTTGATAGAAGGAAGGAACAAAGAATAACAAAAGAGAAAGTGATAGAATTATAAAAACAAAGAATTACATAAGAAAAATTGATAGAAGGAAAAGAACAAAGATTAACATAAGAATAGAAGGAAGAAACAAAGAATATCAAAAGAGAAAGTGATAGAATTATAAAAATAAAGAATAACAAAAGAGAAGGTGATAGAAGGAAAAAAACAAAGAATAACATAAGAATAGAAGGAAGAAACAAAGAATAAAATAAGGAAAGACAGCAAGAGAAAAAGATAGAAGGAAAACAAGGTATAACATAACGAAACAGGCCACGATAAAGAGCATGGTATAGTAAACGCAAATTGCATGAAAAGCAGGCGCGCGGTTTTTGCCCAAACCGGAACAGGCCCCGTCATACAATCATGATTGAGAACTCTGTCCGTTCAATCGAATTTTAGCGACCGTGATTCTGCAGAATCATGATACAAAACGCATCTTTTTCAGCGTTTCATGTTTGTGTTTTCAAACACGTTTATTTTTACGACCGACGAAAAAATCGCTTGAACGCATTGCGTTTTAAACTAAACGTCTTTAGAAACCGTGATTCTAGGGTGAAAAAGTGTCGATTAAACGCACCCTAAGACATCTAGATGCCTAGCCCGAAGGGCATTAATTTATATACAAAACTGTTAATGTCATTCTGGCTCAAAACAGACATAAACTTGTAAATGTAAAGCTATGAAAAACAATAACCATTTTTGTGTGATTCCTTTATAACTTGTGAAAACAGCTCTCATTGATGATTTGAAAAGCTCAAATTGTACAGTTAATTTTAAAACTCATGTACAGTTTTAGTAGCAAAAATAAAATGAGACAAATGAGACAGATGAGACAAATATTTTTTAGTTTTTTACAAGATCATTCTATCCATGATTTCCTGTGAAATCTGTAAATCTGTAAGGAATGCTAGATAATGCCTGAACACTTCCCTAAGGACCCTTCTACCCTGATTGCTCCTGAAACATTGCAAGCTTTGCTTATCGGGATTCGCGCCTTCTTCCTTGTAATACAAGTTCTTTAATTATATTTATATTCCTATGTATAAATTGTATTGTTTGAACAGATGTCAAATATGTTGTCAAATTGAATGGAAGAAAACATATGTTCATGTGAATTTAAAATGAATTCAAATGTCACAAAAAAGAACTTTTAACTTACAAACATCATCAAATATGTTGTCTTTTGTGTTCTGGATGCTTCTTTTCATGCCAGCAACTTTAATCATATTTACCATAAGTTTACTACAAATGTTTCAAAGCAACAAAATTTGTATAACTATTTTCAAGATTCAGCCTATTTACGGACATGTACACTGTGTATGTGTACATGTCGTGTGTGTAGTGCTGGTCGCCGTTGTTTGAACTAATACTCTCCAGGATGGTATCTGAATTATATGCTACCTCTTATTTGTTTAATATTTCACTTGAGGAAAAAAAAACTTCACTGCAGCTTAGTAAATGCGAGTATCTACAATGTACATTGTACATGTACATGTATAGATCTATAATCCAGGAAATGGAAGAAATGATTTTGAGGGATTACCAAAACTGTAAATCAGCTCTAATGGAACATAAATGTAGGCCTGCATTGTGAAATTTATTTCTTCACACTGAGTACTTTATTATTGTAGACTTTGTAGTATAATTACCTGCGGGTAAAGGAAGTCTGTGGAGCTTAAGTTCCATTCTATCGTCGTCAAGGGCTTGATGCAAAAGAAATTGGGGAAATGGACCACCTGTTCATTAGAAGTGAGAGAAGAAAGACATGTAACTTTCAGAATTAATTACCCAAATGACCTATGATGATACCCAGTAAGCCTATACACTTGCCGTTAAACTGTAACAGGACCGTAAATTACCCCCCCAAAAAAAAAAATATATATATATAATAATACCGGTAATAATAAAAATAAAATAAAATAATAATAATAATAAAATAAAAAATAACCCCCTAGGACATGGGTTCTCAAAGTATTTCCTTTACAGTCCAGATGTATTTCCACAAAAATTACAAGGTCTGTAACATGGGATGCCATTTGCTGATTTGCATGAAAATTCTTATCTTAAAGGGATCCGGTAACTTTGTCTCAGATTCTGAAACAAAATTCTGGATTTAGCTCATGCTGCAATCATAATTACAAACCTTTAGGTCAGTCAGGAACCCCATGATTTTTACAAGCCGATCGCTTGTCTGATTAGCAAGATATTTATGATTGGATTTACAAATTTTGAAAAACATTTGCCTAACGGTTTTCATAACACTACAGTCTATTGGGGAAAACAAGTATGGTAAAACCGGTCACTCAAAGATTTTTAGTTTTTTGAGGCACTTCTTGATCATTTTGAAGCTCAATTTTTTTAGGGCATCAATATTACACCATATCACAGACACTGATAACACGTAGGGCCATGTATCTCAGATTTAACATTGTTAAATGATCCCTTTAATCATAGACAACTGAAGTAGAATAATGTAAAATTGTTGGAAAGCCGGAAACGACTCAAGCATTCCTCAATTTTGTTTCAGACTAAGAAAATCTACTACGGTACTTAAATTTAAAGTAATGACAATTGTATACCGTACTGAAATAATGAGGCTTGTTTTAAGTCTATTTCTGATCTAAGAGAAATTTTAACAGACCTGTAGATCAAAGTAAAACAACTTGTCACACAGAACCAGACTAGCAACTTTAAACTGCAAAAATTGACTCTTAATTCAGAGGAAATGGGTAAAACTATAAATTTCTCAGTGGCGGATCCATGATTTTTCCCCAAAAGGGAGGGGTGCAAGCCAACGTGTGCACAAAGTACACTGTGAGCACGTAAACGCAAGCTTTTCTGGGTGGTGCCAGGGGCGGACTCCAAAGACGCTATCGAGATTTAGCAATCCAGAGCCTTTAAGATAGCTTTCTTGAGTGCTAGAAACACCCACATATGATACAGAAACATTCATTTTGGGGTAATCATAGCATGTAGCTTTTACCAACCTTAAAATATAGTAAGAAGCTTTTGTCTACTCTTGTGGACTTTCTCAAGCCATGTGATTATTCAAACACTTTATTTATGCTGAATCAAGATCACTGGAGCGAAGATACAGTACCATGTACATGTACCTTGTACAATGTAGGTGACAATGATTTTCATTGAAGAATTAATCCTCTTTATCTACATGGATTCTTTCACCTTTCTTGACCAGAAGTGCATTTCAAACTCAAGATCGCTGGAACAAAGATAAGTGACAATGACATAGTCATTCAATGAAGGAATAATCCTTTTTTTTCATCATCCCATCAATCCAGTGATCTGTTAAAGGTAATACAAAGTTTTGGGAAATTTTGAAAATTGGGTGGATAGTGATTCTTCACAATTTTGATATATTTGGATGCCCCTGTGAATGTATTATAAACAATAACAAAATTAGCCCCTAAAACACTTCTGCTTTCGAGAAAAATTGAATATAAAAATTTACCGGTGCTCCCGGTAAATTTTGGTAAATTTCAAATACTGGTAGCGCCTACGGCCGTACAATGGTAGCTGCGACCATGAAAATCTCAAAATATGTAGTTGTGATATACAATTTTCAAACTGGAGTAGTTAATCGGTCGATTTTAGTCAAGAAACATTGTTTTATAGCTTAATTAATATCTTGACCTAGAGAGGGAGCTATACAACTTAAAGAATTTATTATTTACAATTTCATAACTTAAGACTCGATTTCAACCGCGACAACGATCACTGAATATTGTAGAATTGCATATGCTTCCAATATGTTAATTTGAACAAAATTCATGACCCTATACCAAAACTTTGTATTACCTTTAATAACAGAGTGAGATGGAATGCTCAATCTGAGGATTCTTTTTTGCTCTTTTAAAATTCTATGGGATGATGTCCACATTATTGAGTTTGAGAGGCACTGGTCAAGAAAGGTGAAAGATCGAATCCATCTGGATAAAAAAAGATTAATCCTTCACTAAATCTTCGCTCTAGTAAACATGAGGCAGCAGAAAACAAGGAAATTGTGTGATTTATAAAAAGTTCACTGTGGTGGACGAAAGCTTGCCTACATGTACGTTAAGGTTGGTGGTAGAAGCTTAACCTCCATGAAACACAGTTTGGATTTTGTCTTCATCTGGTGAACTTTGTTATAATATAAAATTTTATAGATTAATAATCCAACCCAATTGTAAAGTGAAATCAACAAGAGTCATACCTGGAGGATGAAGACCTGTGCCACTTGTAGATGAGGCGTCTGAATTAACGGCATCATCAGCTTCACAGTCGCTGGATCTGACAACACCTGATGAAATGTGATCCTGAGGCAACGGCGATTCCCGAGACGGAACGGAACTGGCCGATCCGGGTGATGAAACCTGAGGCAACGGCGTTTCCCGAGACGGAACGGAACTGGCCGATCCTGGTGATGAAACCCGAGGCAACGGCGATTCCCGAGACGGAACGGAACTGGCCGATCCGGGTGATGAAACCCGAGGCAACGGCGATTCCCGAGACGGAATGGAACTGGCTGATCCGGGTGATGAAACCTGAGGCAACGGCGATTCCCGAGATGGAACGGAACTGGCCGATACGGGTGATGAAACCTGAGGCAACGGCGATTCTCGAGATGGAATGGAACTGGCCGATACGGGTGATGAAACCTGAGGCAGCGGCGATTCCTGAGATGGAACGGAACTGGCCGATACGGGTGATGAAACCTGAGGCAACGGCGATTCTCGAGATGGAATGGAACTGGCCGATCCGGGTGATGAAACCGGAGGCAACGGTGACTCCCGAGATTGAACAGCATCTGGGCTGCCGCAGTCTTCTACATGTAAGTCCCAAGGCCTATCCTCAAACTTGCATTCTACAGGCTCTACTTGACTGTAAGACTGAGATTCCTTCAAAAAAACTCCCAGGGTCATTACGTCGCCACTGCTGTCACTTGCATCACCATGATCACTAACCTTTCCACTAATATTTCCTGTCTCATTCTGATGTATTTGATTTTGAAACTGTTCTTCATCATTATAATCACCATCAGAACTGTTCTCTCCAATACCACCGAATTGTTCCTCTTCCTCAACTTCAGACTCAGAATCAACTGCACTACCTTTCCCCGCTGGTGGCAGTGAGGTATATTCCTGCTTTATTGCAATATGCCTTTTCCCACATCGTGACGCTGTGACCCTCCCAGTGCTTGTGGATGGCAAATCTCTGCCGACATCATCATCCTTATGGCTTTCGTTGTCACTGCCCCAAATATCTGGTAAATCTGAATCAGAGTTTGAGGCATTATCCTGCAAATCCTTGGCCGAGTTTGAGGGAATATCTTGAGGGTCGACACAGCCAGTGTCTGAGGATACGCTGTCCCTTTTGGATTCAGTTAAAGGGGATCCCTCATCCTCACTATCATAAATCACGATACAATTATCCTCCATGGTGTCTCCCACTCCTTAACTCTTATTTAATTCTGCTTCATCTCTCTGTAAAGTCTAAATTGACGTAGATTCTAATCGTAATCATCATGACATGGACATTCTGAGCTACATCATACATCTATTTCCTTTTGTTCGTTTCTCATCTGGCCATCGATCTGCACTCAGCTTTGAGAATACTATCGAGTATTGGCAATGTTCCTTCAAAGATGAGGCAAATTAATCAACGTCTAAAAATTGTGAATTAACAAGAGAACCATATAGTCACATAAAAAAATTCTTAATTTGCCCATATGCTCATCTGCTCTCATCTTGGTGTCGTGGGTGGGGGTTGGACCTTGCTAGGGGCCGGATAGTATCAATGATGAGACGTAGACAGCAGATTAAGGTCTACAAGGTTTATTCCGTGTCGTAAACAAAAAACCCTGTAAAGATACAGAAAAAAGGCAGTGATAAATCAATTACATTACAGATTCAAACAGTTCAGTGACATTGTTCACATATTCAATATGCATGTATTTGTTCATAATTATACATTGTATAAAAACCAATGTCATTACGCAATCTAGCGTATAACTGAAATAAACACCTGATTCAGCTATGCAGGATACATTATACTACGAAAAAGGAATTTTCCAAGTGAAAGAACATCAAATATAACCTCGATCCTTAACACTTAATTGAAAGCAGAATATAAATTTGCCTTAAACTTAAACATCATAACATAAAGACTTCCACAAATATCCAACTTCCGATAGGAATGCCAATTAATTAGCATGTTCTATCTGCTTTATTTTACATCATGACTCTTCAGACTCAGAGTCGAGTCAGAGGTAGCCTTTAAACAAGGCCACATACAGGTGTACCTGGTAGACGCCGAGCGACTAAAAAGAGACTAATCGCGAAAACCTGAATGAACGCCAGTGCGAATTGTCCAGACCTGTGGCCTTTATCAATCTGGTTTGGATTTCTTATGTTAACCCTTGTTTCCGACTGGAACTCGCTTCAGAAAACGTAGTGTCCAATCAGCGAACGTATCCTAGCACGACGTCAGCATATAGTATCCATCGCACACACACACACACACACAGTAAACTCTACGTAGTGCGAACATGGACCTACATGCCTACTATACGTACGTGCTAAGACCACTGACCACTGACCTCTACATGGAACGAATCACGAACGAAGCCAACTGGGAGATCGCCGTTCTGATTGGTCAATGAATCCAAAGTAGGCGTATTGGCATAAGCCTACTAATATTTATCTATGAATAATTCATGCGAAGCAGTGAAACCCACTTTCCAAAAGGCCTCATATGACATTCGTCATTCGGTCACGCGTTCACTCCGGGTATCTAGACTCATCTCAGCCGCTTAGCCAGAGTCAACGAGGCCTTGTCAAAAGGCTAAGTCAGAGGTAGATGTGTCTTAATTGTTACAACAGCTGCCCTTACCGAAAACGCAGGCTTATTTAGCCTGCTTTGAACCTGCGTCTGGCCTGCATTCTTAAATACATGCTAATTATTCTATTGCATGTTAAATTTTAGCCTGTATTTTGCAAAATCAGTCTTACATGTTTTAGCAGGTTAAATTTTAGCCTGCATTTTGCAAAATCAGTCTTACATGTTTTAGCAGGTTAAATTTTAGCCTGTTATTAGCATGCATTTTGCAAAACACAGTCTAACAGTTTTTAGCAGGCTAAATCTCAGCCTGCAGTTTAAAATTAGCATGCATTTTGCAAAATACAGTTTTAGCAGGTTAAATCTTTAGCATGCCAGATGAGATGCAGTTTAATCTTTAGCATGTAAATTTCTATCATAATTTGTTAAACCTGCAATCTGGAGAAATGTCCTCTGAGCAGGTTTAACCTGTTATTGCTTTTTACAGGTTATTTTTCACATGCACGTTTAATGTTATATATCAGGGGTGATTCGAGACTTGAAACAAAAATAGGTTCATAGAAAGCCGAGCAAACGAGGTTTCGAGCGCTTGGGGAGGCATCCCCAGACAAAAATCCCAATTGAAACCAATTGAACACCAATTTAATTTTCATTTTTTCAGTTGGTTTTAATTGGTCTCAATGGGACTTTAATAGGACTTCAGTTGGTTTCAAGTGGTCCAGATTGGCCCTATTGGACCAATTGGCCTAGGCCCTATTAGACTTTAATGGGAACTCAATTGGTTTCAATTGGACCAATTGGCCCTATTTTGGACTTCAATTGGTCCAATTCAGTTTCAATTTCATTTTATTTTCATATTTCACATGTTTATTTCATTACATTTGGCATGTTACATTTTTTGTAATCATTTTTTTGGGGGGATGCATTTATACAAACGAACAGAATAATACATAAGACTAAGTTAAATAAAGGAAGAAATATGATGGAGCCTAAAGAGAGAGCAATGTTTTTAGGCCATAGTTATAACATTGATATAGTCTTGTGTTTATTAAATATCGTAATTGGATTAAATTGCAACTTATATGAAGAAAAGATATATTTGAACCCAATTGAAAACCTTACAGTCTATGGGGCTGATTGGTCCAATTGAAGTCCCATTTAAGTCTATGGGGCTGATTGGTCCAATTGAAACCATTTGAAATATCTAATGGGGCCAATTGGTCCAATTGAAACCAATTGAAATCCCGATTAGAGTCAAATGGGGCCAATTGGTCCAATTGAAACCAATAAGACCAATAGATCTACCAATAGGAACAATAGGACCAATATAAACCAATAAGACTAATTGAACCCAATATGGGACCAATAGAAACCAATAGAAACTTTCATTTATGTTAGCCTGCCTTTTCGATTAGCATGCTAAAATTAACCTGCAATACGTATCTCATGAATATTCATTATTACTTTACACGTCTCACAGAAAAATACATTTATCATGATTAATTGTTAAGCAAATTATGACAATTAATGCACATATCAATTTTGTGATTGTATTTTTCTTTGGAAATTATTGACCAATAGATTATTTGTCTGATCACACTTACATTCACGTTTTAGCAATAGATATATTGATTATACGATTACTAACCAATTCAAATAGCATGTATGTTTTCTATATATAGGTGTATGAGCCTGTACCTTTACAAAAGTCAATCTTGTATTAACTTCAAATGATCTTTGTGATGGAGTTAGTCTAATGCAATTGAGGTTAGAATATTCCTATTGGTGGACACTTGCAAATATTGATTATGATGTATCAATTTATCCCTTGTTCCTCTACCCGAGTTGATATACCAATAGAAGTCTTGTACCGATAGTGATGGCAATTAATCGAATATCTTCATTTTTGTTAGCCTGCATTTTAGATTAGCATGCTAAAATTAACCTGCAATTAACTTACATATTTCAGCATTTTTGCAGGCTAACAAAGCAGGTTAATTTGCATACTAAAAAAGCAGGGCAATTTTGCAGGCTAATTGAGCCAGGTTAATATGATTTTGCAGGCTAAAATAAGCCTGCTTTTAAAATGTACAGGCTAAATTAAGCCTGCCTAATTTGCATATTTCGGCGTTTTTGCAGGTCTAGTGCTTGCTAAGGAATTAGCCTGCTTTTTAGCAGCTATGCAGGCTTGATGCAGGCTATAAGCAGGCCTGCCTTTTCGGTAAGGGTGAGTACAATTACAAGCCTATCTACATGTAAACATGTTGACGTTCAGATATTTGCACAGATTTACAAATGTAGCCTCAAGTTACAATCTAACTCTAAGCCAATGGGGTGTGTCCTTCTCCTTGAATGTACAGTATATTCTATACTTACTAGTTTATGCTACAACTGCCTTTAATTTAACCAGTTGTAAAACGCACAGATATCGCTCACTAATTGCTTTGCCCTTAATTGGCCTGGCATCGATCGCCACGGTCTCTTTATTCTTAGCCTCGGCTCAGCAGTGCAGCTAGTTTGGTAGTATAAGTGCTCCGACAAAAACAAATGAAATGTCCGAAGTCAAATATAGATCTATCCCTCTTTTCTTTTCAACGCGACAAAACACATACGTATGCTACATGTATACAATTACCTTCAATGGATTCGTTCTTCCACGTCGTGGGTCAAGTCTAGAAAAACACCGCATCAGCCAAACTTCAGCGGCCCAAAGATCGATTTACCAGCAGTAAGGGCAAGCATCAAGCTAGACAGAAATAACCGTCTGATATGGGTCATTTCTTTAATAAAACTGACATTCCCCAGAGGCGGTCAGTGGAGCCAGATGCAATCTCAGCGGAACCACCGTCGATATCAGAGACTGCATGAAGCTTTCGGTCTAGCATCAAGCGTAAACGTAGCTATAACGTACACACGGCATATAGATTTGCATCCAATAAGCGCCGCGTCATAAGTGCGTTGGCCATGGGGAATCCCCGCTCCCCGCTACAACTAGGTGAAGTGGCCGATTCCACTGCTAATGACTGTTTCTATACATCCAGACAGACAGAATCCCATGTTTGTTGTAACTGCATGGTTATGACAGGCAATCGAGGGGATGGATATTGGTTATGACTTTTGGAATAGTTCACGACTATTTGCTATTATAGTATAATCATGAAAAGTTATCATGAGTCAATTAAATGCAATTATAAGATGATGACGTAGATCCCAATCAAATGATTGGTTGAAAGCGTGTACACGTGACCAGGCATTTATTTTGCCTAACGCGTAATTTGGGTAATGACCGGTCAATACCCAGTGGTAATGACCGGTCATTACTACATCTAGCTAAAATTAGCGCAAAATAAGCGCGACACAAGTCAGAGGTTTAATATTAGACGCGCGCAAGGCAAGGTACGCCTCAATTTGCTCTTAGTAAACGAGAATTTAAACCATGGGTTAGATTTAAACCTCCTTTGTAAATTTGGACCTTTGAGTTTGAGATGAGGGCGATTGATCAAATAACAAGGATCCACGTTATAATTTTATAAAACAAATAATACACATCATTTTGTTCGGGCATTAGTATAATTACCCACACTCGGTACCTTTGAAAAAGTCTAACAAGTGTTAGACTTTTCCAAAAGGTACGTTGTGTGGGTAATTCTTACTAATGCCCTCACTGCTGTGTATTATGTGTATATTAACACATAATGAATTAGCTGATGGCAGGCCTATATAGGCAGGCGCGTACGCCGATAGGGGGAGGGGGGATGTTACCCCCCCCCCCCCCCCCCCCCCCAATTTTTTTTTTTTCTTTTTTTAATATGTTACTTTTGCAGTGTTGTCTTCTTTTTGCTGAAAACAGCCACAAAAGCAGGGTTTTTTTTATAACCGTATTTAAATAAATAAATTGAGATGAGGGCGATTGATCAAATAACGTGAGCGAAGAGAGAGAGCAAGAAGAAAATGCTTAGGAAAGGATAAAAAATGTGAAAGAAGTAGTAATATTATACGAGATACAGAGAAGTGTAGAATTACATGTACTATCATGAAAGACTTGAAACAACGAATAGCATACGGAAAGATAATTATAAAGAGAATATAAAAGAAGATAATAAAGATATAATGAAAGATTAATAGGCCTAAAGGGAAAAACTTAAAGAAACATAACCCTTGAGGAGATTTTATAGAACTATGGTAAAACAGACAATAACATAATTAGGACCGATATGAACATCGTAAATAAGAGATAAAAGTGAAGAAAAACAAACAATAAAAAGCAAAGAATGAGAAGGAGTGATAGAAGGAAAGGTGATAGAAAGATTTTTTTAAAGAAAGAGTAACGCAAAAGATTTATTTATAAAAAATAAAAATAAAAAATATTTTAAAATGCATCCATAGAGAATGATAGAAGAAAAGATGAAAGGGGGGTAGAATTGTACTGGAAAATGCATAGAAGATAGAAAAGGACAAAATGTTGGTATGCTTCCATCACTAAGATTGAAGGACCTATAGGTCCAATTAAGCTGACGAATCAGTCCATCAAAACCTGCTGCAGGGGGCAACTTTATATTTATCCTTTGAAATTATTTTGTTATTAATATGTTACTTTTGTAGTGTTGTCTTCTTTTGTATAAGGACTTGCTGAAAACAGCCACAAAAGCAGGGTTTTTTTTTATAACCGTATTGAAATAGATAAAACAGACCAACAAACAATAAACGAATGGCAGTGCGTCACCCTCCTTTGTTCAAGGCGCCATTCACTTTGATGCGATTGAGTGCGTTTAGGAGTATAACCGCCGTGGCGTATAATACATGTACATGTGTGTATACAGTCTGCAGTGGTATGAGCGCTGTTTGTGTACTGTGTGTAAACCTGTGTCTCAAGGAAATACATATACCTTTACCTTTACCGCAAATACTGGAAGAATGCTGAGACAGCAGTCGAGCTTCCAGGTCTATCTTCTTGTACTCATACTCTTTAATAATAATTCTCATACAAGAGAGGCAGAGGTATACGTCTAGATCTACTTCAGTATTAAACCGGTATACGGGAGAACGAAAAGGGTGAGTACATCAGCATCAGCATCAGTATACGGAAGTGTGAGGTGATCCTGTTGAAACTTCCGGTCGTTTCATTGGGTGGTGCTTCGTTCGAAAAAGAACCTTAACTATTTTTGCTCGCATGGCGGGTGGACGCACAAATAAATTTTATGGAAGCATTTGGTGCTGAGAGGACCAGTGCTTGTCCAATCTAATCTTGAAAGAAGTGATTGAGGATGAGGAGATGACAGATGTAGGAAGACTATTCCAGGATTCTACTACTCTCTGACTGAAGCTGTTTCTTCTTAGGACTGTGTTGCTCCTTTGCTTATACAGCTTCTGGTGGTGTCCCCTTGTAGCTTCATGAGGTGCAGATGTGAAGAAGGCTGCGGGATCGGAGTTTACGAGTCCGTTCATCAGCTTGTAGACCTCAATCATGTCGCCTCTTATCCTTCTGTATTGCAGTGAATACATTTTGAGGTTCTTAAGTCTGTCTTGATAGGATAGGTGTCTGATCTCGGGAATTAACTTTGTTGCTCTTCTTTGCACCTTCTCAACTTTCACTGCTTCAGCCTTAAACATTGGATGCCAGATGACATTCCCATATTCAAGAAGAGGGCGAACAATGGTCGTGAACAGGATTGGCATTGTGTCTCTTGATATTCTTGTGAAAGTTCTCTTTATAAGTCCTAACGTCTGATTGGCTCTTTTAACTGCAGTGTCAATATGTGTATGAAAAGTCAGCTCATCATCTACCATGACACCCAAATCCTTTTCTGCAACAGTTTCTTGAATTATTTGGTTGTTTATGCGGTACAATGACTTGGTGTTACCCTTTCCAATGTGCATAACTTTGGTTTTTGCTGAGTTGAAGGTGAGTTGCCACGATTTGGCCCAGGAAGCTGCTTTGTTCAAATCCTCCTGTATTGAGTCTCGTTGGGTTGATGTACTAACTTCTCCATATATCTTGGTATCATCAGCATAGATTTGAATGCCGTTACTAATCTTGCAGGGCAAGTCATTTACATAGAGGACAAAGAGTTGGGGCCCGAGGACGCTACCTTGAGGCACGCCACTGATCACTGTAGTCCACTCTGAGAAGTCCCCTCCAATTGCAACCCTTTGAACTCGTCCTATCAAAAAGGCTTCGATCCACTTGAGAACCTGGTGCTCGATGCCGTAGGCTTGGACTTTCTTCAGGAGCCGTTGGTGAGGCACAGTATCAAAGGCCTTACTCACATCTAGGTAACACACATCTATGGGTTTCCCTAGGTCTAGTAGTCTAGTCCAGTCTTCCATTTGTTTCATGAGTTGTGTGCAGCATGACCGGCCGGGAGTGAAGCCATGTTGGGCATCATGTAGAATGTCATTGTCGATCAGGTGGTCCATTACTTCATTCCTTATAATGGACTCCATAACCTTGCCAATAGTAGAGGTTAAACTTATTGGTCTATAGTTACTAGCAAGTTGTCTGTTGCCTTTCTTGTGGATAGGAATCACGTTTCCCGTCTTCCAGTCCATTGGCAGGAATCCTTCACTTAGGGACCTTTGGAAAATAATTGCCAGTGGGCAACTTATCTCTTTTGATAATTCCTTCAGCACTCTAGGGTGGAATCCATCAGGACCAGCAGATTTGTTTACATCAAGTTTCTTTAGCTGCTTTTCCACTATTTCTTGCGTGATTTCCACCGTTGATAAGCATGGTCCATTGTATTGCCACTCTGGTGCAGGCATATTAATCACGTCTTCTTTGGTAAAGACTCTTGAAAAAGTGGCATTGAAGGTCTCAGCAATGTCATTGCTTGCAGTTACTTGCTCACCGTTCTCTAACACAAGTTCGTCTATCCCTCTCCTTGCCTTGATTCTGGAGTTGACATAACGCCAGAAGTCTTTGGGATTCTGCTTGATGCTGTGAGTGATGTCCTTTTCAAAGTTTATACTGAGAGTTCTTGTCAAGCTCCGTAGAGAGTTGCTGACATCTCTATAGTATCTGTAGTCATTTTGATTGAGTGTCACTTTATATCGCTTCCAAGCCCTGTGTTTCTTCTTGCTCAAGGCAATCGATTCTCTGGTTGTGTAAACCTGTCTCTTCTTCCTCCGACTTGTGGGTCTTGACACTGGAATACACTCTACCATACTGTTCTTTAGATAAGTAGAGAAAATTTTCCATGATTCGTCACAGTCCTTATTCGCGAGAGTGTTGATCCAGTCATTGTTTGACATCATAGTTCTCATATCAACGTAATTTCCTTTGTTGAACTGAAGTTGAGTTGGCTGTGACAGACATCTTGCAGACTTTTCTGAGATAACATCAAAGTACAAACAACAGTGATCACTGCGTCCTAATGGTGGATCACAGATCACACCTGTTATCAGTTCAGGTTTGTTGGTTATGACAAGATCCAGGATATTACGATTTTGGGCAGCCCTGTATCTAGTTGGTTCTTCCACCATTTGATGTAAGTACAAGTCTTGTAGGCAGTCAAGAAAGGAGCTGGCTGTATGGTTGTGCCGATTCCTTACATGACAATCCCTCCAGTCAATGTTAGGGTAGTTGAAATCGCCTGCGATGATTAAGGTGGTGCGAGCGGGTGAAATTGTTACCAATTTTCTGAGTACCTGTATAAGGTGATCATTGTTTACTTGTGTACTGGATGGGCTTCGGTAAACACATGCGATACTCAAACAGTTATTATCTCCAAGTTTAATGTGACAACCAATTATTTCCTTGAAGTCTGTATGGAACTCAATGTCAGTAAAGTTAAGGTTGCATTTGACGTACACCGCAACTCCTCTAGTTTCCTCTGACTCTAGATTGGTGATAAGGTTGTAGCCTGGGATTGCAATGGATGGTTCTTGTAGTTTAAACCTACTATACTTCGGTGTTATTTCGGTTGTCCACTATTGCAAGGTATCACTGTTCATCAAATAACACATCATTTATCATGCACGAGTCAAATTTGACTCTAAATGGCGTCAGCTGGGAGTCAACTCTATTCCTAGTTAAAGTGACACGGATTCCGAATCAATTTGACTCGGATTGTGTGGCATCAGCTGAGAATTGACTCAATTCAGAGTCAAGATGACTCCTTTTCCGTGTCACTTTAACTCGGAATAGAGTTGACTCCCAGCTGACGCCATTCAGAGTGAAATTTGACTCCGTGGAAATAAGAGTGTATAGATCTCTAAAACAGTACAAAACACAATGTGTGATATCTAGCCAATATTGGGAATTTCAAATGTCTCGAATCCCGTTAGTTTAACCATCGACTCTTGTCGTCATGAAGATTAATACTGACATACATCTAAAGTACCGTTGTGTGTGTAATTGTTTTTTTTCTTCACAGATGTGTATCAATCATATATGATTATTTACGTCTGGGGACCGACCTTTAACGTCACCATCCGAAAAACCTGACCAAGTTTCGAACCGAGTCAGTTTATGTATGCCTGCGTGACACATAGCTGACCATGTGAACGAACCGCTAAACCAACTGAAAGAAGTCTACACTTAATATACCTTGTTAGCTAAAGCATTTGTACATGCATATACTGTACATAATTATACATGGTGTACACGTTAAAACATAATGTTTGCGACCATATACCACAGTACTCTTAATTGCACTCACTTTTGGACTTTTAACGATAGACCGGTGCATTTCAAATTATACTTCATTTTCTGTCTTCTATAATGCAGAATGATGAATATCTAGTTGCATTCTATACATTCTATGCACTTGCCAAAAGTTGTCCACTATTGCAAGGTATCACTGTTCATCAAATAACACATCATTTATCATGCACGATTCAAGGGGTACCGTTTTCTAACTATGACATTAGCTTGGACAGGTATAGGTGGTAGACACCATCGTAGATTTGGAAGCGAATTATTATAATGGCGGACAATACTTGGCGAGGTGTACGCCAACTAATATAGCTCCAGCGCGGAAACGCCCCAAATTGTGATATCTTTAGCGTTATAGACCGACTGGGGTTCCATAACCAGGGGGCATCTAAGAGCCTAACGAGAGATAATCTGATGTCGTATGTAATCTTACAGATGCATGGCCGTTCTTGAACTAAAGCGGGGATATTGACTATTAATTAGCATAGGCCTACTTGATGGCCTCCAGTAATGGTGACTGACAAAACTATCGGTGTATATTGTGATTATTCAATTTTGACTCTTAGTTTCCATTTCTCGATATATAAACTTTTAAATAAAATGATTCACCTGCATTCTCTTTTATATCTATTTCCCCCATTATAATCAATGTTTGCTTTCCATTTTGTTTTCATTTCTCACACGTTAGATCACGATGGCGTCAATACTACAAGTCGTTACAGCTACCCTGCTATCTTCCCTTGCTCTCCTGGTGGAAAAAGCGTTATCGCAGACAACAGAGTCAATGAATGACACAGTAGTCATCGGACCAAACACAGGTGCTCAGGTCCTCAGTAAGTAGCAATGCTATTGTTGTTGTGATTGTTATTGTTGTTGTTTGGTGCAAATGACATCCATTCCATTTAGTAGATACGCCTTTAACTTTCAAAACAAAAATATTCTTGATATGAAAAATAGGTGGTTCATACTCTTCATAAATTTAGTTGATATTTTAAAGTTATATTTTGTTTAGTTTTTTGGAGGGAAAAGGGGGAGTATGGTCTCAGATCCACGTTGGCACGTTACTTTGAAATAAATGAGAGAGCGCATTAGCTGCATGGGTATCGAAACCATTTTCCTCCCACTAATATGCGATTGCTATAGTCCACAAGACCACTCTACCTCACAGACTATGGAGGCTCTTTTATAAGATAGTGAAGCGACACTCTCCTGACTGTTATTTTGGGTCGGAATAACATGAAACCTTTGATCGGTTGTTTTGTAAATGTAGAAAGTTGTCCCTACGTGGGAGAGTCGGGAAAACTGATTCAACGAGTTCTAATCTTATTATGTTTTCCAAGTTCATCTATTAGTATCTTTCTATCTACAGTTACCAACGAAATTATTTATGCCCCTTGTAAATTGGATGTGTTTTTGTTGTGCTTTTCATAAATCGAGAATGAAAGATGGACTGCTTGAAGGATGGCCTTTGTTGAATACTTTAAAGGCACACTGCCATACTTGTAGCTACTTGATCCCTCTATATAGAAAACTTCCCCAATCGGTGCCTGTTGGTCCCCCATGATCCTCTTTTTCTTATGTTAAATGAGAGCTGAGTTAATGAGATAGCCACCTGTCACAGTGACCTCGATGGCTCTCTGTGTGGTCTAATCCCTTCTGGCCCAGTAGTGGTGACGGTCTTTAAGGTAATATCAATGTCACATCATCAAGAAACATAAATCGAGACGAATCAATTTTCACGTAATCTTTTTAACAAAACTTGGTAAGGTATGAATAATTGTGTTGATAACTGTATCTTTCTTCCTTGCAGATTTTCGTTACCTCTCTAATGACGAGAGGGCGGCGCTCTGGGCCTGCTTTCTAGGCGGTCTCATGGCGCTCGTCGGGGCTGGCATTATCTACTACGAATACCGTCTAAAGAAATACGAGCAGAACTTCCCTTATCGTCCAAAGAAGAAGTCTAGAAAACCCAAGACTGTCGAAGAAACCTCCCACTGAGAGCAGAAAATCAAAGGCGTATCCAAAATAGTGACATTCAGCCGGAGGGGTAGGAGCCAGGCGCGGATCCAGGATTTCTTAGGGGAGGGGGCCCAACTTTTTTTCTTTTTTGCTCCCGAAAATTTGAAAATCGCGCCGGCCGAAAAGTCGCTCAGTGGGGGGGGGGGGGGGGGGGGGGGGGGGGGGGGGGGGGGGGGTACAGAGCACAATTTTTTTTTTTTTTTTTTTTGCTCCCGAAAATTTGAAAACGCGCCGGCCTAAAATTCGCTCAGTGGGGGGGGGGGGGGGGGGGGGGGGGGGGGGGTAGTGAGCACATTTTTTTTTTTTGATCCTCAAAAAAATTTCAATTTGCACCCCCCCCCCCCCCTTGAGCGCCAGGGTGGGGGGGCCCAACCCCCAAAAATCGTACAAAATCACGTGATTTTACATGATTTTTTTCTCAAGGGGGGGGGGGGCCGGGCCCCCCGGGGGCCCCCCCCCCCCCCCCTGGATCCGCCACTGGTAGGAGCTGTTGTGGAAAATATGTATAAATCTGGAAGTTTGGACATACTGTGGAAGGGATATTTTTACAGGAAACCCCACCCCAAGGAATAACTAGTTATTCTGGTATGGGTGTTATATTCTTGCCCATTAGTCTACACAGTTCCCCACCAATTAAAGTGTATGGGAGAGGCAAGATATCCTTAGCATAATGAACAGTTCTCAGCACGTCATGGGCAACGCCATTTTCTTGATAACGTGACGTACTATATTTACGTTACGTTTATCATGTAACACATTATCAAGAAAATGGCTGCGCCCATGTCATGCTAAAAGGCATTACATCATGTCAAGATGTTTTTCATTTATATCTCTTGCACACTTTTGTAAGGAATATTGGGCATCAAAAGAAAGGAATACATCTCATATTTCAGCATAATTCTTTGGGGTAAGGTTTCCCTTAAGCAGGACCGCACTGCCTACGCCCTGTTTATAGCCAACATTTCCCAACCATGTTAATTGAGAGCTTATTTGATGAGATAACCACCTGCCAGAGACCACGCAGGGAGGTTTAATTCCTCCTGGCCAAACTAGTGCAGACAGGCTTTAATTCAAGAGGTGATATAGTTCTAGATTGTGAATTTCAATCACGTGTGCCGATAATGCCATCATATCTACCCATAAAGGCCTTGTATTGTAATATATGATGAAGCCTTCATCATTTACAATCTTTATTCTGGTATCTTGATTATAATTTGTCTAAAATAAAGAGCAAGTCAGGAAATTATACAGTACAATAGAGATCTCATTATGTACAGCCAAAAAGAGTATCGCAGTATATAGTCAAACCTAAAAATGATAACGGTAACGTTAGAATCAGTCGGAGATCATAATTAATATATTGATAGTTATATCTTTCGAGTGGGGCCGGTGGGGGTAGTTGAAAGTGCCCCTATAAATATAGAAGATTTTGTCGGCACATTTCGGAAGGAAAGGCCACAATATTCGACTGAAGTAGGTGATAAAAAAAATTATGACAAATAACCTACAGCTGGCGACATTGTGTGCGTTCTAATGCATATTTCGTTTCTTTATTGCAACCAAAACTTGTTGTTAGATTTCAAATACAAATAAATATACAAAAAGTTAGATTTAAATGGTAGAAATAATGTACACAAGGATACATACATATATGATAGACAGGGGCTACTTGAAAAACAACCGCTACATTTTAAAAATCCGAATGTGGTCGGCTCATCCCCATTCTGTATTATCGTCGACAAAAAAGTAAAAGTGTTGTGCAGCGAGTAAAAGCAAGCAATAATGATGTAGAATAACTACCAATGAATAGTGATAATTTCATTCGAAATTTTAGATGCGTTTGTTTTTTATTTCAATAATATCCAGCGGTTATAATTAATTTTTACGTATTTCTTCGTCATGTATATTTCTTAAGATTGTATAACATAGGTTAACATACTTTTTTACAAGATTTTTTGTATGTATATATTGCACCAGTATATGTTTATTTTGATACAAACAGGGTGAATAAAGAGGTAACTTTAGTAGCCGTGATAGAACATTTTACACGTGAATCGAATAGTTATTATTGATAATCCACAAGGCGAAACTAGACAGTGTAAGAGATGAGGAGAGATTGAGTGATCGAGGGAGATAGACAGAGAGGGAAGGAAGGAAAAAAGAAGAAAAGATGGGTAAAACGAAAGACAGGAATGAGTAGGCACCATGTAAGGAAGAGACCGATGGTGACGATGAATGAAAATGGTGTCGATAGTGGCGTTGATGATGGTGGTGATGAGGATGATGATGATGTTGATGGTGACGGTGGCGTTGATGATGAAGTACTGGTTGGGTTGATGATGGCATGGATGATGGTGGTGGCGGTGATGGTAGTGGTGATGATGATATTGATGGTGATGATGATATGATGGTGATGATGATAGTGATGGTGGTGGTGGTGGTGGTGATGATGTATATGTATATGATGACAACAGTAAACATAATAATAACTTCTTATATTAAGCGCTTGTACAACAAAACTGATCAAAGCGCTGATACAACAAAAACCAAAATGTATTGGAACGATTACTTATATACATATAACACTTAACGTAAACATAGTATTCATCTATATCCAAAGATTGGGCATAATGTTCATAACAATATTATAAAAGATAATGACATAATCATAGCTATGCCTATGGTATCAAACATGTATATCACTTGTCCTGTAGAGAGCTAGAGAAGTGTTAATAAACAACAAACCGATTGGAAAAGGGAGAAAGCAAGATCACAATAATCGCTGAGACTACCTTTTGGTACATCTTAATGTATCTCAACGGTAAAGTTCAGGTAACAGATTGTAATCGAGGGCCATATTATATACTGATAGTGAGAGTAAGGGGATATAGAAAATGGGGTTGTTGGAGAGATATTATAAAGGATGATAATTTAACATTATCTTATTTCAAATTAACCATGACCTTATCGCTCAATCGCATCTACTTTTCTTCAATTCGTCACCTGATATTCCCCCTCACTCAAGATATTATGTCTCTCTCTCTCTCTCTCTGCTCTCGATCTCTCATCTCTGTTTCATCTTCCCTTCTCTACCTCTCTCTAGTATCCTCCCCCTCTCTTTATATCTTTCTCTTCTTCTTCTTCTTCTTCTTCTTCTTCTTCTCCTTCTTCTTCTTCTTCTTCTTCGTCTTCTTCTCTTCATCCTCCTTCTTTTTATTCTTCTCGTTACATGAATTATTATTATTATCATTATCATTATCATTATTATTATATTCATTCTACTTCTACTATATACACAAACCTCCTGATTTTTTAAAACATAATTAAAATAGCATGTTACTATTTCACGCCATGATTGTTACTGCATTTCCACATTACCCATGCAGCATAGGTGTGAAAAACACATTGTCATGACTGTCAGTGTTTCCAACTCCAATCAAAATTTTAGTTCATAATATCACATCAAATCTACGTACTTTAGTTTGTTGACAACAAATTACTGACACGACGGTGCTGCAGCTGCAGCTGTGACCGATAACATAAACGTTTTGTGTTCAAGTCCAAATAGGCGACGAGGGGAAATTCTGCATCACAAACCAATATATAAGAAAACTTAAATACAGGATTAAGAACATGATGAAGATGAGGCGGTTGACGATCTCCGCAACGACCTCCATTTCCGTCCTTTCCTGTAAAATGATTATAAAAAAAGGAATATTAAGCGTACTCGGGCAACGGTTCAAAGATATGTTGATTGCATGTGTTTAAATGAAGTACAGGCAGCACCAAGTTAAAGTAACAATAATTTACTAAAAACCAAATGATATTCTGGATTTAGGATTGCTTAAAAATTAAGTGAATATTGATTTGTGACCTGCCGAATTAACCTTTTTTTTAATTGAGCCCCACTCCCTTTTCTCTTTGACAGTGTTATACCAAGTATAATGATAATTTCTGTCATTTTTTGTCCTTACTTGAATAATTGTAAAGGAGAAAAAGAAAAAAGTCTGTGATTAAAAAAGAAAATCCACAAAACTGAATGTCTACCGACGTCTTTTGTATTGAAAAGACCCCTCCCGATTGAACAATGTGAACCATAGTACGTCCACGGAAATAGAGTGTAAATCGCCTTTTCTTTCTTTTCCTTTCTCTTTTTTTTTGGTATTAATATAGTGGGAATAGTTCTTAAAGTAAGTATAATATAAACATGAGGATCATTTACACACTTTCAATAAAGGTGAGTAATTAAAACAATCAATCAAGTAATAAAATGTACAAACCTCCTTTACATTATCCTTTTCTTGCTGCTTTCCTGCGCCTGACGAAACGCCGTTTGTAGAGGGATGCCTGTCTCCATCAATGGATGATGGTCTACTTGGAGGAGGGCTGGACCGGTTGCTATGGATACTACCGTTTGGTATTTGCCTCCCATGTCTGTATCGCCAAATCAATTGCCCCGAGCCGATTTCCCCAAGTTTTGGTTGACTATTCGCAACAGTTTCTTTTTCTTTTTTGCCGAAGTCGTTTCGTACGCAGACGATCTTTGCCAGGAAACCAAACCAGAAAGCGCGCCAGAAACGGCCGCGTATCTTTCGCGCGCTTTTGTAGATGTTGAAGTTTATTATGCAACTGAGGAGGCATCCGCATGACACAAGAAAGTTGACGAAAATGTAGCGGGCGAGCAAGGGCATGTCGCCATCACTGACAGGAAGCATGTCTGTGACGACAATCTGGAAGACGACCACGCCGAGGAGAAGCGACACTGCTGTCGAGAGTTTTCCCCCGAGTCCAGGGGAACCCAGAACGCAACTAGCGACATTGCATTGATCAGGGACGACGGCAACACGAGGTTAATGACGAAGTAATACGACTTCCGTGTCAGCGTGATCTCAAAGTGAATCTTGGAGTAGTTCATGTTGATTCTGGGGTCCATGTGGACCGTCTCGTACACGTCGCCTAACCCCACCTCCCACTGGTTGCTCGGAACGTTGCCCATCTTCGACGCCAGGTTCCGAGGCGTGAAGGAAGCACCGGGCATGCTCGGGCTGCTGACGGTCACCGTGCAGGTCTGGTTGTCGAAGGGGAAGTTGACCACGTTGGTGAGGCAGAATGTGACGAAACGGGCTGGTACGGTGACCCGGATGTAACCGTCAGAGAATATGATGGCGTAGCTGCGATGCATGGCAAACGGGTCTTCCACCGATTCCATGGCACTGCATGGGTTCAAAATAAAAATATGATGTAGTACGATACGGTGTCTTGTCGGGTAGGGGACATTAATATAATTATTATAATGTACAGTCGAACCTGCGTGAGTGACCACCTGTCTACAAAGGCCAAATTTTTTATTTCCTTTGAAATGGTTTCTCATGGAAACGTGTACTAAAGGAACCTGTCTACAAAGACCACCTTTTGTGTTTCCCTCGGACGGTCACTATAGACAGGTTTGACTGTGCATCATTTTAGGCCACTAACTATATAAACATACTTTATTATGAAAACATGTTGTGTGATCATTATATCTATATGGAGCGTCTTCCATGTGACAGAGATAAATATTAGTCATAGGTCAAATTTAGTTATTTCAAAGGGATATATTCAAATAAAGTTGAAGTTCCTTTTGGTTGTGGCCATTCTAATGAAAATTGTTGAAATACTTAAGGAATATAGGCTGTTTATGAAAAAAAGATCGAACAGACGTTTCAGAAAATCAACATACTTATTAAGGCAAAAGAACCTACATATAGGCGTAGGCTTGTGCTTCGCCTTTTGAAGTATGCCGAACATTACAATGACATAATCCGAATATAGTTTCCATAGGCGTAGAGCTAATTTTAATGTGATAATGTGATCGTTTTGAGGAGTCCACACTTACGAATTCTGCATGATGACCCGTGGCATCCAAATAGTTTCCGGGTCGAGGTTAAGATACTGAATCCCGTCATACTCGCTCTCATTCCATGACAGGCGTGGATCCTTCCACATCTATAAGTGACAAATTATAGAATAAGTCTAAACAAAGCATAGATGTGTTGTGGTCCAGTGAATAAGTCTCCAGACTGTTAACCTCAAGGTAAGGGGTTCGAACCCCTATCACAAAACTAGCGTCCTTTGGCAAGACGCTAGTCTACATTTGTCACTCTATCCAGGTGAGGTACTAAAAGAGTATACCTTGTAGGATTATTCCTTGAAATATATACACTTTGCGCTGATAACGGCCGCTGGAGCTAAAGCTATTGAACCTAGGGTAATAATTCCCAAAGCTCTTTGGAAGCGCATATAAGGACGTTGTAATAATGCGCTATACCAGAACGAAATAGTATTAGTATTAGTATTATTAAAATTAAACAAAGTTAACAAATAGTATCATCCTTTATTAACAATAGAAATTATACTTTACGGAACCAATAAACTATAACAGATTATGATGGTGCCTAGGTAGATCTCATCAAATCGTCGGGGGAGTTCATGAACCTGAACAATAATTAACCCGTTGGCTACTGAATTCTCTCATTGCCATAGGCTTAATACAGGGGCCACCTGGTTCCAGTAGGCAATGGGTTAAGTAAAATAGTTAAATAGTGTAAAATAGTAGTTGACACTGCTGTACATTCTCTATGGAAGCCAGAAAAAAATATACGTTGCTTACCAATTCTACCCAAGCCGAACCACTGACAACTTGCCGACGGTCATCCTAGCAAAATATAAATAAAAAATAGAAATATCACTTTCGGAATTAAATGCTAATTGCATTAACATTTTTAAAAAATGATTATTTTTAGTCTTCCCACAGTCGTCATTGGGCTACTGACTTGTTAGTCTATCAGCAAATCAAACCATTGCAATGGTGTTTCTGATAAGCTATGTGGGCATACTAAGGAGCCCGAGAAGAAAGGTGAATACACGTTAATTAAGCATGTCTGAACAAGCCAATCTAGCTTTATTATTAATGATTCGTTAAAATTTCAGTGTTCTCACGAAGTTACAACATGAATCAATTTACAAACCAAGCAATTCATCCGTTCATTATTTTAATTAACCCTCCATTTACCAAAAGTGCGTATTAACACAGTCACCTGTTTGCCGCACGTTCCGATCGTCACAAAACGATAGTAAAAGCATCTTGTGCTAAAAGCTTTGTAAACCAGCCATTTTATGTCTTCATGAGCTTCATAAGAACTCTTATAACACAGTCTAGCTTGATTCGTTTTGCCCTTAAGACATTTACATAATCATGAAGCCTTTGGTATAACTATCCCATATGAAATACAAATAAAGAGTTTAAGAATAGCTTAACCAATCATACAACCGATAAGTCATTGATAGATGAACAAGTAAATAGGTGAATTAATTAAATAAATAAATACTTATTAATCAATTACCAGCTCAAACAAAGCGAACAAGACGAATAGCACATCAACATAGACTATATCGCGATTGTTACGTAACGGTCTCTCTCTAGGGTCGTAGCCCGTGTCAATCAGGTCTCTGATCAACCGACCTTCTGCACTGAGGCTGCTTTCATTGGTACCTAAAAAGAGAATAAAAAGAGAGAGGGAGAGAAAAAATGGGAGGATGGGGAGAAGTGAGAGAAAGAGGGAGGAGAGAGAGAGAGAGAGCGAAAGAAAGGAGGAGAGAGAGAAAGAGACGGGAACAAAAAAAAGGAGAAAAAGAGAGAGGGGAGCGAGAGAGTTAGGGCAAAATATTTAGAGAGATCGAGTAGAGTAGGAGAGAAAATGGGGTGGAGAGAGTGGAAAGGCGAGTATATTTTGAAGAGATCGGGGGGGGGGGGGGGAGGGCAGGGAGGTAAAAGTATTACAAAGAGAATTTTCAGAATAAGTTGAATAAGACAATGAGGTAAAAAATTCTATTCAATAAATACGTAGTGATAAATATTTTATTTTCAAATCATTACCTGAGCTGTTGGAAAATTATTCTAAAAATGTATTATTCACTTTTTTAATGCAACGTGATTTTAAATTTTCTTCTTCTTCTCCTGCTCTTCCTCCTCCTTCTCTTCTTCTACATCTTCTCTTCCCCTTTTTCTTCTTCTTCTTCTTTTCTTTTTCTTCTTCTTTACTTCTCTCTTCTTCTTCTCTTCTTCTTCTTCTTCTTCTTCTTCTTTTTCTTCTTCTTCTTCTTCTTCTTCTTCTTCTTCTTCTTCTTCTTCGCCTTTTTTTTCTTCTTTTTCGAGATAACTAGATCACTTGCCTTACACATCTCTATGATATGGCTTCTATTCTAAATACTTGCTACAAACAAAAATACTTTTGTTTATTTTACATCTGATAAATATAGAATATACACACCTTGTGCTTTCGTAACGCCTTGGCCAGCTAGGATAACAGTCACCATGGTCACCATAACAAGATCAAAGGAAACCTTCGAAAGTAGCGCCATTTTCCCTGCAAAGTACATTCAAAGAATCATGACCTTAGGTACAGTTTTAAATTTACCAGATTTAAATCGATGTACAAAAAAGGTATTTTTCAAAGAAGGTGGCTGAGTAAGTACTTCTTTTCCCTTTCTTCTTTTTATTTCGCTTATCATATTTTTCTCTCCTTAATCATACTCTTTCTTTGATGCAATATGAGGGTGTGTATGTGTGTGTTTATGTGTATGTGCGTGTTTGTCTTATGCAAGTTTTTTTAATTGTTATTTACGTTCATTTTTTGTTCTTGTTTTTCTACAGGGCCCCGATAACAAGCATAATTCTGCTTTCTAGGCGTCCTAACCATTATCTTGCATATGGTCACTGTAAAAAAAAAATTTATAAAACTTGAATAAAGATTTTAATTGAAGAAAAAAATCCAACTTAATGGATCCGGGAGGATTAATTTCCGTTTAAAACTCATCGTGTTTCCTTTTGTAAATAAATATAAAATGGACGATGAGTGCTCATTTCCTGGCTGGGACTCGAGAGGCAATTAAATCTTCCATTACCTTTGCAGATAATAGCAGGCGCGGATCCAGGATTTCTTAGGGGAGGGGGCCCAACTTTTTTTTTTTTTGCTCCCGAAAATTTGAAAATCGCGCCGGCCGAAAAGTCGCTCAGGGGGGGGGGGGGGGGGGGGGGGGGGGGGGTAATGAGCACATTTTTTTTTTTTTTTATCCTCAAAAAAAAAATTCGATTTGCACCCCCCCCCCTTGAGCGCCAGGGGGGGGGGCCCAACCCCCAAAAAAGGTAAAAATCACGTGATTTTACATGATTTTTTTCTCAAGGGGGGGGGGGCCGGGCCCCCCGGGCCCCCCCCCCCCCCCTGGATCCGCCACTGGATAATAGTATATGTGAACGCCTATACCAAATTAAGAGATAATTGTTTTAGGTAGACATATAATTTGTTAAGAGCAAACATAGTCCGTCACTGTATCAATTTAACCATTACCATGGCAACATACATGATACGTCGTTCAATCGCATCGTGGCGTTTCCAGCATTACATGAAGTCTGTTTCGCCATAAGGCCCCCCCCCCCCCCCCCGTTTCTTAAATAAATTATAGTACACGGCTCATCGTCACCATTCTAAAGTGCTCATATTCATAATTTTCTGTATAATCTGATATTAAGCATGACTAGTTCTACTTCTTTTTGTTGCCATGACAACTCTCCTGGTAGGCATACCCGTGCATTCCTTAAATCTACATTGAAAAATAAATCAAATATATCTGAAAATAAGTTTGTTTTTTTTTAGTTAATTTTGAATACAGGAATACGTTCTCAAAATACAAATTTCTACCATTTCGTTGCTATCGTTGGCATCACAACGACACGGTAATGGTGTAAATATAACTTAGAGTGATCAGTTTCAGGATCATGGTAATCAAACTTTTAACATGAAATGAAAATATTTCGAAAGCTTTCGACAGCTTTCTATACATTTTCCAATTTTATATTAATCGTCTGCAATTGACAATATTCTGTATATAATTATATAGAGGCTAGTTTCCGGAAATAAGGGGATATGTACTCCATCAACACAAAAATAAGATTTGAGATGATATTACCTTCATGCATTTATTAGTTATGAAAAGTAGATTAAAGAAAGACTTCTTTCCAGAAGCTCTTCTCATTTTGTTCGTCTATTCATCCTTCTCATTCTGTTGGTCTTACTGGCAGTCACAACGCCAAACCGATTCCGTACCAACAGATTCTTGACCATTTTGTGGTATAATGTATTATTTTTTGTTCCAATTGTTGTCGGTTTCGTGTCGGTCTCGTTGGTGTGACTGAGGTAATAGTATTAAATGCTTCAATTTTTTTCGCCCTGCCATATCTAAATGCACCAACAACAAATACGGATAGGATAGGAAGGGGCATGCTTACGATCACGCCACAATAATACAACTCACCGTCAGATACTATATGCTCCGTAAAGAAGAATAGCCCGCATATATTCCACAAAGGTATGATCTGGAACGGATCTGGAAATATTACTCTGTCACTTCACCCAGATTACAAGCGTGGTGGGTATGCAAATTAACAGTCTATACTGCAGCCCCTGACTGTACTGCAGCTATATGATGCGTTGGTAAATATTACGTTTTCATGCTCGGTATTGAATGGGAGCTAGAAGCTAGGAATAACAATGCCAAGTCCTCAATTTTTTTTACTCCTGTCACGATCGGCTTCGCATGATCTATTTATAAAGCTTCGTGTATTGATATTAGAAATTTTTCTATTCAACTTGGGTGATGATGCGGAAAGTGCCTCTCACCCTCAGTGCAGAGTAGTTGCTGCTATTAATTCCATCAGACGTGCATATATGCCACCAGTGGCGTACGCAGGATTTTTTTCAAGGGGGGGGGGGGGTTAAAATCAAAAGGGGGGTGTTTTCCAAAAAAACATACATAAAACATACACATAAAAAAAAACTCGAGGGGGGGGGGGGGTTTAACCCCAAAACCACCCCCTGGGTACGCGCCTGTATGCCACGATATGTTATCCTTGTTTTTGTAATGTACTTATTGTCTCCTGTATTTCACCCTTGAAATTGATAGTACCTGTATTTCATGGGACTTCGCCTTATTTCAATGAGTTCGGGTTTATTCCCATTTTTGTCAGGCAGTTTAATATTTCCTGCCTTCTCAGGTTGATTGTTCATTTTATCTGGGCTGCCAGTTTTCTATTCTTGAGATTCCTTTTTGATGGGAAAATCAAGTTTCTGCGTTATTCACCTTGCTCTCTATCTATCTATCTCCATATTAAAGTAATGTAAATCTGTACTTTTAATTTTCTCTTCTCTCACCCTCACTCGATCCCCATCAACCCCTTCTCTCTCTTTCTTCAGGCTCTTCTCTCTCTCTCTCTCTCTCTCTCTATCTGTATTTCCGTTTCGGTTTAATAAATTTTGGAGTGGACTTTAAAAGATTATTATTATATTATTATTATTATTATTATCCTTCTCTGTCTTCTTGTTTTCCCTTTTTCTTATTAATCTTCTTTTTTTTTTTTTTTTTTTTTTGGGGGGGGGGGGGGTACCATTATTGTTCTACATTACCTCTAACAATAATAACATAATAACAGGCACCTATAGAAATTCGTTTAGTTTAGATATTTATTTCATAAACAAGTAATCTCGCAAAGATGTTATCACCATTCTGTATTACCCAAATGAAACACAACAAACAAACGTAATACATGTACATCTGTGTTCACAACACATATCCCTAAAAACCTTCAAGCTACTTCATATTAGCAAATATTCGTTGAAGGTACAACAAAATTCAAAAACGTAGTAGAAAAGTGATTCAACTTTTTTGTGATTGCAATATACATGAAGTAAAATCCCAGCACCATAAATGATTGAAAAAAGTGATCTACACAGTTTCTGTATTTCTTGAATATTTCTCATGATAACATCTTGAATCATTTACAAACAAATAAACAAACAAAAGTCCATTAAATGGATTTGTACACCATCACCACCATAGTGGAAAGAGATGGATAGAGAGGGGAGTACTGAAAATAGATAAGAGAGGGGAGGAGAGAGAGAGAGAGAGAGAGAGAGAGTGAGTGAGGGGGAGGGAGAGAGAGAGAGAGAGAGAGAGAGTTGTCTGAAAAATAGATCATGCAACAAACGTAGCAGAATATTATTCAATTTTAAACATAAACTTTAAAATAAAACAAATATGTAAAACTAAAAGCTGAGGTATCAGATATGAAGAGAAATACAACGCATTATCCTTCAAAATTGTTTGAAATATGAGGGTGACAAATTACAGCAACCTTTCGGTGAAATTTTTGTTGCAAATTAAGACTTTCATTGGGAATCTTCTCCAAATGGTTTTGTAGACATGACATGAAAAAGAAAAATGATTGCAGCTCATAAAATTATAGCATTATATTCTGAAAATTGTCAAAGAACTTGCTCTAGATTTATACACTATTCAAATTATTCGACTTCTTTTTTTTTCCAAGGTTGGACTCTTCCTTCAATAACGAATCTATGTGGCTCTCATTATAGAGTATAAAACTTTGTGAATTTCACAAGACTTAAATATGCTTATTAGTTTGTTCCAACAAAAAGCTCAGAGTGGTATTACATTTGACAAGCTTTAATTGATATACATGTATATCACATTATAAACCCTATGCTACGATTTGAATCATACAATGCAAAGTAAGGAGAGAGAGAGAGAGAGAGAGAGAGTGAGAGAAAGAGAAGGGGGGTGAGAGAGAGAGAGGATGAGAGGAAGGGGATGTGAAGGGGAAGATGAGGATATAGTGAGTGGAAGGAGCATGGAAGCATACTAGATAGCCGTTCAAAAAGATAGGCAGAAACAGAGAAAGAGAGAGGAGGGGCAGAGACAGAGAGAAAAGGTGGGAAAGAAAGAGATTTAGTAAGAGCACAAAGTTATTCTTTACAAAGTTTATGTAACACATTTATACATCATACACATATTGTAAATATATCTTTTCACATCATGAAGTACACTTATTTAGATCAATCAATCAGAAAATGTGTTCATCAAAAGGAAAATGGAAATATAAAATTATCTTATGATTATATACAGCAGCTGCAAGATTTGAAAAACAGCATCATTTTATGTCTACATTTTTTCCTCTTTCTTTTCAAGGTCCTCGGAAATGAAAATATTCAATGTAAGCACAAAATCTTCTTTAACAAAAAAAATTAAAATCATTGAAGGGGGTATCTCACTGAGCGGCGAATGCTTACGAATGTTGCGAATTATGGATTCACCAACTTCAGCGACACCGTCTTACAACTGTTTGCAAAGGCTTACGACCGTTTTGCAGACACTTGCAACCGATTGCAGAAAAATAAATCTGCATTACGTAGAAAAACTGTTTGCAAGAATGAAAACTGTTTGCGAACTTTCTTGCAACCTTTTACAATCCGTGGCGAAACCCCAAATTCGCTACGTTCGCAAGCATTCGCCGCTTAGTGAGATACACATTTTTAAGTGTACTAATCAACTCCAAAAAATATTTTGTGTAGAGCTAGATTGTATAAAATCAACCAGAACCTTAACAAAATTTTACCTGGCATTTATGGGTAAACCGAGTATTAAATAAATAAAGAATAGCACAAAACCCCATGTATAAGCCGTGCACGAAACCGAAGTCTGACTCAGCGGGTTCAGTGCCCGGTCTATTCTATAAGATATAACAACAACAAAAGATGTTGCATTGCCTTTTGCGACCTACCCCAAATCTAGAAATCTATGGTCGGCTATGAATTTTTTTTTTTAACAGCTTTTTAGAGTAATATTTTTACTGGTAATGAATAAAAAAAAAAGCATTAAAAACTGAAGAAAAAAAATCAGCCCAAAGAGGGAATGAAGAAAAGTGGAAAAAAAGAGAAGATTTCTGACCGACCGACCCATGTTTTGGCACCTAAAGGACAATACAACATCTCTGTTTTTTAAAGGCCTAAGAGTGTGTCTTACCATTCACTGAAACTGAAACTCCCTCTATAATTCTATACATGCACAATAGTATTTCAGTATTACATTTAACCGTCCGAAAACCAGTCATGTTGCGCATGTATTTAAATTGCAATATCTCTTTGTAGAAGTAATATTCGAAGCTCGTATTTTTAATACAGTATAGCCACATGGAACCTCTTACATCGAGAGAAAAATGTGTTTTGGTGATTAGTACATATTGATTATCATCGCGCAGTCAATCTTCTGTATACAATAATAATACAGTCAAATCTGTCTACGGCAACCGCCCAAGGGAAACATAAAAAGTGGTCTTTGTAGACAGGTTCCTTTTAGTACATGTTTCAATGAGAAACCATTTTCAAGGGGGAAACAAATGTGCTTGTTGTATACAGGTGGTCTTTGTAGACAGGTGGTCACTAAAGCAGGTTTGAATGTAGTTCATGAGATTAACATAGCGCCATTATGAAGGCGCTTCTAAATATTAGGGCACAGGAATCATGTACATTTACATAAGAAAGAAAGTACAATAACTGAAATAGTATCACTGACTCCTCATCCCACTATAGTCCAGGGGGGCATTTCACAAAGTCCTTTTCAATGACAAATTACAAAATTCAGTGACAAATCTGCAGATAACCAATCAGAAGCAAGGATTTCAGCAGCTTATAACAAAACCTGTTATTTGTCACTGACGACAAGTTTTGTGAAACACCCCCCAGGCATTCCTTTCAAGAAATAACTTTACCTACTTTAGACCAAGTACAACTGAATTTCATTGATAGCAGTCAATAACTTATTTGGCAGGGCTCGACACTACAGGTGCCCTAGACAAGTGGGCACCCAAAATCCAAGTCTGAACCCATATCATTTCATTTTTTGTTTAAACATCTAAGGCATATGCATACAGACTTTAACAAGTTAAATCCGGACCCCCTTCCAAAAAATTACTGGAGAGCCCTGCATTTTAATATTATATCTAAAAAGGAAAGGGTACAGCTTTTGAACATGTAATAAATGTTGTACAGTCAAACCTGCTTTAGTGGCCACCTGTCTACAAAGACCACATTGTTTGTTTCCCTTGAAAATGGATTCTCATTGAAACATGTACTATAGGAACCTGTCTACAAAGACCACATGTTTTGTTTCCCTTGAAAATGGTTTCTCATTGAAACATGTACTAAAGGAACCTGTCTACAAAGACCACTTTTTGTGTTTCCCTTGGGCGGTTTCTATAGACAGGTTTGACTGTAACACTGGCAAAATATATTAGTGGCATAACAAACATGAACATTGAACATAATCATGTTTGAAATTTTTTTTAAATCTGAGCTGTGTACATATTAGCTTTTGAAGCGATAAAATGTCATAGCATACAAATATTGACTGCTTTGAGGGGCAATGTCAAAACTATTGCCGGAGGTGACCTGGAAACTGTACTGTGCCCGAGATGGTTTCGAGGGGCATAGTGCATTCTCAAGATCACCAAGGATTAATAGTTTTAAAGGTATATACCAGTTTTGAAAACGCCCCCCTCACAAAATATAAAATGGAAGCTCTTATTACCAATCATGTGAAAGAATACGTTTTGACCAATACGTGATGATACAAATTTTGCCGGAAAACCGCCAACTAATTGTTATATTTGGTAAATTATTATCCGGACCGGATAGATATCGTGCACGTGTCGCGTAGTCCCATATACATCTTTCTGTGTACAGTGCTTGTAACTTTACCAAGACTGGGCAAAATTTCTTGGCATTTTGATGATTCCAGAACCTTGCAGTACACACCAATACCTATGCTAGATGATCATCCTTTTCTGATCGATTCCACAACGTTTCTTTCACAATGCAATCGCATGACCAGAACTGGTCTTTACCTTTAACCGTAACCCCCAAAATAGGCAGTCAATATCACATCCCAAGTGTCAATTCATAAAAAGAGATATTTTAACTTAACATGTATGTTAAAGTGTAGTTATATGCAGAGTCAGAAAGAATTTGCCGACCTAAGGGCATCGTGCGCCTCTCATGGGGCTTATCCATCATTAACAGTCAGAAGTGATCTTCATTAGAGGCCTGGAATCTTCCTACGTGGTACATAATAGAATCTATTCAATCAAACGTCATATTTGTGCTGGTGCCATCTACACTTACATGTGGTACAGTTGCACCATAAGCCTAAATTTGAGAATTAAACAAAATCAAAAAATATAATATGAAAACACAGCAAAAATCAATTAAAAATCAATATGACCTTGATGTCTGCAAGGTTCTATTATTGGCAAAGTCAATAAAATTTCAAGAAGTTAAATCTATTTCAGATGTTTCAAACATAAATTATAAAAATAAATTGATACATACAGAAGCCTTTCATTGTGCACCCATTACAGAAAAGTACAAGAATGAACTGAGAGCCCAATTCAAACAGTGTACCAGGATCTTGGGGGAAATAAAGAGGTTAAATCATAGCAAGCTCTGCTTAGTTTGTTTAACCCTTTGCTACTTGAACCGGGTTGTTCCTGCATTAACCCTATGTAAATGAAAGAATTCAGTAGCCTACGGGTTAAAATAACACCTTAGGAGTTTGTGTATACCTCAGGCATACCATCAAATCGACTCCAAACCAATCCAAAAACCAACCAACTTTTCAGCGTTAGAATGTTCAAATGTCGGAACCGCATCATTTCAGGTCATTTTTTTATGCCTGTGTAAAATCTGTTCAACAAATTGAAGGGGTCCAAAGCTTCACGTACACACATGTAATAAATGGATGCATAACATGATTATGTGACTAACATGAATTTCACCTAGAGTTAAAACTATTGATAATAAGACTATAAATGTTAAATCTGAGATGCATGGCCCTACATATTATCAGTATCTTTAATATGGTGTGATATCAAAGCCCTAAATAAATTGCGCTTCAAAATGATCATGAAGTGCCTAAAAAAAGTGAAAATCTTTGAGTGACCGGTTTTACCACTGTTATGAAAACCGTTAGGAAAACGCAAAATTTGATTTCAATTTCCAATCATAAATATCTTGATAATCAGACAGGCGATCGGCTTGTAAAAGTCATGGGGTTCTTAACTGACCTAAAGGTTTACAATTATCATTGCAGCATGAGCTATATCCAGGACTTTATTTCACAATCTGAGACAAAGTTACCCGATCCCTTTAAAGCTCAATATCCTCATCGCTATCTGTTTCCCCCAGTCCTCTCTACTGCCTGAATTTTGCTTGCTATTCATTCATGTATACTTAACATCCAGTCCAGTGCAATAACTAGCATTCTCTATAATTATCAGATGCTCAATACTGAAAGACACAGACTCGAACCCAAATAGGTTAATAGAAAACTAGCATTATATTTCAATTGCATTCTTCGTTTGCGTATATACATTTTCATGAAATTTCAATCTAGAGCGTATGCGAGCATGGATGATGAACATGCCCTACCATTATATTCTTATGATTACAGTTTCGTAGTTGATATCATTTCTTACGGTTTAAAGGGCATTCCAACCTTTGTATCAAATAAGGTCATTGATTTGAATTTAGAAAAATAACAGCAACAGAATGGCAGAAGTTTGAAATAAATGAGATGTATAATGAAAAAGTTAGGGAATTTTTTAAATATGAGATCACTACATCACTTTTCTTCTACTTCTTCTTCAAGATAATCTGCCTCTTCAATACTGAAGATACTTGCAGATGCCTTTTATACTCGGCCTGATTGAACACGTAAGAACTTTGACTGATAAAATCCAGAAGATATTATCCACAGCATAAAAATGGATAGACATTCGTTGATTGTTCATTTGCAGCTGCAGTACTAACATTGTTTTGGATTGAACAGTTCACTCTTTGTGGTTCTTCCTTTTTAGGATCGGAGGGACACGTGGTTTGCTCATCTGCTTGTTATTTGATCCTCCATTCTTGAAGAGTTCCTCCATGGGCAGGGCTTCCTCAACGCTCTGGAACAGCTCCAGGGCGGGGCTCTTTTCGGCCGGTAGCGACTTCTTCTCCCGCCCGCTCTCCGCCATCAACCAGAACACATAGACGAAGATGAGAGCTGACAACGCGGACGTTGCCAACATCCAGTACATTAGAACCATGGGGCCTATGCGATCTTCAAAGAGATAACCAATTAAGACGGGTACGCACATTTCTCCGAGGGCGCTACCGACAATAAGGAAGGATGCGGTGTTGCCGGTGACAGGGGTGTACGTCTCCAGCCAAACGATACCAGTTGGGAAGAGCGAGGCCATGGACAGACCCAAGAGAGCACTGCAGATCCATAGGATGTTCTCGTTGCTGTCTGCAAAGAGCGTCAGGGCAAGGGACGCAGTAACGCATCCCACCATGTCGGCAATCACCATCTTCAGTGGCGAGATGACACTTGCAAGACAGATAGCTAGACCCCGTCCAAGGCAAAAGGCGCCCCAGAACAGGGCTGCCACGTGGCTCGCACGGTCCTGCTCAAAGTGGTGTTGACTCTTACTCGCAAACATGGGGACAAAGCTTCCGTAAGCGACTTCTCCGCCAACGTATAGGAAGTAGAAGAAGAACAGAAGGATCAGGATCCTTGTTCTGAACGGGCTGTTGTCCTTAGCTGAAGTCCCGTCAGAGTGCTCTGAACCGGTGTATCCAGGTTCCTCTTTGGGCTTGGTGCAAAGCAAGTAGAAAAATAACCCACAGGTTAAAAGAACCAAGATCCCTATGATGATGAAGGGCATCGCAAACCTTTCAACCTCACGCTGGGGTGCAGGCTGCTCTGATTTTGAAGGAGTGTCTTTTCCTGCAATGGTAATAGGTTGAACTGTTCCTTTAGTGGTAGAAGGTTTAACTGTTCCTTTAGTGGTAGAAGGCTTAACTGTTCCTTTAGTGGTAGAAGGTTTAACTGTTCCTTTAGTGGTAGAAGGTTTAACTGTTCCTTTAGTGGTAGAAGGCTTAACTGTTCCTTTAGTGGTAGAAGGCTTAACTGTTCCTTTAGTGGTAGAAGGTTTAACTGTTCCTTTAGTGGTAGAAGGTTTAACTGTTCCTTTAGTGGTAGAAGGTTTAACTGTTCCTTTAGTGGTAGAAGGTTTAACTGTTCCTTCAATAGTACTAGGTTCAACTGTTCCTTCGTTGACGGCGTCACGTTTCTCTCTTTGATCAGTAAGTTCAGTGCCATTAGATTTATCTACTCCTTCAGTGGTAATAGGTTTAGCTGCTCCTCCGGTGTTCAGAGTACCGTTCTCACTGGGTGCTCCTGGAACAGGACTTATAACAGGCGATGCCAATGTTACATTGATCATAGGGGAAGGCAATACCAACATGGTGCTGTTGGCGGCAGTGGTTTCCGCCAAAAAAGGAGCTGCAACAAGAGGCGAGATAAAGGCACCAAGGGCGAAGCTGAAATGTAGTGCCTGAAGCATGGTGCCGGAACGTTTCTTCCCCCACATGCGAAGGCAGAGAAGATTTGCACCTGTGCATGGTAAAAAGGAGAAAATAATTGGTTTTAATCCCTGCATTTCGTACTCACTGAACACTGCAAATACAGATTAATTTCCGAAATTTGGGTCAAAATTGTTCCAAATGTTAGTTCAGTACAATATGGCTCTAAATTCAGGATAACTCCTTATACTATTTATCAGCCAATATTTGTGTATATTCACAGATGACAGATGCAAGATGGCATTTTTCAGATAATTATCACAAGCTAACTGTATTGAGAGATGACCTAACATCATACATGGGAACGGCCGCTTGGACTAGGATAGCTAGAGACAGAAGAGAATGGAAATATTATGAGGAGGGCTTTGTCCAACATCTGGATGAACTATAGCTCGATAGATAGATTGATAGATTGATAGAACAGTTACTGTATTTTACTATACAAGTTTGCACATGCACAGGTTTGTCATTTTCACATGCTGTTAGGAAATTCGCAAAACAAAAGTATAACTGACAGGAGCTCAAGTTGGATATCAAGTTTAACTCTCTATACGCCACACAAATAATCCCCCAGTGGCACACTGTATTTATCATGAGATAGATATATCAATGGCCTCAAGATTATTGAACTGTTTCCAGTGAGGCAAGGTTAAAGATAAAGTTGAGTTCTGGTCATGCGATTGCATTGTGAAAGAAAAGGTGTGGAATGGATCAGAAAAAAGTGGATCATGTAGCATGCAAGTATTGGTGTGTACTGCAAGGTTCTGGAGTCATCAAAATCATAATAACTTTGGCCCAGTCTTGTTAAAGTAACAAGCACTGTGCACAGAAAGATGTACATGGGACTACACATATGGTGTCGGGGCTAGCTTACCTTGATTCCCAACTCTGTATATATGTTCATTACTCAGCCAGTATACATTTTCTATCAAAATTGTTTGGCAAATGACATTTATTTGTAATCTTGAACGTTCAGTGATAAAGTTTTGTTTGATTCTGTAAGATTTTCATTTTCTTTTTTTACCAGAACTCAAGTTTATCTTTCATGTATACCGATTGTGATGAGGGTTGTCATGGAGTTCATCAAGAATGGAAATGGGTAACTTTGCAAAACCACCCTGATGCACGGAGCAATGCTTCCGTCAAGTGGTGCCTATTGTGTTGTGTAAAATTGCACGTGGGGCAAACAAATGACCATGCAGAGAGGCGAAGAAAACAACGGTTGTGTTGATATGGTTCTAGGACACCTACCCCCTAGACATCCACTCCCCGGATAACCACCGCCAGTCAACTACCCATTAGGACAACTACCCCCTAAGGCAACCACCCTCTAGGACGACTACCCCCGGACAACTACCCCCTGGACATCCACTCCCCGGATAACCACCCCCAGTCAACTACCCCTTAGGACACCTACCCCCTGGACATCCACTCCCCGGATAACCACCACCAGTCAACTACCCCTAAGGACAACTACCCCCTAGGGCAACCACCCTCTAGGACGAATACCCCTGGGACAACTACCCCTTAGGACACCTACCCCCTGGACATCGACTCCCCGGATAACCACTCCCAGTCAACTAACCCTTAGGACACCTACCCCCTGGACATCCACTCCCCGGATAACCACTACCAGTCAACTACCCCTTAGGACAACTACCCCCTAGGGCAACCACCCTCTAGGACGACTACCTCCCGGGACAACTACCCCCCGGACAACTACCCCCAGACAACTACCCCCTGGACAACTACCCCCGGGCAACTAACCCCTGGACAACTACCCCCTGGACAACTACCCCCTAGGACAAATAGTACCCCCTGGACAACTACCCCCTAGAACAACTACGCCCCCGGACAGCTACCCCCTGGACAACTTACCCGAGACAACTACCCCCAGGCAACTAAACTCCCGGACAACTACCCCCCAGACACCTACCCCTGGACAACTATCCTAGGGGGTAGTTAACTGGGGGTGGTTATCCGGGGGGTAGGTGTCCGGATACGTGTTGATATTCTTACCTGTGTCTAGGACACCCATACTGATACCAACACTACTGATGCTTACTGCCAGGACCAGGACCGATGTCACGAACGGGACAGCCAAGACCCCTATACCGCACAGGAACAGGACAACGGATAGGAGGAAGAGAGGGTTGAAGGATTGGAAGAGCATCCCACCGAGGATTGCACCAAAGAGGTACCCAACGCTCCGCCCCGCGAACACCCAGGAGATCTTGGGAAGCGTGGTATCTAGGTGCTTCTGTAGGCTCAGCAGCGTTGGGCCTAGAATGGCCAGGCATAGACCCTGTGTGGAGAGATGAAACATATATATTCATACCTGCAAACCGTCCACAGCAAATCTCTTGAGCCCAAATAGTAGAGGTACTGTGGTCTAGTGGACTGCGGACCACAAGGTATGGGTTCAATTCCCAGCCCGGCACTATCGTCCTTTGGCAAGACGATAGTCTACATTTGCCACTCTCCACCCAGGTGTTTAATGGGTACCTGGTAGGATGCGAACGTTAAGGTAGTTTGCTCAGCATTGTGAGCATCTATAAAATGGCACCTGGCTTGAATGCTCCCCAGGGAGTGGAGAATGTGCATACATTCTTGTGCGGGCAAGCCTGAATACGATGACCAGGATTATAATATAGTTCTAAAGCGCTTAGAGACATTGTCAATGTATTAAGCGCTATACAAAAGCAAAATATTAATATTATTATCAAATAAGGAATACAGTGTACCAGTATTTCACATGCTTTCACAAAAATGTATTTAGTAAATGACAGAAATAAAGGGTCCATAACACTATTTCAAGGCAAAAATGAATTAACGTTTGCATATATCTGTTTGAAAAGAATTGCATATTGGTGAACTGGTGATTTCCCTTAAAGCTCCACTGTCCTACTTGTAGCTACTTGCTCCCTCTATAGAGAAAACTTCCCCAATCGGTGCCTGTTGGTCCCCCATGATCCTCTTTTTCTTATGTTAGTTGAGAGCTGAGTTAATGCGATAGCCACCTGTCAGTGACCTCACTGTGTGGTCTAATCCCTTCTGGCCCAGTAGTATTGACGGTCTTTAACACTTACCAAGCATAAGAACGCCAAGCACAGAGCAAGGGTTTTCCTCAGTTTCCTCTTGTCCTTCTTCCCTCCGTTCAAGACGTCATCCACGTTCTTCACCCGCTTGCCCCCAATCAGGTTACGACCCAGGTCATTGTCGTACAAGATTTCCTCGTCATCAGAGTCAGCCATTTTGTCTAAAAAGTGGATGATGGATAGGATCGTGACAAATGCAAAATTGTACAAAGGGGAGCCCAATGTCTGCCCACCTACATGTACATGTAATACTGCACTTCGAAATGACAAAAAATTCTATTGTTTTCTCCTTATGCTTGATATGATATTATTACTTATATTAAAAACCGTTAGGAAAATGCAAACTTCAATTCTAACCTGAATTTCACCTCCAGTTAAATCTATTGATAATAAGACTACAAATTTTAAATCTGAGATGCATGGCCCTACGTGGTATTAATGTCTTTAATATGGTGTGATATTGAAGCCCTAAAAAAATTGTGCTTGAAATAGATCATGAAGTGCCTAAAAAAAGTGAAAATCTTTGAGTGACTGGTTTTACCACTGTTATGAAAACCGTTAGGAAAACACAAAATTTGATTTCGATTTGCAATCATAAATATCTTGATAATCAGACAGGCGATCGGCTTGTAAAAGTCATGGGGTTCCTGACTGACCTTAAGGTTTATAATTATGATTGAAGCATGAGCTAAATCCAGGATTTTGTTTCAGAATCTGAGACAAAGTTAACCGATCCCTTTAATAATCAAAGGTTTCATGAGTGGGCAAGTCAAAGCTACAAATATTTTGTCCCAGATCTTACAAACCACATCAAAGATCTCAGTATGTTTGTTGACTGTATTAATCTGATATGCTCACTAGAACTTGAATCAAAGTTTTAGACAACCACAAAAGCCACCAACAAATAACACCTGGTAACGTACGGGAGATGACTCTTTAGATTGATCAAGACAGTTCACAGAGGATATGAACTTAATCTATCGATAACAAATCATATTCTTGCACCACTTCATGAAAGGAAGACAAATTATTTCAACATAATGGGCAACAGTCACATGCCATGTGCATGTTTTTGACAAAGTTTCACAAATCAAACAGAAATAGAAATTAGATTTTAACAAATTATTTCGACATAATGGGCAACAGTGACATACCATGTGCATGTATTTGACAAAGTTTCAAAAAATCAAACAGAAATAGAAATTAGATTAAAAGATCTACCTTTGCCTGTTGAAAATCTGGGGATGAGGTGGTCTTGGCTCACTTTTGGGGCACAATGCAAGTTATTTCAGACAACTCCAATATACATGTACATGTATGTAGGGCCTATGGAAATAAATTAACATATTAAAAAGAAAGTGAAAGTTAATCCAGTTGAGCTGTATAAAAGAGCATTATTTGATCAAATATGTACATGTAATGGTAATGGAAATCTCAACAGGAAATGACTTACTAACTGAATTAGATTAGACATAAAAACTTGAGTTGGTAGTCCATAAATTACGAGGGACAGGGGGCAAAGTCCAGTATAGCTTGGCATGACGGAAAAAAAAAACTGCCAAAAGGTTTGATTCACACATTGTAGAGAACATCCATTGTTTAGACTTTTGTTCAAACATGGTGAAAAACCATAATGAAAGCAGAGTTTGAGCCACGGTCAAAGCATCAATGATTTTTGCATGTGTTCACACAAGCGACAAAAACCTCACTTTTGTTCACTTGCGAGATCGTTGACTGGCTGATTGCATACTGCAGGCGTAATAACAAAGGAATTCAATTCAGATTTAAAAAGGAAGTGATCACAATCAAACAAACTTAAATGTTACGTCTATTTGGGGGGAACCAAATGCTAAAAGTAATAATTAAAAATATATATATATTCCGCTTTATAGCGCTTAATACATCTACGATGTCTCTGAGCGCTTAACAAATATGACTGGTGCCTGTAAATAATGGCATATCTTTCATTAAACTGTCTTCTGATCTGTTAAATGTTAGTCCCAAAGGAAATTACTTCTCTATTTATGATTTCAGAACTGATCCTAGCAAAGCTAAAATCTATGTGTATTTATTTTGAGAATCAACATAAGATTCCACTTACTAAACATTCATTTATCACATTCCTTAATAAACTTCTGGGATTTTGTTCTATACATCAATACATTTTAGGACAATATTTAAAAATTGTATGACTAAATCAAGTTATCAAGTTGAACAGTATCAAGTTTTCATGTTGAGTACTTTGTACCTTTAATGTGTTCTCATAAAGGTCTGTGGCAGATTTTATCTAGACAATGTAAACATCAATTTCTGGGCGATTGCCATAAATGTTTAGAAAAGGAGTTAAATCAATTTGGACAAGCAGCGTCAGCTGCAAACTCGTCTTAGCATAATTTAATGTATGATGCCCTGTGATTTATGTTGCCTCGTTAATATCATACTGGGTTGCACTTTGTGCATTGGCGATACTCATTCTGTTTATTGGCATTTGGTCTACAACAAGTTTGTCTACTTGCCAGTTGGTCTATTCCCATATGGTCTGCTACCGATATGATCTAATAATCATTTGATAATTTATGTTGCCTCATAAATATCATACTCGGTTGCACTTTGTGCATTGACGACACTCATTTGGTTTACTGGCGTTTGGTCTACAACAAGTTCGTCTACTTTCCAGTTGGTCTATTCCCATATGGTCTGCTACTCTGCTACCTATATGATCTAGTAATCATTTAATCACTAATAATAATCTTCATCAAATGATTATCAGACCCTTTGGATAGTAGACGGAATGGGCATTAGACAAATTGGGAATTAGACAAGCTGGTTTTTACATACCGGTACACATGTATACTAAATGAATAATAGACCAAATGGGTTGTAGATTAATGGGAGATTAGACCAAATGGTAAGAGGACGAAATGATTGTTAGACCATGGGGATAGTAGACAAGCTGGGTGTAGACCATACAGCAATTCACCACTCATTTACATGTACATGTAACAATGCAGTTTTTGAACGGTGTATCAAAAATGAATTTTTCTAAATAACTACTATTAAAGATAAAGATCACTTCTGGTCATGTGATTGCATTGTGAAAGAAACGTTGTGGAATCAATCAAAAAAGGTTGATCATCTAGCATATAAGTATTGGTGTGTACTGCACTAGTTTGGCCAGGAGAGATTTATTTGGCCAAGTCTTGGTAAAGTTACAAGCACTGTACACAGAAATATGTATATGGGACAACGCGACACATGCGCGATATCTATCAGGTCCAAATAGATATTATAATTTACCAAATATATCAATTAGTAGGCGGTTTCCCGGCACAATTTGTATCATCACATTCGAAACATATTCTTTCACATGATTGGTAATAAGAGCTTCCATTTTATTTTTTGAGAGGGGGGCATTTCAAAAACTGGTCTCTACGTTCATAGTAATACTACTTTTTGACATGAGGTCATTGAAGGTATAGATATTTAGATGATTACATCATAGTAAATGTTTATCTACATAAAACTACATGTAAAAATACGTGGAGGTCTTGATTCAAGAATAAACAGCTTCATAGTGGAGCAGTTTCAATATATGGTAGATCTACATTTACACTTCAGTACATGTAACAGTAACCAAGTACCACGTGCCATTAGCCATTAGCAATATGGAGGCACGATGGCTCAGTGGTAGAGCAGTGGTCTCGTAACCGGGAGGACCTGGGTTTAAAACCAAGTTGATGTGCTTGTGCCCTTTGGTCGAGTGGATACGTCGCCGGACTGTCGATCACAAGGTCCGCGGTTTGAGTCCCGCCGCTGCACTAATGTCCTTTGGCAAGACATTGATCTACATTTGCCACACTCCACCCAGGTGAAGTAAATGGGTACCTGGTAGGAATTTATTCCTTGAAACGCAGCGCGCGTAACAGCTGCACTGCTAAGGCTAGGGTAATTATGCTGCATTATTGTACAGCGCTTAGAGACTTCTGACAAAGTAAGTGTTAGGCGCTATATATAAGCACTGTAATTATTATTACCAATTCCGTCTGAAAAGAAATAAAGCTGTCAGTCCCTGGGCCTGGTTGCTTTAAATACTTACAAGCATAAACACGCTTTCTTAGCAGTCAGGTTAAGACAAACTAACAAATATCTCAGATGATTTGATAGAGGGCGTCGTTGAGACTACAACTTGTGATTACGTTTCTTCGGATTTTCGTTATTTTCAACATTTTCTCTTCTTGATATGAACATTATTTGAATATGGACTAATTGACTGACTTCTCAGATAATCAGGAAATCTGTCTTCGTCATGGTATGTAACTGTAATGTGCTTTTTTTGGAATAGCTCTTCTGATCTGTGCAGCTCAACTTCTTGACTTTCCCACGTACTCATTTTTGTGTTGTGCTATACTATTTGAGTACCTCGATCACTACACTATGTCTGAATCGTGTGGATGCAACACCGAGGCCGATTCGGATGAGCCTCACAGCCACTCTACAACTCCAAATATTAAACTCAGATCATCATCTACTAAGTATACTCGCGAAGTAAAGGTACCTGCCAGACCTAAATCCAGTAGTAAATCAAATACTAAACGACACGAGTTTGCAGCTGAAACTATAATGGCTCTTTTCAAGGATGACCAGTTCAAAGACTTACTACGTGAAACTGTCACATCTCTTGTCACTTCATGCATTGCTAGTATAGAGTCTAAGCTATCCACTTCCATTGAACAAAATATTGTGTGTATTGAACAGCAACAGGGTATTCTTCATGATGTCCAAAATCAAATGGGCTTGACACGTACACATCTCACTGATCTTCAAACATCTCTAGGCAATGCTAAAACTGCCCTCAAGAAGTATGAGAATGAATTAGAAGAAAACAATACAGTCATCGTAACTCCATCCGCATCTTAGGCTTACCTGAGATGCCAAGTGAAAACACTGATCAACTCGAACTCGCTATTGACCTAGTAACCAAATCTCTTGGCATTAACTTGTCCCCCGCCAACATCGACAGATCCCACCGGGTTAGTGGAAAACCACGTTCTTCAAGTGCTCCAGCTAATGCTCTTCCAGATGTTTCTACACCATCAACTCGTAAGATGTATGATAGAGGGTCGTCCCAAGCCAGGAATCTACACCAGTCCGCGAATAGGCCCCGACCGATACTAGTCAAACTATGTTCTTATCGCCATAAGCGGGATTAGCGGATCATAATGAGTAAGAAGTCACAACTCAAAGAGTCAGGATTTATGATTGTGGAAGATCTCACAAAAAGGAACTTTCAATTACTAATGGATACTCGCAGATCAGAGCAAGTAGAGACTGCATGGCCAATAGATGGGAAAGTGTTTGCAGCAGTCAAGACAACAGGAAGTAAACCAATGAAGAAGTTGATAAGCTCACTTGATCAACTGAACTCTCTCTGAATTTTGCACAGTCGACTTTAAAAAAAAATCAATCCAAGATTAAGTACCTCGGATATCAATTTACTGCATGCACCATGATGTGAAGATGCTTTTCCTGGTATTCCACATGCATCTTTCCTTGGAACTTTTTGAACTTTTTGAAACTTTTAATATACAAACGTGTTTTGTGTGTGACTGTGTGTGATTGCCACTGCTCGTGTGTGATTTTGATATTGTTGTTATACTTTTCTTTTGTCTTTTTTCTTACATTGTAAAATGGTTAATTATTGCAAGCTATGTAAAGCTCACTTCAACTCATGTTTTCATATATCTACACATGCATCTTTCCGTACCCAGTGTAATGCTGAGATATTCCCATTTAACAACTGTATATCAGACAATGAATTTCTCTGGAATCTATATACATGTAAATACTTTGAACTGAATCAGAATATAGATATTGAAAGACTACAATGTCTATCAGTAAACCCTTTTGAAATGAACAATGATCCCGCTGACAATACTACCTTTCAATCCGAATCTGATGACTATTTTCCAGAACGTAACTGTAAATACTTGTTCTCAGATGAATTTAAATCAAAGTTTCAGAACTCAAACAAAAGTTTTTCAATCTTAAATGTAAATGCTCGAAGTCTCCCAAGAAATGTTGATGAGTTACAGTTGTTATTGAAAAGTTTGAATCATGCATTTACAGCTATAGGAATATCTGAAACCTGGTTCAGAGAAAATGCTGAAAACTCTAAAACTCTTAAAGACTATTCATTTACTTGTTGATCAGCTTTGTATAATATTTAATAAATCTCTATCACAAGGGATTATACCTGACAGACTCAAAGTTTCCATGATTATACATGTGTACAGAAAGAAAAGCCCTCACAATTTTGAAAACTACAGTCCTATATCATTGTTACCATTTTTTTCCAAAATTCTAGAAAAAGTTGTTCATAAAAGATTGTATTCTCACCTTCAAATTAATGACATCCTCATACCTGAACAATTTGGTTTCCGTGAAAATTTTTCAACTTCTACGGGTGTATTAAATATTGCAAATGCGCGATACCATAAACCATACGAAGAAGTCTGCATAATTTTGTACTGATATCTTCAGTTTGAGGTGCAGGACTACAGCGTAGAGACGGTACTGAGCGACGACATCGACATCGAAGCCCTAAACGAAGGTTTCCCAATGTCGAATGTGATCCAAATTCAGGTGGAAAATGCAATATATGATTATGATTAAAATTAGTTAAAAATTGGGCTAAAATTCCTTTGCTAAGAATGGATTCTTAAACTGCTAAAAAAAATGGATACGGAACTACACTAGCGCCCATTTCTCCATGTCTGTTGCTTGAACAATTGCGGAAGATTTATAATTATATGATGTTTGTTGTGTTATAGTAAGGTATCTCCACGCCGGTGTAAGGGCTCCGATGGTATGGTTACAGTTATGAACAAGCGCCAAAATGTGAAAAGTATGAGAATTGAAGGAAGCATCCAACTGAGTGATGGCAGCACATCGCTGTCCACGTTTTTAACAGCACATCACTGTAGACCTATATATATATATTTTGCACCTAGATTGAGGCCTACACACATTTTGGACATGGCACACACCACACTGCAGTGCGTAATCTTCGTTGTATGAAGTTGCATTTACCGAGGAAGAAGAAGAAGAAGAAGAATTTAACTTCCTACCAAAGGTAACCAGTGCTAACCATGCTAACACGAGTACGCACACGTGGGACCGAACAAGACAATTTATCCTGATAAATAAGCTTTCACTACTCTTTCTCATCCCTTACATTACATTATATTTAGAATTCATACAATAACTTACTTCAGGAACGCTCTGAAATACGCTGCAAATCTAATTGTCTCTTCTAGATATCCCTTTTCCTCAACTTCTGTTATTATGGTGGTGCCTGGTGTAGTGGTAGTGTCTCTAAAAATCGTCGCAAACTAACTTCTTGACTAATTCTGAATCAGCGTTGCAACGTTGGAAGCAACGAACTTGGATTTCGATGGTTGGAAGCTAGCTAGCTACCACTGACCTCAGGTCAGTGCTGCATGCTAGCTACATGTACGTGTTTCACGAAGCCCTCTTTGCCAAGATCAAGGACAACTGTTGTTGTCAAGAATGATAAAGGACATCATCCTGACTATATTATGATGCTTCCGACCCTGCCATAAATTATCTCTGTCATAACTTTCATATCTCCAAATGTGTAAATTGAATAGTTTTACAAATGTGTTTTAATGTTTGCAAGTTGAATTTTTGTCATTTTGAGATTCTGTTGAAGTTAAAACATTGGGCAAAAATTTCATAGCATCGTATTCTTGTAAGTATAGGAAATTAAGAATAATATAACGGTGTATTTTTTTTTATAAACTATAGCATGGAAATGTCCGGGGGTACCCATTAATTTAAAACAAAATTATGTATTCTTTTATCAATAATTGTCTTCAAACATTTTTTTTTTTTTTGGGGGGGGGGGATCTTTGCAGAAGTGTGTTTAAAATGACATCCTCTTTCACATTATATAATTTAAGTGAAATTTTGAATTCGGGGCTCCCAAAACTTAAGAGGGACTTCTTTGCCGTTTAATGTGCCAATCTGATAAGCAAGAGAGCTCCTCGCACTGCATGGAAACAGTTGAATTATCTTGAAACCTATTCCATGATAAATAAAATGTGCCATAGGGAGATTATTTGTGTGGCATGTACAGAGTGGCTTTAAAGATCTAGCTATATAGTACATCAATGATCAAAGAGATCATTTTGAGTGATCACTCGTGCTCTAAACCTTGAATATCATCAGGGATCGATAAGCTGACTGGGAAAGGGTGATAATTATGTTTCTAACATTGGAAACAAAAGAAACATACATGATATGTATATATTAAAGATACTATATGTCCCCTTTACAGCCAACATCAAATTCTGTAGAACTTTGCATGAATTATGAATATGTCATGTATGTCCTATCTGTAATATTTAAACTTTAGCAGTGTCCTAATGCAAGGAAACCCATTTACTTGCTAGACTTCACTGTCAGACACTATTGAGTGACTGACTGGCTTTTTTCTTCTTTGGTAATAACATACATAAAATGAGCTGTAAAGGGTACATGGGCATTTGTTACATCAATAACCCACTTTTTTGTAAACTGATTGAATCTTTGCGCAGGATAAAATGTACGACCATTCGGTACAATGGTCTGAAAATCAGACTATTACTTACTGGCTCTATAGCTCTTAAGTCACTTCGACAACTAATAGTCGTTATTTTCAACCCCCCCCCCTTTTTTTTTTTTAGGGAAGTTCTAAATTAGTATTATCTTTCAAATGCCGTTGGAATTTAACCTTTTCATTTTTTTGGCCTGCAAATGGGACATACCTTTAAGGCCCAAGTATCAACATTTGGAAGGGTTAACCAACGGTTAAAAAATAGAAATGCACATTGTTTCTGTTAAATGAAGTAAATTTAAGGCCGGTCAATGGGCCTATACAGAATTGACTTTCGCCCCCCCCCCCCCCACCAGCCCCAATTCGCCCCTGTCTTATCCTATCTCATTGAACCCGACTCGGCTATATAGTCACAGCATTGCTGTCACCCCACCCCCCCCCCCCCTCCTCCTTCTCTACTCAAGGCAAATCTTGGTTAGTAATAAAAACACGAACACGCTTACTGATGATTTCTTGAGGTGTATTTTATTTAACGATTTACAATCACCTTGCCTTATTTTGCATTTTATATATGTATTTCAAATATTTTCACAATAAAGCAAAACAAAAGAAAATAAAAGGATAGCGTTTATTTCATTTTCATTGAAATCCCCCAAATAGTGATTTTACCACCAAAAAAAATGATGATACCTTACTATTTTATAAGCCAGACTAAGTATATTGTTTTTCCAAGTTGTTCTCTTTATAGAGTGTCATCACATGACGAGCTACGAATATTGAATAAAGAGCATAGAACAGCATAAGCTTAGGAACCCTGGGCTTATGGTGGGGGGGGGGGGGGGGGTAAATCCAAGAGCCCCCCCCAATAATTAGAAGAGAAAAGAAGATACCCCCTATATCGCGCCTCACTAAGGCCTACAACCGTGCCCCCCCCCCCCGCCCAATCCTTAAAATCTGCCTCAAGCCTATGTATAGGTTATTCTTGTAATGGTTCGCGGCTTTGCAACATTTTATTAAAACCCGCTTATAGACTGTATGCTGTAACTTAAGCCTACATCTTATTCCTATTTGGTTATTGGAGATAGTAAAGGGAATTCAAATATAGTTCCAAGTTCTACTTTTGCCGAAAAGAACAGTGTGCAAGCTCATATACTTTGTCCTATGAAAATCATCCACCTATATAGCGCTATACTCTAAGTATTATTTCTCTTCTAAACCTCATGATACAAACTATTCCCTGTTAAATTGATCAGAAAATTGAACTGGAAGAAAACATGGTAACATGACCACTAACAAACAAAATTGTAAGGCTTTTGTTATGTGGGGGGGGGGGGGAGAGGTTGTAAGGGACCATTTTGCCGAAATTGAGTGGTTGATTTAAATTTTTGATCTAGACGGGGTTTGCCGGTTGGGTGTTCACTACAGTCGGGACTACAGTTCCATCAGCGTGTTGGTAGTATACAGCTGTGCTCATCGCAACGGGGGTCGTCGTCAAGTTCCCGTCATCGCTGTGACAGCAACATCCCCGACAACATACCAGCCCTCTGCAACAATACACCGAGGCAACGATAGCGACGACGCTCTCGATGAAGAGAAGGGCAGCGCAGACGGAGTGGAGGATGACGGCTACGTCGAAAGAGTCCCAGTAGCAGAAGTAACTGAAGCAGACCAACTTGTAGGAGAACAAGCCGGCGACTAAACCCTCGTTGACTACGCCGATGAAACCGATGATGTTGGCGAAGATGGACATCACGAGATAGGCGATGATCAGGCAGGAGCGTCGGGATTGGGTCGTGATGCCGATGATTCCAGAGGGGATAACGAAGAGGATGGCGATCCCGATGGGTGATCCTTGGTTGGGATATCCCGTATGACCGTAAACGAAGGAAAGGACGTAATTGACGAAGGTGATGGTGAAGCCGAGGAGAAGCTGGACGATGCCGGTAGCACGACCTTAGTTGAAATGGAATCCAAATCGAGAACGTGACTGTAATAACCGATTAAACTTGCTGAGGGAAACAATATTTGTGGCTGGGATTGTCATGACGTTTAGAATGATTTAAACTATAGTTGCCAAGCGCTTATTACTTTTGTACGGTGTTGTTGTTGTTGTTTTCGGTGATTTTTTGTTGTTGTCTTCATTAGGAGGTGCCCCAATTCTACATTGTCCCAGTTAACCCTAACTCCCATCCCTAATATTTTTGACTGTGGTTTGCTAACGTTTCATAAATGAATTAAAGACAATTGAAAGCAAATCAGTACATGCTACGAATTGTACAAACAATCACGTATTATGTGTGGTCTTTAAAAGATTTTAAACAATTTTTAGAAAATCAGACAATCTCACCTGCTTTGATGTTATAATGTTCAGAATATCCACTACAACATCCCTGTTGCTGATGTGGTTGAGGTTGGACATATACATATTGCTGCGTTGCTTCTTGTGGTTGCCCATAATATGGTTTTGGTGGTATTTGTTGCGGTGGATATTGCTGCATTTCCATTTCTGGTTGATTTTTAGTTTTTACGTAGAAAGAAAAGAAGTAAAAATAAATATAAAGTTATTTGTTTCTAAAAACGTCCAGCTACCGGGTCAGCCTTTCAGTCGACATTCCTCTTTTTTTTTCCTTATCGTAGATTACTCCTTTCAATCTTACTATTTTTGTACGGAATTTTTTTGTTTGAAACTTTTTATAATCCAGCAACGTCAACTTGCAATTCAGTAACATGACGTCACAATGAATTCAGGGTCATCAAAGCGCATGCAAACTTTGGTGCGCAACACGTCACAATAGGCCAATCATGCGAAATGTCTGTCCCGATAGTGCACACCATATAACCATAGACGTAATAGAATGGATTATACAACACCTACGTGGATCCCTGTCATTTGAATGTTTTTCATTCGTTCAATAATGCGAATATTTTCATTCGTTGAAAGATTAACATTAATTCTATTCAACTCGGCTGACGCCTCGTTGAATAGAATGTTAATCTTTCAACTCATGAAAATATTCGACACCTACGTGGATCCCTGTCATTTGAATGTTTTTCATTCGTTCAATAATGCGAATATTTTCATTCGTTGAAAGATTAACATTAATTCTATTCAACTCGGCTGACGCCTCGTTGAATAGAATGTTAATCTTTCAACTCATGAAAATATTCGCACTATTGAACTCATAACCATTCATTATTTGTATACTATCGACGAAGCAGTTTCTTTGATCCTATGAGTTCCACCGGCAAGGTTTAAATTTCGCGCCGATGCAAAAACCCAGCGGTGGTCCCACCGCAACCCGACAGCTGGATGCGATCACTTGCGCAATCTTTCATAATCGCAACAGCAAGCTCGCGATTTGGGGTTGTTCGCTGCTCCTTCAAATCGTTGAGAACCTAGTGTTAAATAGTATGAGCGCTCTCCGCCATGCGGTCGTAGCGAACATGTTTTCGTCTTTGTGCCTGACGATATTATTGTTATTGTTTTCAGCGTTGTATTTATACTAACAATTATTATTTATTTCGATGTGTGTATTGTTCCATAATACATATTTTTCTCGTACTCATGAGTCATGTGTTGTTTATAAAGTAATTAGAAGGGCAGGATTATCATTAGATGACATAAATAAGGAAGAACTTTATGATTATGATGGGCAGTCCATAATTATATCGACATAGCAGACGACGGAAATGTTGAATATTTTGCAATGGTCAATTCCCAAATTTACGGACACAGATATTTTTCCTAATTCCTAGATTCTCAAAAAAAAACGTACACATAATTTATAGTAGGCCTACATCAAGATAAAATAAGATAAAATATGAGGGAAGAAAAAAAAAAGCAGTCACTCTCGGATTAACAAGTCCAAAATATAACTTGAAAAAAACATGCACCCGCCGATCTCTATCAATGGGACTACGTGTGCAATTTGGATTAGACAAAGGCACGGCAATTTAGTGGTCATGATGCGAAGAAGTCACGCATTACCACAGATTTTCTGAGCACTCACGAAAACAACCCCATTCTTCCAATGCCTATAAAAAAAACGCACGCAAACGCAACAAATAACGAATGATTGTATTCGACCAGCGAAGGATTTGTGATCACCACAACGTCGTTGGTTTCACAGAGAAATTAACGGAAACAGGAGAAAAAAACACTTTTTAAACTGTATTTTGTAAGCTCTTGTGGTAACTTTCCTTGCTGATATGATGAGTTTGCTACACACCAACACAAATTCGTAAAAAATCGAAGAAATCACCGATTTCAACGGCTTTTTTTACAGATTGGCGAGCATGAACAGGACGTAAACCTCATGTTTACATCCGGGGCATTATTGACGTAGTATTTAGCTGCGCATGGGCAGAAGGCTCTCCTGTCACGATTCATTCATGAAATGAGAAGCGTAAATCGTGGGAAGCATTGGTCAGTGCGAAGCGACTTGGCCGATAGAGGTCGGCAAAATCCCGGTGGATCTCATAGGACCAAAGGACCCTTATCGGAGCTTGTCAAAACATGCCCGCAGCGTTGCGGTCAGACTTAAAACATAGAAGAAAGTAAGACATAAGAACAGGTGGTAGCTATCATTACTTTTACTACTCTTGCCGTCAAAAGTCCATTTCTATTACGTCTATGATATAACCATCTAAATCACTTCAAAAAATTCATGAACAAAATTGTCTATGTAACGGAAGTTATCGACTTAAAATGCCCCCCCCCCAAAAAAAAGGATACCAAAATTGAGTCGATTTTATCTCTGTCTGGCCCATCTGTAGGGAAGGGGTTGCCAGAGGCATCAGGATTTGATACAGAAGGAAATTGAGAAACGACAATCAAGTTACAAACATTGCAAATTCGGTATTATTTTGCAACTTCACACACTTACATGTAATTGATGATGACAAACATATTTGCTGGTAGATAGCCTTTTAAAAATCTTTAAAAAAAATAAAACATTTGACGAAATATATGTAGATATATATTTATAAAGTTATGAATGTCACCCCCTCCAGCGACGCCCAGGTAAGCATAAATTATGTTCATCAACAACAACAACAACAAAATCATACCTGGCTATATAAGGCACCTTTTCCCGTTTTAATCTACTTTTCAAATCCACGTCTTAAATGTCTCGCGGTATTGACCTCTATTCTTATCTGCTGCGGATCGAGGGGTGAGACATAATGACTGCTCCATCCCTATTGCCAAACAACAAAAACAACAAAAACAACAACAACACAACAACCACAACACAACAACTACAATGATGGGAAAGGCCCAAAGCCAAGGGTTATAGGAAGTTCACATTTCTTTTTTCTTTTTTCTTTTTTTTTTCCTTCCAGGCAACAGTTCAGGACGTGCAGCGAAGGAAGCTTAATAATTCGTTCTCAGTTTATATCTTATGCTGTCTCCATTGTTTTGTATCTTTTAAATGCCGAATAAATAATTAATAACAGTATTAATGACAGGGGGCCTAATAATAATATTAATAATTGTAATGACAGCGATGGGGGGGGGGTCAGAAAATAACCGGGAATAGGAAATTTGAAATGGAAGAGGAATAGGAGAAAATAGAGCAAAAGAAAGAAAGTGAGAAAAAGGGAAATGAGGAGAAATTGGAAATGGAGAGGAAGAGCTAGAGAGTCACAAAGAGAGAGAGAGAGAGAGAGAGAGAGAGAGAGGAAGGGGGCAAGGACGGGAAGTAAAAGGAGAGGAAGGGAGAGAGGGGGAAATGGGTGAATAGATGTAGAGGAGAGAGAGAGAGAGAAAGAGAGAGAACCCTTCTATATCTATGCATGTTTGTTCTGTATCCAGCATATTTAATTTATTTTCGATAATGTACTGAACTATGCACATTATAATCTCTCAGGACCTGCTGTTGGGGGGGGGGGGTTAGTGAAGAATACAAATGAAAATTGTATCCAAGTAAAAGTATCAATGTGTTTCGCGACCACTGTCACTTTTTAAGGCCAATAGCATTGTATGGACAGAAAAGGAATACACAGGCACTTTGTTCGTTTGAACAATCTTTTTAAAGATTATAATTATAGAAGCGGTGTATACTTTGGTTCTCCATGGGATGGCGTTGTTCATTTTAATTGTTGAGCATACGGATGCTTTGGCCCGATTAAACAGGGTAGGAAAATGCACGCACTTTTTTAGTTTAGTTTAATTTTGGTTGATTTGTTTGTTTGTTCTTGTTTTTGATATCCCTGGGGATTTATCCCGGGTATTTATCCGGATTACAGTTTCTTCTGTTAAGCTTTTATCATTTAGGAGATGTCGTTCCCATTTATCCCCCCCCCCCCCTTCTTCAATTGAATCCATCACCTCTATGTATAGGATCTTGGTTTCGTATAGGCGAACGGGTCATACACATGCGACACATATAATATGCGGGTTAATATTAGTATGCCTTACGAACCAGGAATATTCCAACTCCCTGATGGAACCATCGCTGGCTGATAGGAAATTAATATTTTCAAACTAATGAAAGTTTTTGATAAATATACCAATTAGTAAAAGAAATGCGCTCTTGCCCCCTTTAGCGGTCGATATTTACGAAATGTCAAGGCGTGGCCATGAAAGTGTGTAGAAAATACCATTTACTCTTTACACACCTCTACCCCACCCCCTTGAACGACATTCACCTGTCGCTGTGTCTAAACATACACGTGCTTATATATACGTCTGGCGTTGCCACTTTGGTTACCAAGTGACAACAAGACTAGTTCATTTTAAAGTAGGGTAAACAATAAACTAATACGGAACTTTATGGCCTGTATCACCATAAGAGTATTGAAATTTTAAATTAAAGGAAATTTAGTGTAAAATTATAATTATTTTGATGTTAAATCTTAATATTATTGAGAATTTATTGAAGGGGTTTTGTAAATTAGATATATTTCTATACTTGATTTCCCTTCAAGGAATGGAAGAGTCCACGCTTCTTCGCGATTTTCTTTGTGGAGGAGGCCGAGCCGCTAAGCTTCGTTTATTGAACGTGCAAGCCCTATGTAAGCGGATTTATGTGTTTTACAGTAAATATTTACCACAGCGGTGAGATATATCGTTAACTTCCAATTATACACACCTCTTATCGTAGATATTTTGTAATGAACGTGGAAGACAAGAATATTTGACAAATAAGGGATAGATCGGGAGATATCGTCAAATAAGAAGGCAAAGGAGAGTATAATTTTAGCGTGATTAGATGTAAAATGTGGTTTTTGTGATACGAATACCTCGGCGCGTCGCGTTTCCGTTTTACACCCTGCCCTAGGCTTTTCTCCAATAAAATTTTACAAACCGACTGGTATTCGGAGTCTAGTCGTCCACATCTTGCCTCGGCGCTCTGCACACCACCAGAACTCTGAAAACGTCACGTAGCGCTAGCTAACTCTCTATATTAGTTGATCTTCCTAGTCGTATCATTAATTTTTATCCATTAATACGCAATACTCTAAGAGCGTGAGGATGCGTGATCAGCTCGCAAAATTTAGCCCAGCGATAACAAAACAATAATATATCGGGAAAACCGTCTTGAACAAGAAGACCCTCGCATCCCCAATTGAAATTGTACATAAGCTTTGGCTTCGCTATTCTTGACGTCGATATAAACAAACTTAGACTTCGGATACAGCATGTTTCGTGTAATTTCTTGCCGAAAAGCCTAGGGCAGGGTGTAAAACGGAAACGCGCGATCGGGTGTGTGGAGCTGGAGCGAAGGAAGATCGCTTGCTTTGATTTGCAAATTTCACGGATATACTGAAGTAAATAAATATTGCAGAAATGGCGACAGGAATAGTGAGCAACCAACGGAATGCCTCTGGTTTCAAGAAACAAAATCTTCCGAACATCGAGCACCCCATGTCTCGACTTGGGGACCGAAAATCAATGAATGTTACTGGATCCAATCGTCCAGATTCCGTGATGAGTCCCCGACCCCGTCAGAACTCCAGCGGGAGAGAGGCGAGGACTCCGCCTCTAGCTCAGGCAGGTCGAGCTTCTGTAGTCGGTCTCCATGCGTGGGATGAGCCAGACCATAATCTACCTCCTTTGCAGAAGGATGGAGGGAAAGAAAATAAACGATCAAAGAAGCAAAAACATTCAAGAATGATGACATGGCCTCCAGGTAATGTTAATGGTAATACATTATTTAAAAAAAGACATTGCATGCTATGAAGTTAACCAACAAATTCTGAATTCCCTGAGTGATTTTTACATGAGGTGAAAGTTAACTTTCAAGCTTGGAATAGAATATAATAATGGCACGATGGCCACTCTAATTTGTTAAGATTGATATAATATGCCCATATTTTGTAAATAACAGTAGTATTTATGTGTAATTAATAATTATATAATTAGTGGGCTGCCCGCTAGATACAAGAGAAGAGATGAATGTTAAAGATTGATTTTAGAATAGAATAAAATGATGATATAAACAAATATATGAGCCCTAATTCACATACACCTAGGTTTGTCAACAAACCTCCTTTGTGAATTTGGCCCAATAATTTAACACTACCTTTGTGAAATTCATATATTTATAAATAATATGACACCGCACCATGAACATTTCATGAATATTCAGATCTCATATAATATACATTGTAGATATAGGCCTAATTGATATTATGATACATTTTGAAAACCATATGCTTCTAATAAAATCACTAACCCCATGTAATTCTAACTGCAATAAAAAGTAAGCATCACAAAATTAACCATATACAGGCAAGCGAAGGTCTACATGAAAGAAAAACAGATATGGCCTTAAAGCCCTTCTGGCTTTTAAAGGTAAAGACCAGTATTGGCAACGCCCCAATTTCAAAAAATGAAATGGAAGCTCTCATTACCAATCATGTGAAAGAATATGTTTTGACTAATACATGATGATAAAAAATTTGCCGGGAAACCGCCTACTAATTCATATATTTGGTAAATTTATTTCTCTCATGGTCTGGTGAGAGAGATAGGGTAGTCCCATATACATCTTTCTGTGTATAGTGCTTGTAACTTTACGAAGAATGGGCCAAATTCCTTATCATTTTGATGGTTCCAGAACCTTGCAGATGCTAGATGCTAGATGATCAACCTTTTCTGATCGATTCCACAACGTTTCTTTCACAATGCAATCGCATGACCATTACTGGTCTTTACCTTTAATAGTAGAGAGAGAGAGAGAGAGAGAGAGAGAGAGAGAGAGAGAGAGATAGAGAAAAAAAAGTATGAGGCATTATCATACAAACGTTATATAAGCGTGAACAATTTTACTTATTGAACCGAACATTTGTGGTTAATTTTCTTCTTTTTTTCCAGTAATAATCATCATCAAGAAAATCAGAAATGTAATTATTAAAAAGGTTGGAATATCAAGTAGTTTTGTTTTGTTTTGTTTCTTTAGCACATGAGCAGGGGCCGGGAGAAAGACGAGCTAAGTCAGCCAAGGTACCGAGCAGTGCTGAATTTCTCACAAAATACTCAAGAAATCCGGATGAGGTTGGTACCCAAAGAACGCCAGAGGGAGAGAGGGGGGGGGGGGGGGGGCAGGGGGAGGGGAACAGTTAAATATATTGCTGCATACATGCTTGACCCCCAAAAAGTGAGAAAATTGAGGTGGGAGATGCATTTCATTTGGGTGTCAAGTAGACTTACAACAAGGAAATGTTTAGTATATTAACACGGATTTAGGTTACCAGTACCCTTTTTTTTCCATCCTTAGTCTGGACTTTGTGCAGTATAGACCTTGTTATCTGTAGGGGTAAATGTTTTGAGAAAAATGAATTGCAAAAAAAAAAGTTTGAATAGGTAGTGATTTTGAACAATAGTTTTTGTTTTCCTAGAGGGGTCACATTCACAGATGTATACAGTAATATATTCTGACGACTGTCGGGGTTAGTTAAGTTACAACATCTGCTTTAGAGGGCAGTGCAGCAGTTTGTCTCATAAAACTGTCATACATGTAAGTCTGAGATCATTGATATGATCCCATGTGTTCATTTTTTATAACATGCGCATTAGTGGGGTGTCACTGAACCGGCCTTTAATATGCACAGCAGTTTCATTTGACTCTTCCCAAGAGCTTTGCAAAAGTTGATGTTCAATTTTTATAAATTGCACTTTGCTCGACCGGGACACTTGAAAATTGTCATTAATTGCTAATGGCTTGATATTACAAGCAGGGATAAATATTAGTTAATTACAGCCAAGTGCTGGAAAACTGCTTGAACGCAAAACATTATATTTGTAGTGGGCTTACTCGATGGAAACTTGTATATTTGATACTACTGCTAAACATGCATGAGTGAGGTCAAAATTGGAGCAACAATTCGTCCTTGTTTTCACGAAGTGACGGTAGTGAGGAAAATCGTAACGCAAAGTGAATGCAATTTTTTTTCACTACCGTCACTTCGTGAAAACAGCGACGAATTATCTCCCAGAAAATATCATGATTAGGTACTTTTCGATTTGCACGTCGACATAGTGGACTGCTACATGTGACGTCCTTTTAAGGCACTAGCAATGCCTTAAAAGGATGTCACACGTAGCAGTCCACTATGTTGATGTGCAAATCAAAAAGTTCCTATTGTCTGCTGAGTGAATGTAATTACATTATGCCCTTGAACAAGAAGGGACCATACAAGGCTACAGTATTGCAATAAAACCATGATAGAAAATCAATAAATGAATTAAAATTCCACATAAATGCAAGAAGTGATATAAAATTGTATGAATTTGCAAGATGTGACAATACAATCCATTTTACGTTTTATGTAAATCTACTGCAAGATATGAAGCAAATTAGATAGATTTTGTCTTACAATTTTGAAAGTGCTAAACAAGACATTAATTTAATCAACAAAGTGTTGCAAAACTTGCAATAAACAAAGAGAAAAGAAAAAAAGCGTCTCTGCTACAGTTGTAGACAAGTGGCCAACAAAATCAAATGCCATTTTATTCTTGAGTATATGCCACCCACTGGACCTTAAGGGGAATTGTCAAGGAGAGACAAAAATCAATAAATGCCAAACAATTAATTGGGTCGTGCTATGCTATTCATATGACAGAACGGTCAATAAAAGCTTTCTTCCCACTTTGAAAAGGGTGGTCATCAAATGCTTTGTGAGCCTTCTGTGCTCTCTGAACGAGGATGAATGGTATTTACACCGGTTACAATATGAGCAGCAGTGAGGACAATTCAGAAGAGGGGCATGCAAATACCCTTTGGCAACATTGCTATGGGAATGCTCACAATGTTTTTCATATTTACAATTGTCCAGTCCTCTAAAGTTTATGGCAACATTTCATTTAAATGTTATCATAATGTGAAAGACGATGTCATTTGAGACATATTTCTGCAAGAATTTTAAAAATAAATGTTTTTGAAAACGTAATGTATCCAATACTTTTTTAAGATGGGCCCAATACAAATTAAAAACAATTGTAAAACTGGAGATTGGACATGTATCTGTATCATGTGTACACAATGTAGCAATGAGAAGTAAAATTCACAAACTTTTTAGAATTTTTTTAGAAAGAAGTTGTTAAAAGCTTTAAACAACAGTTAATGTTAGAAAGAAAGTACATAGCATTTGTTTCATGGACATGGGCATGTTGAAAGTAAATATCTTGCTTTATGAATACCGGTACACCTACAGTTTTAGTGACATTACCAATTCAGCCTATCTGAAGTTCCCATATGTATAGTGACTACAATTCTAAAAATCATAACTTTCTTATTTTTGTCAGATTTATTTCTAACCTTCACAGCCTGCTTCGCTGATCTTTCTGCTTTCTTTTAGAGTTGTTTGTTATTAAGGTTGGATTTCCCTTTAATGATGCAATATCGCTCTTTGATTTCATTTTTCACAGCTGATTCAGGTTCTACGGGTCAAACTTGTCTCAGGTTTCCATGGCCTTCGTCAGATGTTCAAAGGTCATGACCCTCAGGGCAAAGGTCGCGTGTCAAAGAGTGCAATGGGTCAGATTCTCTACCCTCTTATTGGTTACATCACTCATGAAGATGTAGCAAGGCTTTTGCACAGGTAAGACTGATTGAATGACTAAATATGGCAGCCATAAGCTGAATGATATCCAGTTTCCAATAAAATATGATTCTTGGTGCATAGTAAGGCCTAAAATAAAAATTTGTTGTATTGCCCTTTGGGTGCAAAAACATGGGTCGGTCGGTCAGAAAAGTTTGTTTTTTTTAAACTTTTTTTTTGTTGCCCTCTTTGGGCTGATATTTTTCAGTTTTTTAAATCTTTTTTTTCCTTTTTTTTCTGCCCTCTTTGGCTGATATTTCTCAGTTTGTAATGCTTTAATACATGTGTTTCAGCGTCATCATTCCATTCATATCTTTTTCACCTAATAATCCATGGATTGCAATGTTGTTTTGATTGAGATGTTTACGCTAGTAGGATTTTGAAACTAGGGCAGAAGATGAGTGAGAATTTGGGAATGATTTGATTTTATGCATTTATATCCCATTTATTCCAACAAACAAAATACATATTTTTTTATTCATTAATAATAAACGAATCTAAAAAAACGGTTTTAAATGCCGACCGTAGATTTTCAGATTTTTGGGTCGGTCGCAAAGGGAAATACAACAAGTTTTTATTTTAGGCCTAATGTTGGAATAATTTTTACATATCAAGATTACCTGCAGTTGAAAGACCGTACAACATCAAGGCTTTTCAGTGAAATCTTGAGAATGTGCTTGTACATGTATAATTGCATCTATGTTATATACAGTTTCTAAAACATAACTTCTTTTTAAGTTATGGGTTGTGGTTAATTTGAATGTATATTTGATATGATGTTTCTGCAACAATATGAGTGTTAATATACCGTGCTCTGCAAGATACATTTCCCCCTTTCTGATGGCTTTAATTGCTCAACAGTTATATAATCAATACTTCTTTTCTTGTACAGACTTGGGCTGGAGAGAGATGACACTCTTACATTTGATGATTTTATTGCATGCTTTAGAGATACAGAGGTAAGTTCATTTTTCTTTTTTTTTTATATTAACTTGAATTAAAGAATACTGAAGATTCTTTTTGTGCATGTAATATGAGATACAGTTTTGGGCAGGACATACCGTTACACACAGTCACACACACGTAAACATCATGTCCTAACAGTCTAATACAGTTTCAACTGAATTCTCTATTTGATTTTGTCTTGTTGAGCCAGAAGGGTATTAACTCTGTGAGTACAGTGTATATGGGTTAACGTCCTTCTGGCTCCAAGCAAACAGACAGATTACAAGAGTGTATACAATGTATGAACATGTATAGTTTGGAAGATAACAAATTTCTTTTCAAAGAATACACACTGTAACTCCCATGGTGTATTCACAGTTCCTTGTTCTTGTACTCTCTCTCTCAGCTTAGAGTCAGAAGGGAATAAGTCTATGTCATTTCACAAAGTTGATAATAATAATATTCTCACTCTTATATAGCGTTTAATAAATCAATCATGTCTCTTAAGTACTTTACATAAATATCATTACCCTGGTCTTTGGATTCTGGCTTGCCCGCACACATTGTATGCACATTCTTCACTTCCTAGGGAGCATTCTAGCCAGGTGACATTTTACAGATGCTCACAATGCTGAGCAAACTACCTGGGTGGAGAGTGGCAAATGTAGATGTATTGCATCCATGTAGCATTAACAAAACTTCTGCAATTGTGTTTGATATCAGGTTGTTCAGCGGGAGTGGTTGAGTCCCGTTGCAAAAAAGAGGGTGGCGGCCGAGAGGCGTAAGTTACACCCGGAGGAACACCTCAGAGATAAAGACCGGGCTCTTCCTCATCAGAAATGTACCGCAGTATACGGCAATGCATTGCTGAAAGAGAAATGCAAGCACAGGTAATAATGAAATGGCTTTAAAGATAGACGTGGGCTGCATTATCTCCAAGTCCCATGAGGTACATGTATTACTCTGATATCATGTCAGGTAATGACAGGTCAATCACATTTTCGTCTAATAGTCTTTACAACTTGTATTCCTTTTGTTCTTGAAAAGAGTGGCAGTAAAGCTTATAATGCTCTGCATGAAGTCTGATGCACTAAACATATCATATTTGTTGTTTTAAACCGTATTGAAGTATCAGCCTCATGGGCTCTCTATGTATTCAATATTATTTGTCATTGACATTTCCTTAGAACTCTTAAGCTATTTACATATTTTGCATCTTGAAATTACTATTAGTTCTTGAAAGTACTGTGGCCAAAATGTAATGCATTTTTACCACATCTTGATATCTTTAAATGTACATTCTATATTTATGCTTTGTAAATGAAGTTGTGTGTATGAATCCTTACTTTTGTATTCTCTTTTATTTCTCCAGTGATTTTGACATTAGGAAGTACCTTGCACCATCCTGCTTTGAACCAGGAGGAACAGTTCTTGGTCTTCAGCTCCAAGAATGTTTGGCTCTCTTAGGAGGGCATCTTGATGATGAGGAGATGACAAAATTATGGTCTAGGTTCGTTCTTTTATTCGTTTATTCATTTCATTTTCATAAAAAACACAGCAAATGCAAATAAACATACAAGTATATATACATACAAAGAATGTTCAGTTTATACAATAACTTCAAATGAAATAGGAGCACAAAGGAAAACCCATGGTGGCCTTGTTTAAAAAAGTTCCCCTGAATATTATAATTTATATTAATGAGTATATATTAGTTAAAGATATCACAAAATACAGCGATAAACACAATATAAAGACAAAAAACTACAAAAACATGTATGAAATAATTAAAAATTGGAGGGGTCAAAAAGGTATGGAAGGTAAATTCAATGGTAATCAGAATATAAGGTCAGTTTCTGACTTGATTTAAAGCGGGACTGCACTACTTAGATAGATATTCTTTTTGACATTACACTCTACTCTGTGTCATGCAACCCTCATGTGGTTTGTCATGGTATTCAGTTGCTGTCATTTTAACTCCAAATCTTCTTTGCCATCACCTTTTTAAGTCAGTAATGCATTATAAAGGTACTATGTCCCATTTGCAGACCCCAAAAATGGAAAAGTTAATTTCCAACTGCATTTGAAAGATAATACTAATTTAGAACTTCCCTAAAAAAGGTGGGGCTTGAAAATGTCTTCAAGTGGGAAAATAACGACTATTAGTGTCAAATCTACTTTAGGGCTATAGAGCCCAAAAGTAATAGTCTTGATTTTCAGACAATTGTACCGAATGGTCATACGTTTAATGCTGCGCAAAGATTCAATCAGTTTAATCTTGGTCATCACAAGAAGTGGGTTATTGATGTAGACAAATGCTCATGTACCCTTTACAACTCTTTTCATGTTTGTTATTACCAAAGAAGAAAAAAAGCCAGTCAGTCACTCAATAGTGTCTGACAGTGAAGTCTAGCAAGTAAATGGGTTTCCTTGCATAATTTGAATATGAGGACACTGCTAACGTTAACATTTTTCACAGATAGGACATACATGACATATTCATAATTCCTGCAAAGTTCTACAGAATTTGAGGTTGGCTGCAAAAGGGACATAGTACCTTTAAAGCCTATCTGCACTAGTTTGGCCAGGAGGGATTAGACCTCCCTGTGTGGTCACTGGCAGGTGGTTATCTCATCAAATCAGCTCTCTGTTTATTAACATAAGGAAAAGCGGACCATGGGGGAATCAACACGTACCTCTAGACATTGTTGGCTGTATAGCTAGAGGGCGCAAGTAGCTACAAGTAGTGCAGTCCCGCTTTAAATTTAAATGGACAGCTATAACTTTTGTTGGACAGATTGTCTCTCCTTAATTTGTTCAGTGCTGTCGGTTGCAAACCCTGAATGTGTTAATGTACTGGTGGCAGCGGTGGGCTATGAACCCACGCTATCGGGAAAAGACTAGTTAATTACTTTACCCCTTCTCAACCATCACATTATAGTTTTATATGTGAACTTTTAACTGAATATGCTTAGTCTTCAATTAACGAAATGGGCATGAAATACATTTCTTTCTGATAAACCTCACCATGGAAGTAACTGTCGTTTCTTGGGGATAATATAGACCTTCTAAAACATATCAGTAGATTTCTTGTCAATAATGATCCCTTTTTGCATTTCATTTTCAGAGGGTCTTCTCTCCCATTTCATTTCTAATATGTTTTTATGTTCCATGAATATTGTAGTTCCCAACTGAGATATTTTAAAGATATATTATAATAATGTGATTGTAATATGTACAGCGCCACGAGCGTCGGAGCCTGGCGGATACCGGCGGTACATAAATATCCATATCATTATTATTATATATATTTTTTTTAAACTATTTTGCTTAATTTTTTTTAGAGGGGGGGGGGGGGGGGGGGGCTTTATTTTCATTCACTTTATCATTCGTTTAAATAATACCAATTATACTAATTTGGATATTGTCTCTTTTTCTTAGGTATGACATTGAGAATACAGGAGCCTTAGATAGTGCATGGTTCTTCATACAACTTGGATTAGATGGCAATGGTCGCTATAACCCACGAGCTAGAACAGCGCCTCCATCTAGACGGCAGAAGTACTCTCAGTTGCCTTCAACAGTGAGTTTTATTTGTAAAAATGCTTCCCAGCTTAATCCATACTGACAAAGTAAAGAACAATATACAGTCAAACCTGTCTATAGCGGCCGCCCAAGGAAAACACAAAAAGTGGTCTTTGTAGACAGGTTCCTTTAGTACATGTTACAATAAACCATTTCAAGGGAAACAAAAAATGTGGTCTTTGTAAGCAGGTGGTCACTAAAGCAGGTTTGACTGAATTTGATTGGATTACAAGTCATTTGATTGCATTTTGTCAGTAATCGCACCTCTGAATATCAAACTAGTCCACAATATGTGACAGTATGTGGTTTTAAGAAAAGCTATGTCCAGTTTGGGGATTGTGTTTGATCTAACTTTTTATATATAATGTCCCACATAATTTAAGTTTAAAATAGTTTCTTCAGTGTTCTGTCAATAATCTTAAAAGGAGATGGTCATCAGTTTCAATGTGCAATAGGTCATAATTTGCTGACACCAGACTTAGTGGATATACCATTAAAGACACTCAGTAGTTAGCTCTCCAATAAGAGGTGCTGTCAATCACCATAATTAGAACCTTACGTAACGTTGTTTTCCACCCATTCCCCCACATGGTAAAGTCATTATCTCACTTTTCCTTCACCCGGAGATCTCCGAGAGACGAGGGGGTATTTCTCGATTTGCCTACGGGTTGGCTGTGTGCAGACCTAATATCTGTACACACGTTAATGATTTTTATCCACCAAGTCTGGTGTCAGCGAATTATGGCCTTCTGCACATGGAAACTGATGAGTGACTCCCCTTCAATGGGTGTACAAGTCTCGCACACAGCAAACCATATGGGTCAATTGATGGAAATGCAGAGCATTGCATAAGGCCTGCTGGTCGTAAAACTGAAGGCTAATCCTGGTGATTGACAACACCTGTTATTGGATAAACACCCGAATGGTGTCAAATTTCCCATGCGAGCCCACTACTATGCGTCTTTAAACCTCATACTTACATCAACTTTTTGTTCTTTTTTTCCTTTGCAGCCAAGGATCCAAGAGGAAGAAGAGTTGGACTTTCCTGAATCTCCAAGGATCCCAACACCGCCCTCTAATGGCAGACAATCGAACAGTCGAATGGGTCCTGCAAGAGCACTGTCAGCTGATGTCGTCAGTTTCATCATAAGAAAAGTAGGTCTAATTTGTATTTTCGATTCCAGCAGTGATTTTGTCTTTGGTTTTTAAATGTCAGTAGTAACATATAGTAACATGGACCACTACATCAGGATTCTCCCTACTCTTATAGGAATTGCGAAGTGTGTTCTTATCGTGCAAAGGTAGTGATTCTCCCCTACACGAGGACTCCATTTAAAGTTTTGTCTAAGGAACTGAGTGTTTTCCACTGTAATGTACCCTGCATTTAGAAATGGAAGGGGCACGTTAGTCATTAGCAGACAATGCAGGCTTCAGTCATCTGCCTTGGTTTCAGACCCACCATCTTTGGTTCGACCAGCAGACACTTCACGGTGAGACAACTTGCCTTTTCGGACACGCTCTTTTATGAGCCGATCATACAGCACACCTGTCAATGTATTGTAGATTGAAGAAAAAAATCATCATATATGTATCTTCATTAAAGGGATCTGGTAACTTTGTCTCAGATTTTGAAACAAAATCCTGGATTTAGTTCTACTGCAATGATAATTGAAAACCTTTAGGTCAGTCAGGAACCCATGGCTTTCACAAGCCGATCGCCTGTCTGATTATCAAGATATTTATGATTGGAAATCGAAACCAAATTTTGCGTTTGCCAAACGGTTCTCATAACACTACACTCTATTGGGGAAAACGAGTATGGTAAAACCGGTCACTCAAAGATTTTTTACTTTTTTGAGGCACTTCTTGATCATTTTGAAGCGCAATTTTTTTAGGGCTTCAATATTACACCATATCACAGACACTGGTAGCACGTAGGGCCATGCATCTCAGATTTAACATTGTTAAACGATGCCTTTAATAAAATTCTTTCTTTTCTTTTTCTTTTTTTCAGCTGGAGCAACCTTTCAACAACTTAATGGCTTCATTCCAGATGGCAGATAACACAGGGAATGGTCTCCTTGGTATAGAACAGTTCAAGAAGGTTCTTTGTGACTATGGGATTAAGATGCAGTATGTGGATGCAGAGATGATGATGGAAAGGTACAATACATTCTAGATTTCATTGATGTATTTTAGTAGTGGTAGTAGTGGTGGTGGTGGTGGTGGTGGTGGTGGCGATGGTGGTGACGGTGGTGGTGGTGGTTGTGATGGTGGTGGTGGTGGTGGTGGTGGTGGTGGTGGTGGTGGTGGTGATAGTGATAGTGATAGTGATAGTAGTAGTAGTAGTAGTAGTAGTAGTAGTAGTAGTAGTAGTAGTAGTAGTAGTAGCAGTAGCAGTAGCAAGCACAGGTAGCAGTGGTAGCAGCAGCAGTAGTATCATCAGCAACAGAGATGGATGATAGATGTACGTGCAGCAGTAGTCATTTGTGAGAGCAGATTTATAGCATAAACTAAATAATGAAATGAAGATACTTCTATCAATTCCAAGCAGTCATGAAGTTACTAATTACTCAAACTTTTAACCTTTGAATGCGAGGTTCACTTTCAGGGGGTAGAAACAAATACAAAGTGCCTGAAATGAATTGTACAAGCATTGATGTAAAGCACGTGTTGACAAAAGAAATGCCTTATGCTTTAATCACTGTTTCAGTATATACCTGTTCAGGCTGTTTGCAATAAATACCCAATAAATATGTATTCGTGATGATTGCAATAATTTCTTATTTTATCTGTAGATGTGGATTGAGGAGAAAAGATGGTCGAGTGATGTACAGGGACTTTCTTCTGAAGTATATGATGAGATCAGCTAATGGTATTGCTCATAGGATTATCATGGACTCTAGTCACAAGTGAGTATACATTATTAAAAGAAGAACTTGAGATAGAAAACTTTCTCAGATCACGATGAGTAAAGAACAAGAGGCATTTGCAGAGTGAACCCCCTCTCAGCTATTGGTAATCACACAATGATGATGAATGCAAATCAAACAAGAATTTCATTTTCAGTCTCTTTATTTCTCCTTTGAAATCAGTAATTGTGTATCACTTTTTCAATCTAGATGCGTTGTTAGGTGGTTTAAAACTTGACTTGGGAACCCCAGTAATGCTTTTTGACAGCATCTGCCATTCTTTATCCATGTTTAGTACATTGTAAGTGGCTTCCTGGTAAGAATATTCCTTGAAATGCACTGTATAATTATTAATATTGTTGGTGTAATTTCGAAAGATTTTTAAAAAAGCGATCATAAAATGGATCTTTGGTAGTAATGTAATGTAACAGTCAAACCTGCTTTAGTGACCACCTGTATAGAAAGACCACCTGTCCACAAAGATCACATTTTTTGTTTTCATTGAATATGACTTCTTATTGAAACATGTACATGTACTTAAGGAACCTGTACATAAAGACCACCTGTCTATAAAGACCACTTTTCTTGTCTCCTTTGGGGAGTCTTTATAGACAGGTTCCGCTGTATATTAATTATACAAGACATACCTATTTAGTAAATGTTATTCTTGCCATTATTTAAATTCCAGGTTCAATACTCGACTGAACACCCCTCAGGGTTATCTGTGTGTGGATGAAGCAGAGGCCAAGCTGGTAGAACTCATCCATAAAGACTTCCTCAGTCTGCTAGGAATGTTCAAGTAAGTATCCGTCCCTCGGATAGGATGTTAAATGGAGGCCCCATGTAGTGGAGAGTCACCACCTTTGCACGTTAAGAACGCACTGCACTATTTGTATAGGGGGAAACCCTGGTGTATTGGTCCACCTGCACACCCCAGTATAGTACAACAATACTCTGTTAGATGGAAGAAAAAGTACTTATCAATCGTTCTTTCATTCCTTATTCAGCTGATCGAATCTCATTGAATGTTTAACCCTTCCTGTGGATTTTGCTCCAGATTCAATTCTACTTTTATTGTTCACTTTAATTTTGGGCCTGATTATTTTGCCCAAATCTGAAACAGGCACTTAAATTTAAATTATTATTATTGAGAATATAGAGCACTATTTCCATGAATGATATGATATGTAAACTTAGGGAATCAAGGGATGTTATATCAGTGGCATATCAGGGACGTAATAATAATAATAGTACTACTCAGTTCTTTTATTAGAAAATCCACTTAGAAGTACGTCTTTATGCCTTTGCTATGATAATGGTAAAGATGTTATTATTTTATGTGACTGCAAATAAAGAAAGTACAAGCTATCATTTGACTTAAGACTAATGTCAATTTTTGAGGGACTTCATAGTTTAAGAAGATTTTTTTATCAATGGGCAATAGCCCATCAACTTAGATTTACTTATTTTTTACCTCGGACCTCTCCATTATGTTTACAACTGACGCATCACATCACACATTTTGTTCTTGCTTTTTTAGATCCCTTGATGTTTACAATCTAGGACTTCTCACCCAGCGAGATTTCAAAGACACCGTAGAGAAGGTGTTCAACATTCGCATGAGCAAAGACCAGTTCAATGAGATCCTCTATGAGTACGGCCAGGAAGACGGACTGGTTCAGTACTCACAATTCCTGACTGTCTTCAACAGGAGGAGGTATGTAAAAAAAATCGTCACCATGCAGGGCCCTGTTTCATAAAACTTGATATCAATAACAAGTTACAAGCTACTGTTAAAAGCTACTGAAATCAAGGCATCTGATTGGAGCAAATTTGTCATAGAAATTTAGCATTTGTTATAGATAACAAGTTTTATGAAACAGGCCTCGATCAGATACTAAATCACTTGTTCACACAACTCAAATTTCTTTTGAAAAAGGAATTATCAACTTCAGTGTGCGGGTAAGCCTGAATCCGATGACCGGGGTAATAATATATCTGTAAAGCGCTTAGGCACATCGTTGGATCGGTTTATTGAGCGCTATATAAAAAAACAGATTATTATTATTATTATTAATAAGCCATTCAGGGCATGAACAGATAATGTTGATTTGTGAAGAATTATTTTGAAATCCACCAATACAGATCCCAGCCTATTAGTGGATACATGTTCATGAAAGTTATGTAATATTTAGTTAAATATGCACAAACAGTACATTCATTGGTATACAGGGGGAAATTGTCGGTTCAGAGCCAGAAGTGCATTACCCCTGTATCAAAGGATACAAGTTCATGCCCTACTGGCTCCAAACAGACAAAACATTCTTTACAAGAGGGGTAACAAAGCCATTTGTGGAGCATAAATCAATGCACTTCAGGAGTATTATCATGGACAGAGAGGAATATATTTGTGTTCAAATTATCAGGGGATATTTAGGGGTGATTGTGTAATTCTGTATAATGCTATGAATTGTTGTTATAGAGCCAGAAGGCTCATAAAATTGTATGCAGAGTTTACACCCTTCTGGATCCAAAGAGACAATGCATGTACGTAAGAGCATGCTTATCTCTAGCGATGCACAATGAAAAGGTCGCACAATGAAAGACCATCAAGTCTGATTTTTTTTTTTTTTTTTTTTGTTGTATTTTTGTCACTTGATGTATGTATTCCATTTTATTTTATAATGTACATTATTCTGTGTTTGCATATTTTTTTAATGAAATGTGGAAGTTATAAATTAAATTAAATTAAACACATATTGGTGGCAGCAGTGGGATGTGAACCCATGATAAAAATGAGTGATCTATTGTTACTTAAAGCTTATCTGTACTAGTTTATAGGAGGGATGAGACCACACAGCGTGGTCACTGACAGGTGGCTATCTCATCAACTCAGCTCTCAATTAACATAAGAAAAAGAGGATCATGGGGGACCAATGGTCACCGATTAGGCATTGTTTTCTATATAGAGGGAGCGTGTAGCTACAAGTAGGACAGTGTGGCTTTAAATGTTTCCTTTATTCTTTCCCAGGTTTATACCATTTCAAACCCAGCCCAAAGTCCAGAACAATCAGCACGAGACCAGTCCACCCGACATCTATAGGGTCCAGGAATCACCCGATGGAGAGGACCAGGAGGACGAGATGGGGGCGTGGCTTGCTCAATCAGCAGCCAATCAGGAGGAAGCTATGGAGACATCCAGGCCTGTGATTGGTGGAGGGAAAACTAAGAAAATGGAGGGCAGATATAAACCTGTGTCTGAGGTAAATATCAGTTTTAAATACACCATTAAATTGTATTACTCCTATTGATATTTTTTAGCCTTAGCCTTATTCATAGTTTGACACTTAGTAATTGCACAACTTCAAAGTCAGCTGATAAATGAGATCCCATCACATGTCTTGTAAGCATTGCAAAATTATCGCAGATGAATATCATCACAATCAATTAGCATTTCATTTGAATACCATTTGAGTTTGTAATATGAATCTTCATGTTTGAAGAGGGATATTCCCCTCACAACCTGTAAGCTTGCCAATCTGAAAAATTCTTTTTCTCTGTTACATTCCTGGGCATTTTGTACATTTGAGTTTTATTTTAGATATTATTGAAATGTTTGTTTATGACAATGCTACCCATTACAAGATGTAAAATAAAAAAGGAACTGTAATTTATTATGTAATGTGAAAAGCCATGCCATTAAATTTTTACGATATCCTTCAGTATTTGTTTTTTTGTTGCAAGATGAAGAATAAAATATATTTGTAATCAATTGTGCTACAGATAGCAGCAGAGGTGGAGATCCAGCTGAAGAAGAAAGGGTACACGGTTCAAGACTCTTACAACAGACTTGATCCCAAGTACACCGGTCGACTGTCAAAGACACAATTTTATAAATGGCTTTCAGAGTAAGTCAAGAATGTACCGCAACTAGGCCTTTATAAAATGATGTTGTATTGCCCTTTGAGACCGACCCCCAAATCTTGTAAATCTACGGTCTGCTTTTCAAAAAAGTTTTTATTTTTTTACCGATTTTTAGTGAAAAAAATATGAAAGCATTTCAAAACTGAGAAATATCAGCCCAAAGAGGGAGAAAGAAAAGTTAAGAAAAAATGTTTTGGCACCTTAAGGGCAATACAACGTCTTTTTTTTAGGCCTTATAGATCAATCATATTTTATCATCATGGCCACTGCTAAAACTGCTAAAACTAGTTTCTAAAACAAACTTCACAGACTTGTAGGATGATTTTCACATTGAACTTTTGTTTCTGAGTAATGACGTAGTAGTAATAATGTATAATTTGTGGAGGTGCTCTGGTCTAATGGATACAACACCGCACTGTGGATCACATGGTTAGTGGTTCGAGTCTCCCCTCAGCACTAATGTCCTTTGGCAAGACATTAATCCGTTTGCCACACTCCACCCAAGTTAGGTCAATGGGTACCTGGCAGGAAGAAATTTCTTCACATACTTGAGCGCCACAATGGCAGCAATGCTAAAGCCAGGGTACTAATTGTGGAGCGCTAAGAGTGCCAAGTCAGACAGAAATGAGCATTATACAAGAACGCACTATTATCATTTATTATCATTATTACTACACATATAAACTAATGAGTAATAATGTATTTGTTTCTGTAAATATTACAAACATCAATACATTCAGATCATATTAGGCCTACACAGTAAAATATCATAAAATTGTTTTTCATCACGCTAGTGGAAAATAGACAATCAAAGTAAAAATTTGTATAACAGGTATGGCTCAGGATGTCTCATGCAAGACCTAACAGATAAACATACGCTTATACCGATATCATACATACGGTAAAAACAGAGAGATAGTTTTGAGTAGCTCATCAATGTTCTCCCAATAACACGATCCATTTGATTTTGTTCTCTATACAGTATGGGAATAGCTCTTCACCCTTCTGAGCTCCAGGAGCTATGGAAAGCCATGGATATCGCTCGGGATGGACTCGTCCATTATGCTGAGCTGTTTGATTTCTTCCTGCATAGAACAAAGAGACAACCAATTGCAGGTAACTTTTTTATCTTCTATATTTACACCCCAAAAATGCAGTATGTGGTGGTATTTCATAGTGCTATTTTTGAGAGATTTGATGACATGTATTTGTGCATTCACAAAGTGAGGCTTTCGGTCACATTACAACTGTTATAATCTTCTGACTATGAGTATTGCCTATATCAGAAGATCGATTTGTTGAATATGTGCTTACTTTAACAAATTAACTGCCATGGGGTGAAATATAATATATGATAATTTAATAACGTTGACTTACATGTACCAATATGGGTTATCTTCCTCTCTTTACTATAGTTTCCTTCAATAATATAATAAAAAGTATTGTCAAGATACAATTGTAACCATCCCACTGATTACCAGTTCTTAGCTATGCATATCCACTGTATTAACTGTGAGTCTTGGTGCTGTCTGCATCATAGAGACCATGCAATATTCTTTATTATAAATTTTTGATTAATGAAGTGATTGGTCAACATAGCATCATGTGACCAAACATAAAATTGCTATGATGTTTCCAATAAGAAAGATGTGCTACACTGTGACGCCATCCATGATACAGTGCACTATACCACTATACCCCTTGGCGCTCCGCCTGCCCTGGCGCGCCTTGGGGTAATATCAGGATGTAACGTCCCCGAGAGCCGGTAGAGAAACAGCGATGCCTCTCATAGCAGTCAATATCTCTTCACTATCTCCCTCAGATAAGGAAGCATCTCTAAGAAGAGCTAAGGCCGGTAACCAACCTCCTCCAGTCAGGAATAGCTCTGAGATGAAGGAGATGATGGAACTCTACAAGATACCGGTCTCAACAGTGGTAGAGAAAATCAGACCAGATGTAAGTGGAAATTTAAAAAAAATTAATTAAAAAAAATAATTAATTAAAAAAGAAAAAGTATTTATTGAAACAACTCTCATACATAATAATAATAATAATAATACAAAATAATAATAATAACATTTTGGTATAGACATAGAATATAAAATAAGATATAGTTTAATATAGTTAATAGTAATAAATTATTGCTAAATTCTATAAGTATTGCATCATATGAAAGGATGTATGGATGATGTAGAAGTGTTGTGGTCGAGTGGATACGTCACTGTACTGGGTATCACAAGGTCTGCGGTTCAAGTCCATTTATTTTTTATGTACCGAAAATTTTCAAAGAATTCTTGCCTTATCCTTTTCCAACTGCGGCACTAATGTCCTTTGGCAAGACATTAGTCTACATTTGCCACTCTCAACCCAGGTGATTCAAAAGGGTACCTGGCAGGAATTTATTCAGTGAAATGCTAGGACGAAATGACGGCAGCCATGCTAAAGCTGTGGTGATAATTGTTGAGCGCCGGGATTTGTCAAGTCAGACAGACATGAGCGCTATACAAGAACCCACTATTATTATTATTAATAATGTTTGTATTATAGGCTTTACATACTGCTAACATGGTCTTATGAAACAATTCGGCCCTACCACGATTGGGATTATATTCCTGTAGTAGCAAGAAGAAGAGGATTAAATAAATGGAAAAGACATTGATGGGTGGGGGAGGGAAGAGAATTCAAATAACACTATTAGGAAAAGAAGAATTGACCATACTTTGTCATGAAAGAGCGTGAATTGATGGTTGAGCTTTTTCTATGAATTTTTTTTAACCAGGTTGTCAGTAACTGGAATGGTCTAAAGGAAAGACTGAAATCACTGGATCCACAGGGCTATGCCACAATCTCCACTCCAGATTTTCAGGTAACAGAGAAATGTTCATCTACATGTATCACATGGAGATGATAAAGGCATTAGTTATTGAATAGCTGAATTCTATAATGTTTTGACAAATAAAAACAAATTGCATATGAAGCACAGACAAAAGGGGTTAGTTGCCTGAGGGGGGGGGGGGTAATGGAGGGATGCCTATAGTTTTGCAGGGATACCACTGTATCATTATTAGTATTACCATCACAATAGGGATGAATGGATGAGAAAGGAAAAGAAAGAAAGAGGAAGGAAAAGAAGAGGAAATAAATAGTAGTAACAGTTGATACCTTTAAATTTCTGTCAGTACTTTTACCATTATTTCCTGCACTCATTTTCTAATGTTTAATCAGAAAAACTATTGAACACTGTTTTTTTTCTTTTCAAATTTGATTTGCAGAGACTGGCACAAAGGTTTCAGTTCCGGTTAACACCCAGAGAGCTTGAGAGATTAACTATGAGTTTTGATCATCACCAAACTGGAAAGTAAGCATTCATTATGAGATATGACAGTCCTTTCCTCTGGTTACATTTAGTTGAATTATTAATTCATGTTGATCTAAACATTTCTGAAGCATTAAATTTGAGATTTGCCAAATTTCAGCATCGTGAATCGAGATTCATTAATTTTACAGTTTGAAACTTTCATGTTTGCATGTGTTGCCATGTTTTTGTGGTTTTATAGTAAACTATGTTAATATATCAGAAAAGCATATTATGAAGTTCTAAGTTGAATAACTTAAAAGAGCAGCATGTCTTTCTTGCTGTTTATGTCCTATCTGCATGCAAAAATAACGAACATGTCAGTTTTAGACACTTTCCTTAATTGTTTTTAACTTGACTACAGTAATATATTTGTATTATTTATTGTTTTCTTGGTTATTTCCTATTTGTAAACATACATTCTGAAAGTTTTCATGAATTTATTATTTATCTTTCATTTCAGCTTCAATTACATAGACTTTTTGAGTCTTTTTACTATTTTCTTGGTTATTTCCTATTCGTAAACATACATTTTCTGGATGTTTTCATGAATTTCTTTATCTTTCCATTTCAGTTTCCATTACATAGACTTTCTGCGTCTGTTTTCTGAGAGCAAGAAGCCAGCACAGCATGGGGGACAGGCATACCATAGAAACTTCCATAAGATAACAGTAAGTTCATCTAGTTGTGTATTTGGTTCTAGGACACCTACCCCTTGGACATCCACCCTCCGGATAACCACCCCCAGTCAACTAACCCCTAGGACAACTACCCCGGGACAACTACCCCCTAGGACGACTACCCCCTACGACAACTACCATCCGGACAACTATCATCCGGACAACTACCCCCGGACGACTACCCCCTAGGACGACTACCCCCTACGACAACTACCCCCAGACAACTAACCCCTACGACAACCATCCTCTAGGATACCTGGGCAAAGGCATGGGGAAATCAAGTTTTGGGGGATAAAAAGGGAAATTAATGGGATTAAACTATGTAAAGCAATTGATAAATAGTGAGGACATGACGCGACATAGTGATAACCAAATTGGCAATTTGTGTAGTGATTTCTATTGGTTCATAGTTTTACATACTTTTTCAAAAATTCCTAACTTTTGTATTAGTTATCTGATTTTGCTCAAATTTTGTTTGATTGGTTTGTCTGATTTTTCTGCTTCTATTGAAAGTAAGTTATTTTTGGAGTGGACTTGTACTTAAACATAATGAGTACAATCATATGTCACTGAAAACATTCTGACAGGTCTGTAAAAGAGAATATGTTATCTGTGGAATTCCTTCTTCATAAATGAAATAAAACATTTATTTGAATTTGCTCAGAAAGGTTTCTTTCCAGTATCTCTTTAAATCACGTTTCCTAATAATTAATCTCCTCTGTCCCACCTCTTTTTCAGCACCAGACATCGAAGGGTCCAGAAGAAGTGACAGTGACAGAGACATTTGATAAGATTGGCAGAAAGGTAATAGAAATAATCAATAATTTTGTTTAATTGTGCAGTAACCTTGAAAGATTGATGACAATAATTATGGCTTTCAAATGTTCTTATTCTCCTCTTGTAAGTATAAAAAGGTAAATTTGAAAGTGAGAAAATACCCTTACAATTTTTTAATAATAATAATAATAATAATAGCTCGTTCTTATATAGTGCTTTTCAGGATAGTCCTCATTGTTCTTGTACTTTCATTAAAGTCGCATTTTGAGAGAGCAAATGCGACTGTACATAATTTGTTTTTTAAATGTTAAGCGTAATGGAAATGGGATTCTGCATGCATTGTAGTTTATTTGGTAAAGTAATATATTAACTTTGAAATGTCGCAACGCATATGTTGTTCCATTAGTCAATAGAGACAGGCATGTACAAACTTTAATGATATTGAACAAATATATAAAGCATTGGTCTACGTGACTACTTCATAAAAATTAACGTACAAGTTGCTAAAGTTAATGATATTTATTTAATAGGAGAGTTTTGAGAGCCTCTTAAAAATATTATCTAATTAACGAGACATTGTAAGTTTGTAAATTCATCCCGTATAAAAGCATGATTACACAAAATACTTATGTAGCATACATGACTAAATTGTCTGTCTTGTCTTCTTAAATGCTTCTAGATCCTTGGTGATTGGCGTAGCATACGACGTGCTTTCAAGAAAGCCGACCTCAACGGGGACGGTCACCTGAGCATACCGGAGTTCAGACGTATCCTTGCCAACATGAAGGTCAACATCGCAGAGGAAGACTTCTACCACATCGTCAGTGAGGTGGATGAAAACATGGATGGGAATATATCGTACGAAGAGTTTCTTGCGCAGCTTATGCCGAGATGAAACTGCCTTTATATAATGTAGGAACTGATCAAAGAGTGAGAGGTAACAGTGCTTCCTTGTTTAAAGCATGTCTGCACTAGTTTGACCAGGAGGGATACGTCCCTGCGTGGTCACTGACAGGTGGTTATCTCATCAAATCAGCTCTCAATTAACATAAGAAAAAGGGATTATGGGGGACCAACAGGTACCTCTTAGGCGTTGTGTGCCTATATAGAGGGCGCAAGTAGTGCAGACAGGCTTTAAAGCAGAATGCCTGATTTTGAGGAATATCCCGAGGTTAGCGCATATAAAATAAATTTGTTTAAATACATGTTTTTGTAAGACAGTACGGTAATTGGTCATGAATGAGTAAGATTTTAAGAATATCTGTAATCAATTTCATAAATTGCTACCTTTCATTTTTAGCGAGAGATATCTTGAGTGTCATAACAAACCTACATTATGAGGGTTTATTGTTGATTATGTCGGAGGAAGGTAATCCTGGTAGCTGTCAGAATCATGTGTAAAAATCAGAAGATACTGAGTGACAATCAAATAGCTTCATTTTCATCATGAGTATATTTTCTTTGAAAGAGAGAGAGTTTGGGCTTTGTTTTGGTGAATGGATATACCCAATGTTGATGTATTTATTTGTATGGGATTTGTGAACTTAATATAGTAAGCCAATTTCATGTAAATTCAAAAGCAGCTTATTTTTATACTACAGATTTTTTATTCTTGTGAGGCGATGTTTTTTTTTAGTATGGTAAAGTATTTTAGTCGTCTTAGCCTAAATCTGTCACATGTAATATGCTGGGTTTTTTTCTTCAAAGGAACACCTCTTGGTAATCAGTAAGTGTCCATTTGCTATCAGGGTTTTAGCAAGCCTGATTAAGGTATACACCAGAAATAGGCTACCAGTAGCTATCTACTGAATTAGGACAAGACCAGTTTCGATTGGGCAGATGTGTTCCTATGTAAACAAGATTGTTAAAATATGCACCATATGTTTTCAAGGCCAAAAATTGTAAGGAAGAAATGAAAGCTTTACGAAATGAGAATCATGCATGCTGCAAATTCATTCTTTTTAAATTTTTATATGATAAATACAGATTTTTGTTATTAATTGTTGTTATAGATATATATTAATGACTGGCAAAGTGGTTAATGTCACAATGAGAAAGAGAGAGAAAGAGAACTGGAATATAATATTTATAAATCGAAAGAGAAATAGTGGGACTTTAAATCGTATATTAAAAGATAAGAATGGGTTAGGAGGAATGATTTACACTACGTTCAAGTGTCTCACTTTGTTACAGATAGTATGATCAAACAACTATGTATTTTTACTTCGAGATCAGTCTCATCAAATATCATAATATTATATAATTATTTATTGTACAGTTGTATATTAAATATAATGAATTGATCGTCCATTCTTATGAATTTCATACAGTTATTTAATTAAATTTTTAATTTTATTTGTACAAAATTAACAAATAATGGTAGGGAGTCCTTTCTATTCAAGATAATTCACATCTTTATAAAAGAATACATGTGTATATTCCATGATATATCTGATAATTGACTATTCTGAAATAGCCTGGCTGAAGAACAAATTGTGATCAAAAAATTATAATTTATCATAATTTATGTAATTGTCAAGAGCATGAGAGAGAGAGCAACATAGTTTCACCATTTCGTGGGGAAATACTATCATTGGAATATATTCCTTCAGTAATATATTTAATGTATATTACTGCAAAGTGATGTAAATGAAAAACTTCACCAAAAATTGTATTGTTTTTGTAGGATATTTTTTTAGCCTTTGTACACAGAGAATTGTATTTGTATATATGTTGCCGTTTTGTGGTGAGGTCTTAGATTATACTGATTTCATTTTTGTCCATGAAACTATATATATATATATAAAAGTACTTATCATCTCATTTGTATATATTTCATATGGTAAGTAAATATTAAAAGTCCATATTTCCATGAATCACTATACAGTTTGTTTCAAATTATTTGCTTTTTGTAGAAATGTGTCCTCAATGTAGTTAACCCTAAAAGTAAATTAAGTTATAATAATAATAATACTCCGTTTTTATGTAACACTAATTACAATCACTAAGCGCTTTCAAACTTGGAGATTATTACCCCGGCTTTAGCTGTGCTGCCATTGCGGCGCTCTAGCATTTCAAAGAATTAATTCCTACCAGGTACCCGTTTACATCACCTGGGTTGGGTGTGGCAAATGTAGATCAATGTCTTGCCAAAGGACATAAGTGCCGCAGTGGGTCTTGAACCGCGGACCTTATGATCGACAGTCTGATGATTTAACCACTTGACCATGGCATGATTTCTCCATAGTATTTTTCCACATGTATCATGTAAATACACTTTCCAGTAACAAATGTATAATTTGGTCAATATTTAACAATCGGTGGATATATAATGATCTTCATCACAATTAATATTTGAAATAGATCGAAGGAGGCTGGCATTAAACTCTCAGTGGGTATTACCATGAAGAAGAAAAAACAAAAACTTTTCTGGGTTTTACATACTCCATATTTCTTTGGGGTATGGGGTGAGAAGTTTGGGGAAGTAGAAAGAGAAATTGTAAGAATGGAAGTGGTGACGATGTGTGCAAGCCTGGGGTGTGTGATGGGTGAAAGAAAGGTGGATGGAAGATGATTGATGGACACTGCGCTAAAACGTGCTAAAAATTTACAAAAGAGGACCAGCCTCGAGTCTCTAAAACTATTTTTAAGGCCGATACTGTTTGTGTTGCTCTGAGGAAGAAGGAGGAGAAAGAGGAGAAAGTTTAGGAGAAGAAGAAGGAGATGAAGACAAAGGAGAAGTAGGAGGTGAAGGAGAAAAAGAAAGAAGTAGGAGAAGAAGAAGAGTAAGAAGGAGGACACCTTCGCTCCTCGTCCTGGTGCTCAACGTGTGCAAAAAAGTAACTTTTTCAAATCAGATCTTCTTTGCTCTCATTCCATTTTTTCTGACCTGTCCTCTGCTTTAGAATTTCTCTTCATCACCCCCCCCCCCCCTCTATTTTTCTCCTTACTTTTTGTTACACTTTTCGGCTGTATACACATTCCCCTCATGAATGTTATCTCTGATTATTGGATAGATTATCCTTTCTTTTTGCTCCTTCAGTTTCATTAAATTCCATATCTGTACTACTTCCGTCCAAAGCTTCAACATTCTTTTCACCACTCGTGATATTCATCTCCCTGTCAGTAAATTCAATTGATCCTTGTTTCTCTCAAGATCTACTCTCAATCCACATCTCCAATACAACTTTCTCAAAAAAAAACATTAACATAAAAATTGTGTATAATCAGCAAAGCCTCAACATTAATGCTGTTCTTCCCAGGGCCCAACAATTGCTACTACCCCAGCATTTACCAGGAACCCATTTACACCTGGATTGAGAGAGGCAAGTCTTTATTAATGTCTTGCCAAAGGATGTTAGCGTAGGCTGGGATTCGAACATTACACTTGGATCGCGAGTCAAGGGAATAATGTACTATACACCATAACACATCCTATTAAAATAATTTAAGCATAGATAAACCTAATACTGAATATCTCCCATTAATTAAAGTTGCATTAATTAAGAATGTCTTTTACTGAACACAAAAGGATACATCTTTCTTTGTGTACAAAATTCAAAAAATTGTTTTATTGTGTACAACAGAAAATTGTCATAAATTTTCACACTGAATAAGATGGCGTCATGTCAAGTGTACAGCGTTCAATTGGGAAATGAAATGTTTCAAAAGAATATTACTCAATATATCTTTCATACCTTGTTTTTGTATCAGAGGGATAAAAACAAACAATGGGTAAATAGAATTTTTTTTCACTCTCATTTTCAGAAAAATTGATTTGATAATGATTGAGCTTTACCACAACATACTCCTACAAAGTCTATAAACCTATCCAAATAATGGTTCAGGCCGTACAGAATACAAATATTAACTAACATCTGAGAAATGTTATAGTAGTTATCTGCTTACATGTACGTGTGATAATCATAAGGAATGCTTACAACAAAGAAAATGCTAAAAATAAACCAATTAAAAAGAAAACAAGATCAACGTTTACACCAACATTAAATATTTACAGAATACAAACATGATCTTTCAATTTTAACATGATGAGTGACTTATCTTTGTTGTGTTGTAGGAAAGCTGTATAATATTGAAAAGTTGATTACTTTTTAATATTGAAAATACATATTGGGACATGTTTTGTACTACAAAACACCCCCTCGCTTTGATATGAAATAGATGTACAAATTAAAGACGAAACGCTGTTTGGTCTACACCCAGCCCATCCTATCCACATGGTCTAATAATCACTTGGTCTACTTGTTATTTGGTCTAATGACCAGTTAGGCTAATAGTCATTTAGTCTATTCCCCAATGAGTCTACAACCCATTTGGTCTATTGTTCATTTAGTCCCAGATTGTCTAATGCCCATTTCATCTACCATCCATAAGGTCTAATAATCATTTGATGAAGATTGTCATTATTTATGATTAAATGGTTATTAGATGTGCATAAGTATACTGGATGGGTGTAGACCATATGGGAATAGACCAATTAGGTAGTAGACGACCTGGTTGTAGACCAAACGGCAATATACCAAAATGATTATTAAACCATGTGGATAGTAGACATGCAGGGTGAAGACCATATGGGAATAGACCAATTGGGTAGTAGACGACCTGGTTGTAGACCAAACGGCAATATACCAAAATGATTATTAAACCATGTGGATAGTAGACATGCAGGGTGAAGACCATATGGGAATAGACCAATTGGGTAGTAGACGAACTGGTTGTAGACCAAACGGCAATATACCAAAATGATTATTAAACCATGTGGATAGTAGACATGCAGGGTGAAGACCATATGGGAATAGACCAATTGGGTAGTAGACGAACTGGTTGTAGACCAAACGGCAATAAACCCACATTACAAGGTAAATTCTGAACCAAAAAGGGCTGTTGCATCAGGTCTAGCTCTTTCCAGTTGAAGCATCAAGTGAATAAAAAGACTGTACAGTACATATTAAATGAAACAGGTAGGTGCCGTCTATGTTGACAATTTTAATTTGAATACCCTGAGCAGCAGGAAAATATCTGGCTCCTCCAAAAAGGAAGGATTCCTGATTAACTACCTCTTCTAAAAGATTATTTGCGGTTCGCGGAAAAGGAAATATCGAGTCATACGATTCTCTGGGGAAAAGAAAATTCAAGCGTCAATATTTCTACCAGTTTCACGATTACGTGCACATTAGCTGACAATTTGAACCTGATGCACATGTAAATACAATTTGCTATTGTTTTGTCATTTTATAGAATGAATCTAAGGACTCTTCCCATTATTTGTGATAACAAGAGATTGATAATCTCAAGCTCGAAATCGAGTTAATCTCTAAATGAATGATTCCCCCTCCCCAAAAAAGATTCATGATTACAATAAAACATTACCAGTAAAAGGAATCTGACTTATCACTTCAAGCTCATAAAAACAAGCAAACAATATGACAGACGAGGAAACAAAACAGATGCAATGTTATCCTACGATGTATGATGTACAGGTATTATATACAAGGTGAAACGATACAAAGCCGAGCCCGAGGACAGTGCTAATGAGCCGGCTCTGCGGCCCCCGCGGCTTCTTGGACGTTCTGAATCAGTGTTATGTTATCTCCTTTCAGCAATATCCGTCCTGCAAGAAGAAAAAAAAAATGGGGGATTATTTAAAGCCCATCTGTACAAGTTTAGCCAGGGGAGGATTAGACCTCCCTGCAATGTCACTGACAGGTGGTTATCTCATCAAATCATCTCTCAATTAACATAAGAAAAAGAGGATCATGGGGGACCGACAGGCACTGATTAGGCATTGTTTGCTTTATAGAGGGCGCAAGTAGCTATAAGTAGTGCAGTGGGGCTTTAAAACGCCATTACACCATAAAGAACAATTGAAACTTAAACAAATCCATTCATTTCATCACAAGGTGTGTTGACCATTACAAGTAATCTTGCATACACTGTAGCAACTGAAATCTGCTTGATGCCCTACAATTAATATACTGTAGGGCTCCACACCAACAATTTTTTGTTTTGTTTTTTGTTTTGTTTGGGGGGGTCCAGACTTAAAGGGCACCTGTTGGTGTTGAGCTCTGCTTACCGGTACGTACTTGTACATGTACCTTCAAGACTTAGACCGACTACAGGGCAAGCAAAAATTTACATTGACCTGATGGCCAAATATCTGTTGGTTTTTAGAGTTGGTTTGGCAGTGTGACTGAGGGGTCATTCCATATCAAATCACCCGAAAAATCTGAAAATCTTAACCCGACCATTTTTGATTTTGATGAAACTTAGTATACTTGTTGAGTGTGATCTCACAGCACCAAATCCAAAATTTTAGGTCAATCGGGTGAGGGGTTTGGGAGATACGGCCCACCAAATTTTGAGATTTTTTCAAAAATGGGGGTGGCGGGCCTACCTTTGAACCCTTGTATCTCGGGACCTAATGGGTCAATCTTCACAAAATTTGTATTGTTTTAAAGGGTATTCAATAAGGATTCCAAATCTGCCGCCATTTTGAAGATTCGTACATGTTGGGGTACTTTGACCTCTTGACCTCAGATTTGACCTTGAAATTGACCTTGTGGATCACGTAACTTTGACAACATTTTTCATGAAATGTAATCTCTGACATGTTCACTAAAACATATTAAAGTTTCAGAGATATAATATTTTTTGTTTTGGAGTAATAAGGATTGAAAGTATCCATGCTCACAGATATTCACAATAAACCCTATTGTATACTGTATACAATACATGCAATATGCACAGTACAACATACATCTTCCACATGTTTTTTTGTTTTAGTCACATCCATCCTAAATGTCAGCAGTACTTGAATAGAAATAAAATGACAAGTTCATATAGGCCTAAAGGGTTAACAGGATGTATGGCTTTAGACCTCTGAGTCGGTTCTAGGATAATTACCCCCTGGAAAATTCACCCCCGGAAAACTACCCTCTAAGGACAATTACCCCAGAGGTCAATTACCCCCCCCCCCCCTATTCGTTAAAGTGGAAGTCCAATCTGATAATAAGGTGGTTTTAATCAAAGCAGATTTATTTTTTGGGGTATATTATTCTTGAGGGGTAATTTTCCCGGGGGGGGGGGGGGGGGGGGTAATTGTCCTAGGGGAAATTGTCCGGGTGTTGATTGTCCTCGGGGGGGGGGGGGGGGGGGGGGACAGATTGTCCTAGGAGGTAATTTTCTGGGGGGTAATAATCCTCTGGATGTGATAGTCCTTGGGGGGTAATTGTCCTCAGGGGGGGGGGGGGGATTTCCTGAGGGTTAATTTTCCAGGGGGGTAATTATCCTAGAACCGACTCAGAGGCCTAAAGCCATACATCCTGTTAACCCTTTAGGCCTATATGAACTTGTCATTTATTTCTATTCAAGTACTACTGACATTTAGGATGGATATGCCTAAAACAAAAAAGCATGTAGAAGATGTATGTTGTACTGTGCATATTGCATGTATTGTATACATTATAATAGGGTTTATTGTGAATATCTGTGAGCATGAATACTTTCAATCCTTATTGCTCCTAAACAAAAAATATTATATCTCTGAAACTTTTACATGTTTTAGTGAACATGTCAGAGATTACATTTCATGAAAAATGTTGTCAAAGTTACGTGATCCACAAGGTCAATTTCAAGGTCAAATCTGAGGTCAAGAGGTCAAAGTACCCCAACATGTACGAATCTTCAAAATGGCGGCAGAATTGGAATCCTTATTGAATACCCTTTCCAACAATACAAATTTTGTGAAGATTGACCCATTAGGTCCCGAGATACACGGGTTCAAAGGTAGGCCCGCCACCCCCATTTTTGAAAAAATCTCAAAATTTGGTGGGCCATATCTCCCAAACCCCTCACCCGATTGACCTAAAATTTTGGATTTGGTGCTGTGAGATCACACTCAACAAGTATACTAAGTTTCATCAAAATCAAAAATGGTCGGGTTAAAACCATTGGGTGATTTGACATGGAATGACCCTGAGGTATCATTCAACACAAAAAGTACATTCAAATGCCAAAATATGGAGCCAAGTTGCATGCATGGTTCTGGGATTTATGCATACGTACATCATTGACTGTTGCATATTTTTGCAGTGCGATTTTCTATGATTTCATCCAGTGAAAAGGGATAGTGGTTAATGCACAATTTCCCCCAAACATACAGTTTTGTAGTATTCAAATTGCAGCACATTTGTGAAAGACTTCACAAAATTCACAAATTATGAAAGTAGTAAGAGACAACAGGCAGTGTACTTGCGATTTCCAATGACATGTACATTGTAGCTCAAAGATATTACAGGTATGAATTTATAAAATAATATTAATTTTCAAAATACAAACAATTCATGGAATAGCTTTACAGCCAATCAAAATTACTCTGAGATATCAGATATAAATCGATCAAACCTCCGGAACTGGTCAAATATAAGCAATAAAAGACATTTTCTATTATCCAAAAAATTCCTTTTTTTAGTATTTTTGAGAGAACCACAAACAAAAACCACATTAAGATGTAGACTCACCTAATGGTTTTCTCGTCTTATTTTTCTTGTGGTACTCCTCAGCATCATCTAGTACTACATTCATGTACTCGTCAAATCCCTAAGGGAAAAAAAGATTCAGAATAAGAATAGCTCAGTCACATTTATAATGCGCCTAATACTTTGTTTCTAGGCGCAATACATATTATTACCCGTCATCGGATTCAGGCTCACCAGCACACAATGTATGCACATTCTCCACTCCCTGGGGAGCATTCTGGCCATTCGCCATTTTACAAGGGCCACTTGCTCATCCAACCACATTAACTTTCGCATCCTATTGGGTACCCTTCAGGGGTGATAGTGAGCACTACAAAAAAAATAGATTTTTTTTCTTCCCCTCGACAACGCCCCCCTTGAGTAAAAAAAAAAAGGTCATTGTGCATGAAATATTTGTAAATTTCAGGAGTGGTTCAGATTTACAAAAGTTTTATGCTAAAAAATAATCACACCTGTCTCTGTTGTCAAAGAATTTTGTCAACATTTTTGGCAGCCAATCTTGGACAGTCTCCCATTACAGAGGCGGTTCACACCGGCAGAGATAGCGCGCGCTAGTGTGGGAGGTACAACGTCGTTTTGGTCCACTCAACAGCGAGCCACAGCGAGCCAAAACGGCGTGCCACTGGAGCACCTCTTGGGGGTGGTCCACGAGAGAGAGCACGGTCCAGCGCGCGCTAGAAAAAAGGGGGTGCTACGATAGACCGCGCTATCTCATTGCGGTGTGAACAGCCTCTAGGATACCACATTTCTTGGGTTTGCATTTGAGACAAGGGGATTAAAAATCACAATTGTCACAACACTTTTGTGATTCATGCAAAGATTCTTGAGGTGTAAAAATGGCTGTCCTTAAAGATTTGCAAAAGTTTCTGGAGAACAGAGATTACTTGGCCATTCAAGAACCCTAAAATGCAAATTTATGCAATGCATTATCTTGGAAATATGCATGTATTTCCAATGGATCATTAACCCTTTTTTTGAATCCTCCATCTTCTTTTTCTTTTCCTTCAGGCTTCAACTACTCCACCTTGTCAATTCTCTCTCTTTGTTCTTCTGCCATCTTCTTTCTTCCTATTTTTCGAGTGATCCGTCTTTTCTCCTATTCCCCCCCCCCCCTCCCTTCTTCTTTTTTCACATCTTCCTCGTTCTCCTCACCCCAATAAACTTTGTACATTACAGCTTCAATACACAATCAAACCTGTCTACAGCGACCGCCCAAGGGAAACACAAAAAAATGGTCTCTGTAGACAGGTTCCTTTAGTACATGTTTCAATGAGAAACCATTTTCAAGGGAAACAATAAATGTGCTTGTTGTAGACAGGTGGTCACTCACTAAAGCATGTTTGACTGTACTTACAATGATATGTCCTTCAATCCTGAGATTTGATTGGTCGTACAGCCAGATCTGAACTCTTGACCTCTGGAAAAGGAAGAAAAAAAAAGAAAGGAAAGATGAATACAAAACCTCTGGTATTAAAAATGGTACAAGTAGAGTAAGATGATGATAATAATAATAATTAAAGGCACTGTTAAAATCTAAAGGACAGTTCAGGCATTTAAAAAAGAAAATATAATTCATATTCAAAGCTGTTGAACAGGCTTTACATGCTATTTTGAAATATGTAAACAGATTACAGATAATCTACTGATATATTACATTCCACAAAAAGTAAAACAAAAATGATTTAACAAATTTTTCAACAAAAAAAGAAAAATTAAAAGATTAGATTAACCATGACATTGACAATTTGGTGACAAGCAGGGAGGCAGTAAGAATGGATTATTTCTTTAAAATATCTTAGGACTTCAAAGTCTTCAAGTATACTTACATTCTGAAGATATCTGAAAATCAAGTTCTGTCAGGATAAACAAATTTGAGAAGAATAGTCCGTCAAGGAAATTAATCGACTGGGAACAAAAATAAGTCACCAAATGAGCAAAGCTGTATAACTATAGATATAAGGTGAATGAATGGTAACATGTCTAAATCATGTACTAATACTATGTACCATATGATATGTGCGTGCAACATGACTTCATTGGCTATTGCCATTTTGCAATTTATGGATTGCAAACCTTAGTGTTACTAACAAGAGACATTCTCAGGGGCAATTGTCAGAGAATGAGGATCGTCCGCATAAACAAGGATATCCTCGTACACGCGGACAAATTGCATCCTAAAAAATAAGGATCGTCCACAAAAAAATGCTAACGATCCTTCTTCTTCTTTTTTGCGCTCTGTGGGTGTAGGGTTCCCGATACGCGCGCTAGCAATGCGAAAAACAGATTCGTTTATGCAGACTATCCTTATTCTCAGCCAGCGCGGCAGCGCCCCTTGCGGAAGCACAATATTTTAAGTCAATAAACTGTTGATGAGCAATTGCGCACACGAATAGTCAATACACACACAACACACAAATGCATGCAATGAACACGATGTGGCTGATCGGCAAGTTTGACAGTAGTCACTTGAGTCAGTAGACTCACGATTTGAATTTTTAAATTAGAGTAAAGGAGCCGGTAATCGGCCAGCTCCCGTTTTCGGCCGATTGGTTGGATGCAAGGTAAAATCACTCTAAAATACATCGCATAATAGCATAACACATATCCCACACATACCATATCATGCCAGTGTCACTGAAGAACCACATTTGCAATGAAAAATATATCCTAAAATATCACATTTTAGCGATGTAATCGGCGGTCCCGCTACCCAAATCTGAAAAATCGAGTTTCTTACGCGAGTATGTAAGAAATATGGGTACCATAAAATCAGCTTTATTTCAAGTATTTTTCAGATTTAGAGCCCGATTTTGTGTTAGTCGCAAGCTCAAAAGTATCTCATCGCATGTATTAAATCAATGCAGCCGGACCCTGCCACGCACACACGATATGTCTGTCTAATTCAGATTCCAACTTCCGATTACCGCTGTGCCTGTCTTCGGCCAGGCGAGCACCAGGGAGCTCCGGCGTGGGATACCTGCTCCGCCCGCTTGTGCTGTACATCAGCGCGGAAACGCACGGCGCGCGCGAGGGCTTCCTATTGACTTTGTACATGCGGCCGTAAACTGAAACGCTCGGCCGATAACTGGCTCCAAAACAGTGAAAATTGAAATGAATATTGTCATGGCAATTCGTGATTTTTTTCTGGGATTCTTTTTTTGTTTAAATAATAATAATATTTGCTTCATGATTTGAACAAAAAATGATAATAAATAGGAAGTAAAGGGTCCTAAAAAAAGGATTTTGTCTTAAGTGGCCGAAAACGGGCTCCTTTACTAGGCAAATTCATGCAAAAAAATATATTCAAAAAATTGACTTGAAAACACATCAGATAATTAGTCTGAACCAAGTCAGGAGCAGATTTGAAGAAATTATATTTTTAAATGTTGTAAAACCAAAGATATAAGAAGAAAACTGACCAAGTATCTGTACTAAAAATCGTACATGTAAAATTGGTCGTACACATTCGACAGCTCTAAATGACGCGCACGGTTGCGTTACGTGCGTTCTCGAATCCAAAATCATACCTCACACACACACTCTCACCATACCGCGAATGGTCCGTCGTGGGGAGCTAGCCGGCTGAGAGTTTGCAGCGATACCAACGCAGCTTCGGAGCTCCGCAGCGCCCCATTATAGCTAGACTCGGAAAGGTTCGCGGTGGGAAGGCAGCGGCCTAGCTTTTTGCCCAAACAACGCTAGATCGGCTGCTGGCAAAATGAAAATAACTACGATCGAGAACATCGTCGGTTTCTTAACTTTTCAGTGAGATAATTCTGAATTCTAATTGAGACTATATAATAAATTAAATCGACAAAGAAACCTCGGTAGAACTCTTATAACTATACAAAAGCTTGTTTATTTCTTCATTTGACATTTTGTTTTTGACCATTTTTTCGTGCGCGAGTCAATGCAAACTATGTATTGCCAAACTTTCAACACGCAAGAAACGGGGAACACTCGCGGACCTCGTATCAAATTCGTTGCAAAAAAAAAAATCAAGGGTGATTTTGAAGCAGTGTAGAATATTGGCGCTGCAATGCGCAGAAATATACTTGAAAGAAACTTAAAAAATCATACCTGAATTTTCAGAAAATCGTATTTGTATTAGTGTACCTAGATGTGAATTGTTTATAAATCAGATTTTATGAAGATTTCTCGGGAAAAAATGTCAATTTTTTCTGTTTGGTGGTCATTTCTAGGCTAATATTTTAAAAGTTACTTCAGTAACGGTCCCGATGTTTCTCTTATCATACTCGCATGTTATTCCTACATAGATTAAACATAGGATGGTTAAGGGTAAGACCGGATAACATTATAAAAAAGATATATCCTTCCAACCTCCCATATCCAAGTTTTGGGCTGATTATTGCCGACCCACCGCAGCAAGGCCATTCAAAATCCTATTTTTAGGACTCTTTACTTCCTATTTATTATCATTTCTTGTTCAAATCATGAAGCAAATATTATTATTATTTAAACAAAAAAAGAATCCCAGAAAAAAATCACGAATTGCCATGACAATATTCATTTCAATTTTCACTGTTTTGGAGCCGGTTATCGGCCGAGCGTTTCAGTTTACGGCCGCATGTACAAAGTCAATAGGAAGCGCTCGCGCGCGCCGTGCGCTTCCGCGCTGATGTACAGCACAAGCGGGCGGAGCAGGTATCCCACGCCGGAGCTCCCTGGTGCTCGCCTGGCCGAAGACAGGCACAGCGGTGATCGGAAGTTGGAATCTGAATTAGACAGAGATATCGTGTGTGCGTCGCGGTGTGCGGCTGCATTGATTTAATACATGCGATGAGATACTTTTGAGCTTGCGACTAGCACAAAATCGGGCTCTAAATCTGAAAAATACTTGAAATATAGCTCATTTTATGGTACCCATATTTCTTACAGACACGCGTAAGATACTCGATTTTTCAGATTTGGGTAGCGGGACCGGCGATTACATCGCTAAAATGTGATAGATCTATTTTAGGATATATTTTCCATTGCAAATGTGGTTCTTCAGTGACACTGGCATGGTATGGTATGTGTGGGATATGTGTTATGCTATTATGCGATGTATTTTAGAGTGATTTTACCTTGCATCCAACCAATCGGCCGAAAACTGGAGCTGGCCGATTACCGGCTCCTTTACTCTATTCTTTCAACATCAGTAAGTCATTAAGTGGTCAAAATTGTATTTTACTGCTATTTAGGTGTCATCAATTGTCACTAAGTACTGATTGTGAGTGGAATCAGTTGAGTTTTGTACAGTGGTGTTTGAAATGTTGAGAATCAATAGCACAGCTTTTATTTTTAATACACAGCCAGGATAGTAATGCAGGTATGTGTGCATACAAAGGCCATAGTCCCACACATTGAACAAAAATCGAAAATTTACACAGAAACGTCTCAGAAATAAAAGTCATTATTATGAAAAGGATACGATTGGTTGAACCATCACTTTCTGCACCTTCTGCCCTTTATACGCCATGTTCACAATATGGTGTTGACAGCTTCAATATGAAGGTTTGGTTAATAATTTGGAGAATAAACAAAGCAAAATCGTTCCCGCTTCGTTTATTAGCCGATGGCGTCCCGGTCAATTTTCCACATGTTACCAATCGCATGGAGTAAACTTGCCATTAGAGGGCGACATTTCACAGCTTTTTCGAGTAGCGCTTTCACCGAAATAGACATGGACAAACTTGAGGGCTCCACTTATATTTTTCGTGGTCCATATTTTCGCCCCACCTCAAAATTTGTGAGCTAAGGGAGTTCCATTCCAACTTTCAAATTGGGATGGTGGGGGTGGGGAACTCATTCTTGAACCCATCCAGGATGTGCTCTTTTTTTATTTCTTGCAAAAAATTATGATGAAGGAGGGCATGCAACTGCTCATACCCAAATTTCCTGACTCGGAAAAATCACAAAGTATATTAGAAATACTTATCAATTGCACCATAGACCTACCACACGCTCCTTATCCTTTGGACTGTCTGCATTTCTTAATGTCCAATCACTATCGTCCAGTTAATATACCGAGAAAAAGCACATTTTAGGCTCATAATTTAGATTTTACACAAAACATATCTGATATCTCAATGAAATTGATATCAACTTGAAGGTGCTTTTATTATTAGCCATCATTTGAAACCAAGTATACTTATATTCAGGCACCTGGCTACTCAAATAATACACGAGGATATTTATACATCTCGCTGCCGGAATATGAGATGTATAATGGTTGCCCAAATAGCCAAACTATAACAAATCTCGAACTTTAATTTATAATAGTTTATTCATTCAAAAAAATCATATTGTAAGCTATGAAGGCTGAATGGTACGATTTTTTAAACAATAATTCTTTGACATAAAAAAAAAGAGAATATAATGAACATTGTAAAAAGCATTACACAAAATAATAACTGCATACAAAATAAGTAACATATTATATTCAACAAATATTCATTTATATTTTGAACCGAAATAGCTCGAATCATCAGATGGTATAAAGGCACAGTAATAGATGATCAGATTGAGAGAGAGAGAGAGAGAGAGAGAGAGAGAGAGAATCAAGAAGGGAGAGAGAAAAAGGTGGGAGTCAGAGAGGGAGAACTAGTGTTGGAAGAAAAAATACCATAAGGGAAAAACTGAGAATGAGTGACAAAAACCAGAAATAAGGCTTTAGGTATGTGTGTTTTGAATGCTTCATCGTCAGACGAGAAAGCAAACCAGGTACGATTACATGATATATATTGATATGGGAAAATTGTAAAATAAAATACAATTCATCATTTAAAATTTTATATGCTTAAAGGTATTCCAGTATTGGAAACGCCCCAATTTCAAAAAATGAAATGGAAGCTCTCATTACCAATCATGTGAAAGAATATGTTTTGACTAATACATGATGATAACAAATTTGCCGGGAAACCGCCTACTAATTCATATATTTTTGTAAATTTGTTTCTCTCATGGACTGTGAGAGATATAGGGTAGTCCCATATACATCTTTCTGTGTATATAGTGCTTGTAACTTTACGAAGAATGGGCCAAATTTCTTATCATTTTGATGATTCCAGAACCTTGCAGATGCTAGATGCTAGATTATCAACCTTTTCTGATCGATTCCACAACGTTTCTTTCACAATGCAATCGCATGACCATACTTTTAAAATACTACTTAAAAGGTGAAATTAGATAAATTATACACAAAACCGATTCCACAAAAAAAATAAAAATACTATAGGATATTATTTACATTTAAAACAACATGTAAAACGTTGAATGCGAGGAAGTAGGCAATAAAAAGGCTAAGGCAGATGCAGGCGCGTACGCAGGATTTTTTCAAGGAGGGGGGGGGGGGGTTAACATTTTTAAATCGGGCCGAAAATTTCGCAACGACTCAGCCAGCCGCTGATTAAGCGGGGGGGGGGGGGGGAAGAGGACACTTTTTTTCTTTTTTTTGGTCTCGAAATTTGAAAATTTGACATTTTGCTCCGTTGGGGGGGGGGGGGTTTCCTCCAAAATACACACATAAAAAATACCAAAGGGGGGGTTAACCCAACCCCCCCCCCCCTCCCCCCCGCGTACGCGCCTGGGCAGATGTATATATCAAAATATGTTGATGAAGTGAGAGAGAGAGAGAGAGAGGGAGGGAGGAATAAGATAGAAAAGTAGTATGTGAGAGAAGGAATAACAGAAGGAGGTGATAAATTATGTTATCTTGCAAAACTGGAAATGTTATACTTCATTATACTTGTATCATACCAGGGTTTTGTTTCATATAAAACTTATAATCAATAACAAGCTACTGAAATTGTGGTATATGATTGGCTGAGAGCAGATTCATCATAGAAATTAAGCATCGATTATTAATAACAAGTTTTATGAAACAGGGTTTGGAATTAAACTCTTGGACTTTGGAGGGGAAACCATCGGCTGTGCCCCACTTATGAAACCCAGTGACTGCATAACGTTAGTGCACAACCACAAAGTAAATCCGCCATAAAAAAATCGATCCGAAAGCAAGCTGAAAATGAAATAACTTTTCTTTTGCTTATCAGAGATTTTTTTAAAGAAATTTGGTAAGAAATCAGTCCCGGATATTTTGGTCTCGGTGTTAAAGGTAAATAACGGTTCTGGTCATGCGATTGCATTGTGAAAGAAACGGTGTGGAATCGATCAGAAAAGGTTGATCATCTGGCATATAAGTATTGGTGTGTACTGCAAGGTTCTGGAATCATCAAAATGAATTTTAAAAATGGCCCAGTCTTGGTAAAGTTACAAGCACTGTACACACAAAGATGTATGGGACTACACGATATCTTTCCAGTCCGGATAAATATGATAATGTACCAAATATATTGATTAGTAGGCGGTTTCCCGGCAAAATTTGTATCATCATATATTTAGTCAAAACATTTTTTTCACATGATTGGTAATAAGAGCTTTCATTTCATATTTGAGAGGGAGGCGTTTCCGAAACTGGTTTATACCTTTAAAGAGAAACTTCTATATTTCTACCTTCCAACGCACCATGTACATGTATATGACAGTGCTCCCGCTTTATAAACCCTATATTTAGGGATATTGACGAAAGTGCAATGACCACAATGCAAATATGCTTTCGGATACGACACAAATCTCGACAAAAGCAGCAGCGGTTCCTTAAATCCCCCTACAATAATATTTTGAGAGTGCATAAATGCATAAACTACCGAACCCCTGAACAGGCGCGTACGCAGGATTTTTTTTCGAGGGGGGGGGTGGGGGGGGGGGGGGGAGGTTAAAATTACAAAATCACGCCGAAAATTTCGTAACGACTCAGCCAGCCGCTTACAACTGACCAAAATATATATCCATTCCTTCTTGACTTTTATATACTTTGGGATATATATTAGGTCAGGAGGAAGGGAGGGAGAGGGTGGGGTGATGAGGACAGGGGTCGTCATTCATGGAGAACTAGGCATAACGAAGGATAATATTTTTTATGTGTGGACTGTGTGAAAAAGCATATAAAGGGGAAATTATTAAAACACGCAAAAAAGGCCATCGGTTTAAAGGGATCCGGTAACTTTGTCTCAGATTCTGAAGAAAAAAAATCATGGATTTAGCTCATGCTATAATGATAATCATAAACCTTTAGGTCAGTCAGGAACCCCATGACTTTTACAAGCCGATCGCCTGTCTGATTATCAAGATATTAATGATTGGAAATAGAAATGTTTAAAACCGTTTGCCAAACGGTTTTCATAACACTACAGTCTATTGGGGAAAACATGTATGGTAAATCTGGTCACTCAAAGATGTTTAATTTGTTGAGGCACTTCTTGATCATTTTGAAGCGCAATTTTGTTAGGGCTTCAATATTACACTATATCACAGACACTGATAACACGTAGGGCCGTGCATCTCAGATTTAACATTGTTAAACGATGCCTTTGTATACATTTCATCCTTTAGAACACAACGTAGCTTCAATTTTATTTGCTGCTGAAATAAGGAATAGATAACAAAAACAATACAAATAATGTATTATCAAATTAGGACTAAAGCGATCAGCGATATGAAACAAAATTAATTTGATAGTGCACGTATTATATATAGGTTCCCGGGTTCAAAAAAAAACAAAACTTTAATGCATACGTGTTTTGGTTAATATTGATATTTGCAAAGAGTTACGATTCTAAAGTTCAATTCCTTTATCGCTTTATCACCAGGCTTTATGATGAACTTTTTATTTGCTTAGTCGTGTGCAGTTTTGATCTACATTCCGCTTTCCTGTGCACAGTTCACACAGATCGAGCTTCGAAGACAAATTAAAGGAATCTAATGTTACTCTAAGCATTCTCCGGATACACAGCGATGTCAGGTGATGGCAGTTTAACAGATGAAGGAATATAGGTCATAATTCTCTGGCATCAGAGAACTTACTGATCCAGTGATGCCGCGAGACAGCAACAAAGTATATGGATGATGTGAATCAAGAGATCAATGATGCAGTAATGCGGGGTAATCTCGAAGCCGTCGAAAGTTTGTTAAAATTTCTTTCAAACAAAAATCAAACAAACCAAAATGAAAAACCTACCCTCACACATGGCGGTCCAATATGGCCAGGAGAGTGTCAAGCATCTCAAATACCATGGAGCTAATGTGGAGAGTCCATATGGACAAACACCATTACATCTTGCTGCTTCACTCGGACATCTTAAAGCAACGATAATACTCAGCCATGGAGCTAATATGGACAAAGAAGACAAGGATGGCTACTCTGCATTATACAGTTCTGCTCAGATTCTGAATATTCATCTTGATATCGCCAAATACCTTTCCAGCCCAGGAGCTGAGGTGAATAAAGGATATAAGGACGGTTGGACAGCATTACACGGCTCTGCTTTCAATGGTGATCTTGATGTCTTGAAATACCTCATCAATCAAGGGGCTGAGGTGGATATGGGAGATAATAAAGGTAGGACTGCATTACACGTTGCTGTTTGGAAGGGTCATCGTGATGGCACAAAATATCTCATCAGCCAAGGAGCTGATGTGAATAGGGGAGATAATGACGGTTGGACAGCTTTAAACCTTGCTGCTCAGGAGGGTCATCTTGATGTCACCAAATACCTCATCAGTCAAGGAGCTAATGTGAATGAGAGAGGGAATAAAGGTAAGACTGCATTACACGTTGCTGTTTGGAATGGTCATCTTGATGTCACCAAATACCTCATCAGCCAAGGAGCTGATGTGAATTGGGAAGATAATAACAGTTCGACTGTATTAAACCTTGCTGCTAGAAAGGGTCATCCTGATGTCATCAAATACCTCATCAGTCAAGGAGGTGGGGTAAATAAGGGAGATAATGACGGTAGGACTGCATTACACTTTGCTGTTTGGAAGGCTCATCTTGATGTCACCAAATACCTGGTCAGTCAAGGAGCTGAGGTGAATGAGGGAGACAATGACGGTTGGACTGCATTACATTTTGCTGTTTGGAAGGGTCATCTTGATGTCACCAAATACCTGGTTAGTCAAGGAGCTGAGGTGAATGAGAGAGATAATGACGGTCGGACTGCATTAAACCGTGCTGTTCAGGTGGGTCATCTTGATGTCACCAAATATCTCATAAGCCAAGGAGCTGAGGTGAATAGGAAAGATAATTTTAGTAGGACTGCATTGCGCGATGCTGCTTTCAATGGTCACCTTAATGTCATCAAATATCTCATCAGCCAAGGAGCTGAGTTGAATAGGGGAGATAATGTGGATAGGGCTGTATTTATGAATGCTGCCTTCAATGGTCATCTTGATGTCACCAAATATCTCATCAGTCAAGGAGTTGAGGTGAATAGGGGAGATAATGGCGGATTGACTGCCTTGCATGCTGCTGCTTATGAGGGTCATTTTGATGTCACCAAATATCTCATCAGTCAAGGAGCTGAGGTGAATCAGGAAGATAATGACGGTAGGACTGCATTACACCATGCTGCTTTCAATGGTAATCTTGATGTCACCAAATTTCTCATCAGCCAAGGAGCTGAGGTAAATAAGGAAGATCATAACGATAGGACTGCATTTCACAATGCTGCTTTCAATGGTCATCTTGATGTCACCAAATATCTCATCAGCCAAGGAGCTGAGGTGAATAGGAGAGATAATGACGGTTGGACTGCATTTCACAGTGCTGCTTTCAATGGTGAACTTAATGTCACGAAATATCTCATCAGTCAAGGAGCTGAGGTGAATGAGGGAGATAATGACGGTAGAACTGCATTACGCGTTGCTGCAATTATGGGTCATCTTGATGTCGCCAAATATCTCATCAGCAAAGGAGCTGAGGTGAATGAGGAAAATAACGACGGTAGGACAGCGTTTCAGCTTGCTGCCGGGAACGGTCATCTTAATGTCACGAAATATCTCATCTGTGAAGGAGCTGAGGTGAATAGGGGAGATCATAACGGTGGGACTGCGTTTCACAGTGCTGCTTTCAATGGTCATCTTGATGTCTTGAAATACCTCATCAGTCAAGGAGCTGAGGTGAATACAAGAGATAATGACGGTTGGACTGCATTAAACCTTGCTGGTCAGGAGGGTCATCTTGATGTCACCAAATATCTCATCAGTCAAGGAGCTGAGGTGAATAAGGGAAATAATGTTGGTAGGACTGCAATTCACAGTGCTGCTGCCAATTGTCATCTTGATGTCTTGGAATACCTCATCAGTCAAGGAGCTGAGGTGAATACAAGAGATAATGACGGGTGGACTGCATTACGCGATGCTGCTTTCACAGGTCATTTTAATGTCAACAAATATCTCATTACCCAAGGAGCTGAAATGAATAAGGGAAATAATGTGGGCAGGACTGTATTGCACGTTGCTGCAGGTATGGGTTGTATTGATGTCACCAAATACCTCATCAGTCGAGGAGCTGAGGTAAATAAGGGAGATATTAACGATATGACTGCATTTCACAGTGCTGCTTTCAATGGTCATCTTGATGTCACCAAATATCTCATTAGCCAAGGAGCTGAGGTGAATAGGAGAGATGACGACGGTTGGACTGCATTACACCTTGCTGGTTATGAGGGTCATCTTGATGTCTTCAAATATCTCATCAGTCAAGGAGCTGAGGTGAATAAGGGAAATATTCGAGGTAGGACTGCATTTCACAGTGCTGCTTTCCATGATCGTCTTGATGTCACCAAATATCTCATCAGTCAAGGAGTTGAGGTGAATAGGGGAGATAATGAAGGTTGGACTGCATTAAACCTTGCTGCTTTCAAAGGTCATCCTGATGTCACAAAATATCTCATCAGTCAAGGAGCTGAGGTGAATAAGAGAGATAATTACGGTGGAACTGCATTTCACAGAGCTGCTTTTAATGGTCATCTTGATGTCACCAAATATCTCATCAGCCAAGGAGCTGAGGTAAATAGGGGAGATAATGACGGTTGGACTGCATTTCACAGTGCTGCTCTTAACGGTCATCTTGATGTCACCAAATATCTCATCAGCAAAGGAGCTGAGGTGAATAAGGAGAATAACGACGGTAGGGCAGCGTTTCAGCTTGCTGCCGGGAATGGTCATCTTAATGTCACGAAATATCTCATCAGTCGAGGAGCTGAGGTGAATAGGGGAGATCATTACGGTGGGACTGCATTTCACAGTGCTGCTTTCAATGGTCATCTTGATGTCACCAAATATCTCATCAGCCAAGGAGCTGAGGTAAATAGGGGAGATAATGACGGTTGGACTGCAATTCACAGTTCTGCTCTAAACGGTAATCTTGACGTCACCAAATATCTCATCAACCAAGGAGCTGATGTGAATAAGGAGAATAACGACGGTAGGACAGCGTTTCAGCTTGCTGCCGGGAACGGTCATCTTAATGTCACGAAATATCTCATCTACCAAGGAGCTGAGGTGAATGAGGGAGATAATGATGGTAGGACTGCATTGCACCATGCTGTTCAGTGAGGTTACCTTGATGTTGCTAAAGTCCTTATGGCAGAAGGAGCACATTTTCACGGCCAGACACCTCTAAATCTGTCCTTAGTCCTCGGGTACCAAAGCATTGCTGATCTATTCATGGACCGCTCCAATGCTAAGGTAAACATTTAAAAAGAAAACTTTACGTCAAAGTCATCTACCTTGATGTTTTTTAATAACAAGTACTGAAATTCAATTTAGAGCATATGAGGCATTGCTACCTATCATTATTTGTTATAACTTGACCAGCTCGAGGCTGACTTACTACCTTTGTATCAACAATAATAATCATACGTAATTATAACTCCAGTTAGACCTCACTACTGTTTTATAGACTTCATAGACAAGTTACAATTTATTTAATCATTGGATTTACTTGATCACCTGTCAAATTCTAAATAATTGATATTTCTTTTTGATTCTCAAGTTTTCATGCTGCGTATTTTCTTATGTCTAGCTCGACCAGAATAATTTAACGGATATCCATCTTGCCATCCAACACGGTCACATCTCAACCGTTGAGAAGTTAGTTTCCGAGGGAGCTGATCTCAATATCCAGTCACCTGACGGACAGACGTGTCTCCATAAAGCCATTAAACTCTGCAATAGCAGCGAGAACATCGTTCAAGAAAGTGAAACACTAAGAAAGGTGAGTCATACCCCAGAAACGCAAACAAGACCGACACAAGACCGACGAGAGTCTGAACAACAAGTTTAATTACGACAAAACAATGGTCAGTTTTGGAGTCTACATGGAGTCGTTACGGCAGTGTGACTGACATATACCGCTCCTATAGGTCATTAGTGAATCCTAGAATCTCAAACCCGTGGTTGGTCCAAGAAAATTGTGTACGTTGGTGTGTGTTTGTGTGTATGGGGAAGTTTACAACATAAATCGGTATTTCCACTACTGTGAATCCAGGAGGCAGCGTAATCAACACTGAATATTGATGGACGATAATGTACTAAGAAAAACAAATATATATATATATTTTGTTTTGTTTTAGATCTCCGAAGAGCATTACGGGGGCGAACTATCTCCTGAGAAGGCCTTGGTGTTTTATCTCCTAGAGAATGGAGCTAAGCTAGATGTGAAGGATGAGAGAGGCAACCTACCAATCCAATATGCCAAAGACGAAGTGGTCAAACAGATGATTTTGTCGAGGTGATAGTTTCATATCATAAGGAATATCAATTTCCCGACAATTTTCAGGCATAAGATTGATGAAAGATCTTAATTTTTTGCGATTTGGTAAAGGAATAACTTTTTTCTGACTTGTTTTCAAGTACAGATCGATCAATCGATCTTTATTTACTGGGTGTAAGCCACACAGATGTTTAAACAATTGAAATTTCTTCCAGGAAGCATTACGGCATTCCTCCTTCTTTTATGAAAAGCTGGGATTGCTACTGGAGCTGGAATCACTTAGTGACATGTACATGTACCAAGAAGAAATATTAAAGAAATTGGTGTAGAAATGACAGATCAATAGACCCAATCACATCATAATCGTCATCATCATCATTATTATTATTATTATTATAATTATTATTTCTATTTATTATTATTATTTAATCAATAAAGTAGCAGCTACGTGTTAGCAACAATTGAATTGAATTGAATTTGGTTCATGATAATATATTCATCTGGGACGGAGTCATGGGTTTCTTCTAATGGAAAGATAATTCGCTACACGTCAATGGGTACATGACTTTTAACGTAATTTAATGTACAGTTAACAACTAATACATACCTTTGCCAAGTTTTGACATCATTGAAGTATGTTAAAAATCGATTTATGTTTCTTGAGAATATGAAATATTAAAGGTTACATCTAAAAGAATTCAACAAACGCCCTAATTCAACCAGTCCACCTTTCATTCAATTGAGCTACGAAAAATCCACCAAATTCATTAAATTTACTAGGGATATGAACAACCTGGTGGTTATCTGTATTTCATTTCATTTTCATTTTTATTTTTTCATTTCCAACAAAATACGATATATAATAACGAATACAATGTGAAATGTATACAAAATATAGTAACATTTGTAATAAACTAATCTCAATAGTAATTTATACATTTGAGGATGCAAAAATTATTGTTAGATCTAACTGCATTTAAATTTTGAGGAAATGAAGAGGTCCACTGAAAAGTAGAGTTTGTAAATTATGGACCCCTCAGATAATAAAGAGTGTGAAAAGAGTATGGAATAATATTATTATTATAATGTTTGTTTATTTGTATTTCTTTCAACAGAGGAACTACGGTGGCCGAGAAGAACGATTTTGACAATCTTCCGGCAAAGGCGCAAAGTGACGGAACAGACAGTGTAGAGCCAATAGACCACACCTTAGGTGAGATACGTTTTATGCATCTGAGGCAGGAGAATATCTTTATGCCAGAACACATAGGTATATTCACCTCCAAAGTAAGAATTTGTTGATCTGAGGTCACAGGCAGATGACTGTAAACCAAGTATGAAAACCTACCAAACTTTGTTCAAGTGTCCTTTATGAATAAACGTCCATGTAGATCATCGTATAGGTGAGTTTATGTTCTATGGTAGTATGATCAGAAGTGATAATTTGATCCAGATTATTAAAAAATAATAATACATATCTTGTAAATACTATGGAATTTTCTTTACTGTGTGGTTTGTGTCAAATAACTCGAGTCCTTAATATTATATTTTTTCCCTACTTCCTAAAAGCAGGTGGATTGACAGGACTAGATTTCCCTCGGAAAAAAGAAACAGCGCAAAGGCCCTCAGGAGGACAGACCATGACACAGGAGCCTACATCAACCATTGACCAACATCTTCTAGAAAACATGTCATCCAAGAACCAAGGTAATGTGGCGAGTGGAGGTAACAAAGTTTTTGGCTTATTCAAATATTATATGCGTTGCCATTCAATGAGACAGTTTTCGATATATATATATATATATATATATATATATTCGAGAACGTACGTACACATGGCACTGTTTCGTCAAAACACGTTGTGGTGGTGAGAGTATGATCGTTTTTTGAATTTGGTTGAAGATAAATTATGAAAACAGGACAAATAGACAAAATTTGATTTGTCACCTGGCAGATAATGTTCTGGTCCTTTACCTAATTAAGGTTATATATTATTTCGTCGTCAAGAAATGTCCCATTACCCTCGGTAAAGATTCAAGACAAAAGTTTCAGAATTACATTGTACGGAGAAGGAATTAACAACCGTTGTTAATTACTAAGTGGCTTTAGACCAAGAAATTACGCGTTCTCCCTCAAAACATTAGGTGACCTGCAAACAAGCATTTTTGCAAACATTCAACATCTGCCATGAGGTCTAAAAGTTTGTTTTGCCAGGTCCATAATTATATTATTTGTATTCCTTTATTGCAACAAAATAGTTGTATTCCAAATACAAATACAACCACGAACAAATACATAACACTGGTACAAAAAATGAACACATTCAAAACCGTACAGTATGATACATGAATTATATGAATAACAATGTAAACTCATGATACAATATTGCCAAATGATTGGGGCACACTTACGAACTCACCGCACCTTCATTTGTTTAGGTGTGCGCATATGGGTGTGCTTGGTCTGAGGATGAAGATTGTAGTAATGAGTAGGATAATAGTGACGATGATGACTATGATGGCAGTGATGCTGATACCTCAATCACACCAACGAGACCGATACCAGACCGATGACAAACCGAACAAACGATGACATTACACCCAATGGCTAAAAATAGGTCAGCTTGGAGTCGGTCTTTTGAAAGGTCTGCCGGTGTGACTGAGGTATGATGGTGGTAGTGGTGATGATGTTGACGGGTGTTGGTGGTGGTGGTGCTGGTGTTGGTTAATATGATGATAATGATGATGTGGCAATGATTGATGATGGTTATGATTTTTGTGATGAGGGTGATGGTGATAATCGTACACCTTTTGAGAAAATGTTGGTCAAGTAGATTATAAAATCTTTTACAGTTTAGAAAATTAACAAACTTTGTACATCCTACCAACAATTGCTTTTCAGTTGGCAAGAAAGTCCACTGGGATTTTTTGACAGACAGTCCTCAAGAACTTAGCATTCAAGACAATGAAGTAGTAATATCATGCGGCATCAGATTCTCGCCTTCTGGAGCCAAGCTCAGTGAAACTATCATGGTCACATTGGACCATAATGCACATTTCATTAATCCAAGACGTGCAGAGATCGTCTTCTACACTCGCAACAAAGGTATGTGGCATTTACCGCGGGTTCCCGACAAAAGCTCCGGCGACAACAATTGTTCCTTGCATAATTTCTTCAAAGTTATTGGCATATGGTTAGGGTAGCAATTGAGTTCCAGGTCAGGTCTAGGATTGGGGATATGGTTAGGGTTAGGTGTTGTGTTAATTCAATGGTTAAAGCTAAGGATTCGTGTATTGTAGGACATTGAAGCGGAGCAATTGTTGTAGGAGCAAGTATCGTATAAATTTTTACCGCAGCTCGAATGCCTTTTTTTAAAATCTAACAAGCAAACAAATTTGACATACAAATATAACACTGAATATAAATTATCTTTAAATTTCAAAATAGGCAAAATACATTAACCTTCAGTTTCCTTTCTCTTTTGATTTTTGTTTAATTCAGTAAACTTAGCGATAACTTAATTATGGACAAAAGATGATCCTATGGGAACATGGGGCATATGCCCCCCCCCCCAATCGCCCCTCTCCTCCTCCACCCCCCCCTCCCCCAAGAAAATAATAATAGGGGGAATAGGAAGAAGAAAAGTAATTGGCTGATGACCCTTGTTCAACTCCATAGTGAAAGTTGATGCATACTTATCTATATGCTGTCTCTCAAAAGTTTTTTGTATTATATATATATATATATATATATATATATATATAATGTAAGTAGATCCACCAATAATATAGCAATTGTCCAAAAAAAAAATCCATTGACGTAGAAACTTCTTGTAAACCGAATATTTATATTATAATTCTCGTTGTTATAGACTCAAAAACTTTTGTGAGAATTCCCGCATCCACCGACGAATGTCCACGTTGTGACGTCAGATCCAAGGACTTGGATCTCTATGTAGATCATTTCAGTGATTGGTGGATTGTGGCCTTAATCACTCGGTACTTCATTGGAAAGAGGGTCGAGTGCACGCCATATGTACGCCCACCTGTCACGAAAGGCTTCACGCACTTAGTGCTACTCTGCATATGTGACGACCTAATGGATGTTATTAAGGTGAGACATAGATAAGGGCGATGGGCCGTTGTAAATACTTTTGGATGTGGGGGGTGGGGGGGGGGGGGGGAGGTGTTAATGTGTGGTGTGTCGGAGGAAATATTTTAGTAAGTAAGTCAAACATTAACCTACATACCATTAAGAAACCTCAGATTTTCGCATTTCCGTCAGATTTTCTACAAGATTTTGTAAAAAAAAAAAAAAGCAATCAAATAAATGAATTAGAGAAGGAGAGGCCTGAAATAGTTGCTGTTGGGGGGGGGGGGGGGTAGGGACACATTTGCATTTTCAGTTACTTAAAGGCTCAGTCCGCTGCAAACATAATTTGCTTTTAATAGATTCAGAAAAACAAGAGAAACATAGCAAAACAAATTTGAGTAAAATCGGAGAACTAATAAGAAAGTTTTTTTTTTGTATAAAAAACTATGAAACTTAGAAAATCACTACACAAATTGCCAATTTGGTTATCAGTTTGTGATGTCATTGCCTCACTATCTATCAATTGCTTTATATATTTGTATTCGATTAATTTCCCTTTTCATCCCCCCACACTTGACTTCCCCATGCCTTTGCCTAGGTTACTGATTTGTATCATATTGCGTGCATGACATTTCACATAATCTTTTATGAACTGCGAAGAATTGATACTATTTTTGTATATATTGTATATTAATATTTATTGACTTTTATATAATTTCACAACATTCACATTTTTCATGATTCAACTGGAAAAAAATACTCTATATTAGTGCATCCACACACAAACATATCGCTATCAACATAACGTGGATGCTGTTGTGAGGAAATAAGATATTTAGGGGAAAAATTGGATATTTATATCATCAATATAAAGAAAAAACAATTAGTTGATAGTGAGGCAATGACGTCACAGACTCATGATTCAGCTGC